AAATGAAAATTTGTAAAGATGTTTTTAGAAGACCAATATGAATAAAAATGGCAGAGCAGATTCATCTCAAACTACAGCGATGTGCGGCCATATTGGAATATAAATTCATTTCTGTGTGAATAATTAGTATATTGTCAACACCAGCATTCATAGTGACTTCTACTACAAGTCTATCTTCAACTATGTCATTGTCTTCGAGTCACAGCCACATTTTAAATCAATGAAGCTTATTGAAAGTCGATCAAGCCAAAAACCAATTAACATTATGATCTTTAAATTCAATCCGCCCCTATATTTTAACACCTGACTGAACAATTATGAACTTGGGCAAAACTTTTGTAACTTTTAGCTTGCCTTAGGGAGACTTAACCACCGTAGTACGTTTGATTAGTTTCATTAGGGCCATAAGGACATAAACATCTATGCTTCTTTCAGCTTCTTCTTTGCCAATTGAACTCTACTATTTAAGTTACTGAATGAGGCCATTGAGGAATATTGCAGATGACATGCTGGCATGACACTTTCAAAGAGATAATAATTGGAACTAGATTTGTAAATTGAACAAAGTTCAATTTAAGACTCCAGATTGATTTACTTGAGTAGGTAGCTGAGTAAGTAACTGAGTAGCAAGCTGAGTAAGTAGATGATTAAGTAATTGAGTGAGTAGCTGAGTAGGTAGCTGAGAAGGAAGCTGAGTAAGCAGCTGAGTAGGTAGCTGAGTAAGTAGCTGAGTAGGTAGCCGAGAAGTAGGTAGCTAAGTAGGTAGCCGAGTAGGTATGTAGGTAGGTAGGTAAGTAGGAATTTTTGACCGAAAGTCGGATTGAAATTTGGTTTGCAGATTCAGATTCCTGGGAAAATTCTACCCTTATTTCATAACTCATACATTAAATTTGGAGATTTTTTTATTTTGACCCACTTTTAGGATGCCATTTCTCAAAAATGGGTCAAAATACTTTCTGACGGCAAAAGGCTATCACTATTAGCACACTCTTTTCTACCTGTATACAAAATTTCGAAGCAAATCCTAAAAGTGTAGTGCCAGAATCGTAAAAATAAGGAAAAATTATGAATTTGACCTAGATTTTGACCTAGGCATTTTGGTGTCCAAATATTGAAACTAGGTTGCCTTTGAGGTCCCCTTCTTTTATAGGAATTCATTATCTTAAGCTGTACTCAGTCTATATCTCGTATTTTACACTTCAAAAAAATATCTTTTTTTCTTGACTTTCTATCAGGATACCATCAGATCGATTTTTCTCGAAATTTCAAAACGCCATAACTTCCGAACGGGAAGTCGGATCGAAATTTGGTTTGCAGATTCGGATTCCTGAGAAAATTCTTTCCTTAATTCATAACTCACACGTTGAGTTTGGAGAAATTTTTATTTTGACCTACTTTTCGGACACCATATCTCAAAAGTGGGTCAAAATACTTTCTGACGGCAAAAGGCTACCACTATAAGCACACTCTTGGCTTATGTATACAAAATTTCGAAGAATATAATTAATCTGTAGTGTCAGAATCGCAAAAATAAGGAAAAACTTTGAATTTGACCTAGATTTTGACCTAGGCATTTTGGTGTCCAAAATTTTATGAAAAGAAGGTCTTGAGGTCCCTTTCTTTTATGGGCTTCCATTATGTTTAGCTGTGCTTAGTCTATATCTCGTATTTTACACTTCAAAAAAATATTTTTTCCCATTGAATTAACATGGGGCACCAAATTTAGCGATTTTTGAATTTTCAAAACGCCATAACTTCTGAACCGGAAGTCAGATCGAAATTTGGTTTTCAGATTCGGAATCCTGAGAAAATTTCCTATAAGACTGATATCCTGGACATTGGATTCGGAGAACTTTTTTTTGGACCTCGTTTTCGGACACTGATATCTCGAAATCGGTTTGAGATACCAAAAAACTAAATCGACCCTAGGTTTTCTACTTTTTTATGAGGAACACAATGAAAAAAACCCGGATTGAAAATATTGAAGGACGACCGAGAAAATTGAAAAAAGTGACAAAGTACTGGATTTGACCTAGTTCTTGACCTTTGACCTAGATAAAAATTTGACCTAATTTCCCATCATCCCAGATACATTCCCTAGTTGATCATGTAAGCAGCTTAAAGTAAGCTCTTCTAGTTGGTGAGAAATCTGGGAAGGAGGAAGAGGAAGAAAGAATAATAATAATAAGAAAACTGGCAAAAGCAATAGACTCCAGATTTTCATCTGGAGTCTAATAATAAAAAATATATCTTCTGCGCCTAATAATCAAGTAACACGGTGTATCATATGTGAATAAACTGAAGTGACATTATGGCATGATGGAATAAACTAAACTGTCATTTTGACATTTCAAAAGAAGCATGAGATACAACAAATACAGATCGTGCACCTGAGTCATATTCTGTTGAAACATTTGAAACTATCTCACCGCACAACCAGAGTGTCACCTATTCTTTAAAAACCAATCTATATAACTTCAGCTGCGATCGCTAAATACAAGGGGGAAATTCAAAGAAAATCTTGAAAATTGACACTTTGAATGATATAATCGAAAAGTCATTTAATGCTGGGGCCACAGTGAAGTGCTTATTCATATTATCTAACTTGAATCCAAACCTGTACCCATAGCCTCAATTTGTAATAATTTGTCTTGAGTGGGCACCCTGTTGTTAAAACTGAAAGGCGCCAAGTTTAATATCAAGAGAGAAATGACAACCCATAGATCAAAGACTCTCAAGTGATATCTTACTACAGTTAATCATTCCCCAATTAGTGGTTACTACAAGGAGGAAACATTTTGCCTCAGTGCACATTGGATGGTATATCTGAATACAAACCCATGTCAGTTTTCTGGACTTTTTGAAAGCATTTGACCATGTAATAATAATTGAGTTGAACAATGAGGTTTACTATGGGGTGGTTTTTATTGTGAATCTACTCGGGTATTATGATTATTAGATCATTTCCTGTGTAGCCCATGGCTAGGGTATCAATTAATTTGGTTTCAATTGACTGATGGGCTGTGTTCATCCTTATAAGACCATTTCAGTCAGAATTATGGGTATACTTGGCCAATGTGGGGCACTAAGCAAGGTGGGAGTATATGTATAATGTTAAGAATATTGTAACATTAACAACACAGGAAGGAAACCAAACAAGGAACACATGAATATTATTTTTTCACTCAAGAGCAGATATATTCTAAATGCAAAATGATTATTAAAACTTCAAATGAACTGACATGTTATTTTAATATTTTATTTGAATCTAGAGTAAAATATGCTTTTTATATATCAATATGTTTAATTCCTTCAAGTAGATTCGAATGTTTTTTTAACATCACCAAATGCCCTTTAAAAACGCCTGTCATTTAAAAAATCAAAACCAAATCATAAACAACTTCAATTAAACTATGTACTTTTGTAAAAGTCTAAAACTTAATTATAGGGCTTCTATGATATTTTACACAAAGCTAACATTTCTTAACAATACCTTTGATGAAAGTTGAGACTCTACTAACTAGCATCCCATGAATGTATCAGAAACACTGTCAGAACTCCTATTGTGGTACCTTTCCACCTTTAGAATCATTCATGCCAATAATAACTGAGAGTGCAAAAATTAAAGAGCCGTATTGATACACTAGTAAGCCAGCAAATTTTCTGAATAGCGTGATGACCCCCCGAGGCTCCAAAGCCAACTTAACAATGACTAGTTTAGAAATCTTGGGAAATAAACATTCTGTCAATATTGTATTCTGACCTTTGTGTAAAGGCTAATTGAAAACCCATGATGTTCTTCATTATTTTCCCTGTTTTTATTGTTATCAGTGTATTAACTTCAAGTTTATTAGGAATGGAATGGACATGATATAATTGGAGTTATTAATTTGGTATTATGACTTGGATGTTCAACTTGTTTCTTAGGTGTCCATCAGTCAAGCTGGCGTTTCCCATAGTCCTATGGAGTTGAATTAATGAAAAATAGTTTTAAATGCCAATGTGGCTGCCATTCTGAAAATATATGAACCCATGGTTGACCTTGGGATGTGACCAGTATCTAACCAATGGATTTATTTTCATCTTTAATGATGCACTTAATTAGATTTCAATATTGTTAAAATAATTACCTATTTTTAATACCTGTACTATTAAAGGTAGAACCAAGTTTTGGCATTTTTACCCCAAAATCCAACATGGGTAAATTCAAATGGAGTTCAAATCAAATACATGAAAAGTCCAATGAACAATCTGAAATACTAGTATATTAAATTAATAGGACTGTTTAACACATGGAAAATATATAAAATTAAAAGTAACGTTTTCTACATACATAGGTTTTATTCATATGGAGTGTATCCAATAAGAGTACCGTTTCTTACATGTACATTTGAATACAATATCATTGGGCTGAAATGATCATCATAATAATAACTAAGTTTACATCCAAGTTTGTATTAGAAACGTTAAACACATATATGTGTTGTCATGGTTTTTATTTACCTGCACTTTTACTTTTTTGTATTTTCTATTGCTACCTATTTTTATCAGTTGCCATTGTTTTTTTTACAACTAGTTTTTTTTAGAAAAGTTAATTTGTCAAGCAATGTTATTTGTTTAGAAGGGTTGTTGTCATGGTTTTAATTTACCTGTAGGCCTACTTAAGTTTTTTCTATAGCTACCCATTGTTATCAGTTGCTATTGTTTTTACTTATATAGGTAGCTTATTCATCATAAATCGTTCTAGTTGCTATGTATTTTGAAGAGGGAGGTGGGAGTCATCAACAGAAACTTTTGTAAATTAAAGTGATTTACAAATTGTTAACCTTATGAAGTTTCTGATAATAACCTCCTGGTTACTATGGCGATGGAATAAAAATACTATATTTATTATATATATTTAATACTGGGTGTCCACTGTACTTTCTAAAAAGTAATCGTTCTCTATATTTAAACTGGAACGATGAACATCTAGAAAGTTTATTCTTATATATCTTCAGCTGTGCAGCATGAGAGAGGACCTCGCAATTCAACAATTCGTCGGCAAGTAGCCATGTACCTTAAGGAAAGCACAGAACTTGGGATCTCCCCATTTCGCCCCTCATTTGTCAATGGAGCACTAGGTATGTTTGTCTTATCTCTCATGACACTATACGGTCAGTGGTCAAAACAATTTAAGAATATGTTAGTGAAAGGTGCAACAAATAGAGTTGAAGGAATACCATGTCATATATTTTCTTCAAAAAAACAACAGTTCAGGATAAAAAACGTCAATTTGGACATTTGGGTATCCTAATCATGTGATTTATGTTGGTTGAAAAAATGACCCAACACATTTATATATCATTGTGGTTCTGTACATTATACATGCATATGTATTATCACATAGGTGTTGAGCATGTGAATGACGGTATAACAGTGAGTGCAGTTGACCCCCCTCCACAACCTCACCCCGGAGTCATTTGCCAACCAACGCCAAAGGTATGTCTCCTTTCTTCCACTCGATGTTTAAAAATAACCGAAAATATTGATAGACATTGGTTTGGAATTTTTATCATTTCATATTTTTGTCATTCATGTTTATCGGCATATAAAAGATTTGCTTCTGATCTCTGAAAGTTATTTGTTTAAAATGACTCTGATTTTTTCTCGAGTAAATACTTGACATAACTGCAACTTTTCACGTTCATTGTAAAACCAATACTTAAACACTTAAAAGTAACCTTTTTTGAAACTGGGTCTTCAAGATTTTTTTGTCATTATGTTGTAAAAAAATAAATGAATAAGCTATTGCTATGATGTTTATAATCTTAAAAAAGATGCTCATGTAACGGATGTGTGATCAACTCTTTCACTACTTTTATGACCCGCTTTGTAAACATCATACCCGTGTACCCTATATAAAACAACTACCGGATATGTAACTTTTTACAATCTGGAATTTAAAAATATTTATTGTAAAAATTCCACATATAAAATGGATTTCAATGAGAGAAATAGATAATTTTTTATGAAATTCACCGTTCGGTGTGCCATAAATTGAAAATTCAAATGGCGTTATATTGGAAATATTTGAAAGGGCAGCCTCAATGGCATGCATTCCATTTAGCACGCACTTTTAAAATAGAACGTTTTTATAGCATTTGGTCAATTTGCCTTTTATCATAGCCCTTCTTTGTCAGTAAATGTGTAATGACAAATTTGATCAACAAGATAAAACAAACCCCTATTATTCATCTGAACCAATTGTGAAAAACACATATAAATGACAAAATAAATCTTTGATCAACAGAGCAAGCCACAAAGTTCAAGTGAAAAATAACTCATGTTTCACTATTTTTCAGTACCCACATGAAATCGCCCAAGCATACTTTAATAACCCTGAGGCAATATGCGAGGCAGCTGCCAGGTTACTCTTCATGAGCGTGCGATGGATAAAAAATGTGCCAGCATTTCTTAGTTTGCCATTCCGGGACCAGATAGTGCTATTAGAAGAAGGATGGAGAGAATTGTTTGTCCTTGGAGCAGCCCAGTTTCAGATGCCCATAGAGGCAGGCCCCCTGTTAGCAGCAGCAGGTAGGTTATTGCTAAATCCACTAATACATCATTTTTTTGTCATAAATGATGTTATTTCAAACATCAAATATCTTATTTCATTGACCATATAAGTTAAGGCAATATTTATGGAATCCATTTTAATCAATTTTTATTGCCAATGTACTTTGATTTATTCTCGAATCTTCCAAAACAATTTGACATATTGCTCTCTCTATTATAGGTATAACTGCAGACCAGGGCCAGCCAGAAAAAGTAGTATCTATCATGACAGAAATACGTACACTACAAGAAATAATAACAAAGTTTAAAGCAATGCAGGTGGACCCTACAGAATATGCATGTCTTAAAGGCATAGTCATCTTCAAAACAGGTAAATAAAATAGGATTAAATACAGAAACCAGTTACTGCAAGAGACAAACATACAAAATGTTAATATCATCTATTCAAAAATGAAAAGGAAATACATATTGAGGAATTGACCCTCCAAATATGTCAAATGTGACACTACAAAAAACTAAATGGTAAATTCTTATAAATATAATTTTGAATATTTTCCTCTTATATGCATTACAACTGATTTTCCAGAATTCATATCATGTATTTTCAAGGCATTTCAGATTTTGTTATATATTTCATATTAGAGCAGTTTATGTATTCAAAATGAACATTTCAAAGTGCTAAGTACAGAATAAAAAAAAAATATATATTAAAAAAATTATTAGTTTCCTTAAAATGTGTTAATCATGAAAGGTGATAATACCATCTGTGTGGCCAAAAAGATTAAGCTGAGTTGGAGATAAAAGAAAAAAACTTAATTTTCTAAAAAAGCCTGTATATGGGGGCTTTAACATATTTAGCATTAATTCTAAAAATCTATTTTTTTTTCTACACATACTCATGTGCATGAACTAGTATATATATCTTCAAGTGTATCGTGTATTTTCATCTTTGATGAGTTCATTTTACAATTTAAATTGTTTGCTACAACTGAATTGAGCATTTATTTTATTTCTTTATTTATTTGGACACTACGATTTTAAAGCAGAAGCACACAAATTGGGTGTGTCCATGTGAGCCTTTACGTATTAAAATTTTATACTTGTACATGTTTAAAAGTACATATGTTTAACAAGGAAACATGAGTTTTAACAACATATTGATTCATTTTCTATTTTCAGTGTTTGAAAGTTCGCCAACTGAAATGAAATCTCTAAGAGACTTCCATACTGTTAATAGCTTACAAGATCAGGCACAATTGACACTAAACAAGTATATTATAACAGCCTATCCTACACAGCCATTCCGTTTTGGCAAGCTCCTCCTCATGCTACCCACACTTAAGACAATCACTGGCAACACTATAGAGGAACTATTCTTCAGGAAAACTGTTGGTAACATTCCAATGGGACGTTTACTCGTCGACATGTTCAAATCTAGTGATTTCTAATGAAGCTTTTTCATCAAATATGGCGCTTTAGATTTATTTTTATATTTAAGATATTTAGCATTCATATCGCCTACACTACAAATGTGGGTTTTGGAAGAAAGATGATCTGGGAAGATAGCATTTATAAAAAGTATTCATTTTAACTAGAGATCACTGTGATGTAGCAATCAGATCTAAGAGAACATGCCGGAACTTATAGATAAATCTTTACCATATTCTTTCAACACACTAGAGTACATATTTAATTGTTTATATTAAGAATTCAGCCCGAAACTACATTTCTCTGCTGTGCTCGAGTGGGCCTTATATATATATTAAGTCATTATCTCAAAGGTTAAAATATTTGTAAATAAATTGAGTCCATGACATGCAATAGTGAGAGTGACAAAAAGTGACATAAAATGATGCAGTTTTGACAATGCATTGCAATTTGAATTCATATCCCATAATATTTACAAAATATTATGGGATATATAAGATATATTGCTGCACAAGTCAATGTAGAGGAGGTAGAAAATCTCGATGTAAAAATCAAATGTAGATGTGACTGTAGATGAAATCCGAATGAAAGGATATATTATTTGCATGTTAAATTCATTGTAAAATGGTGCAATTATCTATTTATGTACATAGTAATAAATTGTGAACAATGCATAATATTTTGAATGAAGATAATACTAGGCCTATGTAAAGATTTCAAATTCTATTTTCAACTGTAAACTAATTGAAGTAGGAACTACTGACAACAAATGTGGTTCATGTATGACATGCATTTTAGTCTATATTGATGATGACTTTCCAGCCTTGTGAGCAGGAAAGTAACTTAATCAAGGGCTGCAAACCATGTAGTTATGGTTTGGAAGCTTTAATCTCTTTAAATTATCATTTCAATTCTAAGGTACACATATATCCATTAAACCTGGATATTGTTCCCAAACCAAAATAGATGATTTTTTGCAGAGATCAGTCATTTTTCTTATATACATATATTAGATATACATTATTGGTTGGACAATTCTGAGATGTTTAAGCTATTGAAGCCATTACTGCTATAAGCAAGACCTCGGAGGAACTGACTGTTAATGATGTCATATATGGCCTCTGTGATGTCATACATGAACCATATTCTATAACTAGTTAGGTAATATCTTAGAACTTGCACATTCCACAATGACCAACAGTTCTCTAGTAATATCTAGGATGAATATAGATTAGAAAAATTAATTTTGCATCATTCTTGTCTCCAATTCCTATTCTCTCTAAAAGATAAAAAAAACATACCAAGTGAGGAAAAAGGTAGTTAAAGAGAGAGAGAGAGGGGGGGGGAAAGGTAGTTAAAGAGAGAGAGAGAGAGAGGGGGGGGGGGGGGGCAGAAACTTGATGCAAAACCTAGGATGAAGAAAGAGTCTTTTCTCCATCCTAGAGCAAAACTAAAATGAAATAGTTGAAAGCAGAAACAAACAAATCTGGTTTCCTTTGACATTCTACAACAAGATTTGATGCTTTTGAAGTCTACGGAAGTTTACATGTAAACACACATATTGTTTAGCAATATTTGGAGGAACTTGTCTCAAATACACATAGTTGTAAAAGTGATGTACATACTGTAGTGTACATAATACAAATTAGATTATATATGTTTACTCTCATAAGTGTTTTAGGGGAATTTGCTTAACAAATTGTTTGTAAAATGCCTTATGAGAGGATAATGTCAGCTATTATCTTGCCTTAAAGGCTGAAAAAATTTAAACCCACTTTGGGTTAAAGATAAATATTTTCTATTAAGAATTACAAGGTGTCCCACAAGTAAGATGACAAAATCAAATATTTCTAGGTGTAGAATGTGTAATCTTACTTCTGGGACAACCTGTATTATTGTGGGGTAGTGCATGCATGCATTCAGTTATTAATTTACTGCCAAGCACACTCAAATTGCCAAAAACAATACATACATTGCAAAAACACATTTCAAATGCTGTGTTTGCCATTTCAAGTAACAACATGTTAAACCAACATGCAAAATTGGACACTACCTCAAGTACTGGTATATTCCGAAAATTTACAGGGTGTTAGAAATTTTATGTTACATCTATGGCAACATAAACTTTTTGCAAATAAAAATGAATCTGTGAAAATACTTTGAAGACCCAGTATAACTGTATATTATATATGATTGTGTTTTGCAGAATATTTAATATTCACTGTGCTTTTCAGAATTATCCATGGTTCATTGAAAAAAATGAATAAATAACTGTCAAATTTCTAAATAAAGAATTGATGGTTCACTTGGTTACAGGGTGCTCTTGTAATGCTAAGCAATGCAGCAAATATATGTCACTGTAAGTAGTGCAAATAAATAAATAAATTCTTTAAATAAAGAAGTTGAAATATTTTGTTTTAGTATGTAAAAAACCTCTTATATTAATTTTTATTTGAAATTTTCAAAATTAAATAAATCCCTAAAGAAATCTTAAACCCAATTTCTTTGTTATTAGATTTTATTGCCATTAAGCTGAGAAACCACCTTAATTCATAATTACAGCTCATACTGTACATGAGAGATCCAGTTGCCAGCAAAATTATATGTATTGCTCTATGTTATGTTCGTTACACTCTAAAAAGATGATATATAATTAATGTGTTAATAAAAAAGTATCAAGTATATTGATATTTGTATCTACAATTAGATTGGTGTGTAAGAGTATTAACTTCTCTCTCTACCTGTGGGGCCCTGAGCCCTGGAATATTAAGAAACTAGAAAAACAGCAACTCCACGGAGTAGCAAATCCCACCGAACAAAACATGTTTTGGTAAATAGCGGCCATATAAAATTTGAGCCAAATCCCTCACCAAAGGCATCAGCATATACATTTAATCCAAATCCATCAAATGGTATTTTGAAATATGGTGGCCATCTTGAAAATGTCTTCTTGAGCAAGGCTCCTTTATACCCAGGCAACAGCATATAAAATTTGATCCAAATCCATTCTATGGTACTTGAGTTATCAAAGATAACATTTTTTTACAAAAAATGGCCACCATTTTGAAATATGGTGGCCATCTTGAAAATGTCTTCTTCAGCAAGGCTCCTTTGTACCTGGGCAACAGCATATAAAATTTGAACCAAATCCATCCACTAGTATTTGAGTAATCAAAGATTATATTTTTTCCGAAAAATGGCCACCATTTTGAATTTAGTGGCCATATTGAAAATTCCTTCTCGAGCAGAGGTCCTACACCCATAAGGCATAAGCCTATAAAATTTGAATGAAATCCATCAACCGGTATTTGAGTCATTGCCCGGACACACGAACGGACGGACGAACAGACGGACGGATGAACGGACGGACGGCTTTTCTATATCCCCCTCGAACTTCGTTTGGTGGGATAATAAGTATACTCTATCTAACTGAGATTCATAAATGACTGGAACTTTTGGCTGAACTCAAGCTTTGGGAGAAGCTATATGAGGGAAAGGATTTACAGGAATTACATAAGGCAGAGATGAACAATAGAATAGTCGCGGATATTGTTTCTACATGCGTGTTATATATTCTCATTAAAATGTGTTTAAGAGAATGTGTCTGTCATATGTGTTCGGTGTTTGAATGCATGGGTGTAGCCAGGGGGGCTAGAAAAAAGCAATTTGTAAAATTTGTTGAAAAAACAATTACAAATCAAAGTTTGAAATGCTTAGAGTGCACCAGATACAATGTAATTTTTAGGGGGTGAACCCCTGTACCAATCTTTTTGGGGGGTGATGCAAACCCAAAAATTGCACCCCTTGAAAATTGCTGGCTATGCCCCTGGAATTTGTGTATGAATGTTACCTCTGGCTGTCTGGTGTGTGCCTGATTAAACAACCTTTTCTTGGGTTGTCAATGTGGCCTGCCAATCTTGAACACAGAACACACTAAGCTAGGTGCTGTTGCTGCAACCATGAGGTTGTGAGTTCAAGACATGTGAGCTCCCTGCATTTATTCATTCATTTCCTCTTGCATGAGTGTGCTAATAAAAGGATAGGAAGAAGTTTTGTTTTGTTTGTCTAGCTCCTAATTAAGGAGAGTGTTCAATAATTATTTCAATTTCTCTATTCTGAGAATTTGTTTCTATGGCCATTCATAGTTTCCCAAGTCTTGTAAAAAAAATATGATCCTTCAAAATTATGATGATAGGGCAATTTTAAGGTCATACTTGCGATAGGGCCTTGGATAATAGTTTCTTTATTTTCTGTTTGAACATTGCTGTACTTGTTAACTTTTATAACTATACAAGTCTATCCACATATGATCATCATAATATCAGTTATTTCAATGACAATTCAATATTGGTATATTGAAATCCAAGTAAAAGGATAAAAGATGTCACTAGTGTACGATAGTGTATTTTGCACTGTACGTGTGGTTTTCTGAAATTCAATATATTAGAGATTAAAATTTTAAATTTTTTACTGAACTTTGTGGCCTGGTCAGATTATAAAGTTTGGCAGTCACTTTAAATATTCCTTCACAAATGACCATAATCCATTAGCCCAATAAATTAAACCAAATCTAACAACAGATACATGACTTACATTTGTTTTACAAAGATGGCTGAGATTTAAATCAAGTGGCCATCTTGAAAATATCACCTCAAGCAATGATCCTATGCTTTTAAGCACCACCTTATCAAACTTTGACAGTTGATATTTGAGAGAATTACAATTTTTACAAAAGAATGGTGGCCATTTTGAATTAAACAATCATCTTGAAAATTCCATCTCAAGCAGAGGACCAACCAGTAAGTTTGCAATAAAAGATAATAATATATTGAAGATACACTATATCATCCTGACATCTATTTTAACAAATTCATAAATTGAAAATTCCAACTTCATTTATTCCTTAAAGTCATTGCCGCTTAAAAGTATGACAAACACAGTAAGAAAAAATGACTTTCTTAAAAGTCAAGTAGCTTATAAATAGAACTTACTACTCAATCATTGTTATACTTTTATTTACCAGTTGCGAGTTATTCATGACATATGAAAACACCTCACTAATATAATATTTAATATCATAACTTTTTGGGAGCTGAATGAACTGATAACAAGCATTTGTTCGATGCACTCCAGCCTACCTCCCTGCAGATTCTAAATTCATCTATTCCAGGGACCACACGCTCTATTTGAAATTACATCATTCCATTGAAATTTAGAGTTTTCATTTTATACCTGTGTAAGTGGAACACCTTTGGTGCCTCTAAAAATTGTTCCACTTGGGATATGTTCCACTTACAGAGGTTAATTTAACAAAAATAAGTCAATACTCTCAATACTTAGAGAAACATTCTACTTATTGAGGTGTTCCACTTACAGGTTTTACTGTTCACCTATTTCTTAAAAAGATATTTTACTTTTACATGATATATAAGTGGCAATTCTTTCATGGAGACAGTAGTCACAGTTCAATGTATTCAAATATTTCAGCAGGAAAATTACACAGGAATTCGTCATGTTATTCAATACAAATGAGAAAACTGGAAATCTATGACACCCCTGAGAACCACAAACAAGACTCAGATTAGTTATTGAAGCACTTTTTGTAGCTCTACTTGTTCATTGTCCTCTTTGGCAGCTTCTATAGCATCATCAATGACTTGCTGGTGTTCTTGAAAGTACTCACGAAACCAGTGAATATATTCTTTTTTCTTCTCGACTGACAAGTAGGGATTTTTTGATAGTCCAATACAAACTAGTTCCATAAATACTCTGATAGGTCCTTGTTTCGGGAAATCTTCAATGTGTTTTTCCAAAAAGATGTGTTCGTGGAACGGCACATCTTTATCTGGAGCCCCTGAAATGCAAACAATAGAAGTGTGCAAGAGATTTAAATTGGTGATGGTCAGGGGTACAGTTATCTGTAAAGCATTCCTATATTGAAGAATTACGAAGCTATGTAATTATGACATCATGATAACCAGGGTAACAACAATGGATATATTAATAGATTGGATAAGAACAAAAAGAAGAAAAATCAGTGTATCATTCACATAATATCGTTAAATTTCCTAAATTTTGTTTATTTACTAGACTGGGTAGCAAGAAAGTAGGTTAACAGTTACAGTTTACAGAATATTGACCAACTTTTGAGCCACCCTGTATATGATCATATATGGCTTGACAAACCTACATAGTTAGACATAGTTCTTCTCTCAATGTATTTCCCTTTTTTAGGACCATGACCATTTTGTATTACTTATATTTTCAAAAGAGTTAATATTTTTGGAAAAGTCAAAAAACAAGATTCACATTTCATATTAATTAATATCAAAAAGCTAAAACTGAATTTGGCGTCATACTTTCTTCATTGGTGATAGGAAACTTCCAAAGTTTTTCTTGCTTGGTCCAAGTGATCATTTCCTCAAATAAATTATTGGGTGGGGCAAGATTCTCTCTCTCTTCTTGCTCTATGGTGTCCCACAGTGACTTCTGGACTGGTTCTGAAAATAATGGACCACATATCACGCTATCCAGATGGTGCTTGCAGAAAACGCTTGGTGTGGATATTATGCATGCATGGTGTGGAGTTAACGGTAAATTATTAATTTGAAGTTGTGATATATCATAAACTTGGTATTCAGTTATATTCCTATGTGTAGACGTTACCTAATAGAAAGGAAATTGTGTACTAGTATATTCATTTCATAGTGTGGCAGTACCTGTAAGCATTAAGCCCCATTTTAATGCACAGATTTTAAAAAATGCCCCTTTTATACACTGTTTACAGCCTTCGTCAGTATTGGTGATCAAGATACCCTTTATCAATACAAAATATTTTTCACCTACTTTGAATATAAAAATGGAAAAAATATTGGACCTGTGTCAACCCTAAACAATTGGTGTGGATAACCTCAATAAACTCTGAATTTAGAATTCATATTTTATATCATGATATTTTTTTGTATTAGGAATGGACCTGGATCATGACAAATGGTTTCACAAATTAAATCCTTGCACTACTAATAGAATGGAATACACAACTATTTACATAATTTCCCTTTGATTAAAGTATCATCTACACATATATGGATATGATTGAATACCCAACATGGTTTAGTTTATAAAATATCACAAATTCAAATGTGAACATAATTCCACATAGCACATGCATGATATCTGCATCTAGCATTTCTGCAAGCTCCATTAGCATAGGGTGCATGTACAATACAATACATATGCAGCATTCACATTTTACATGGGAGTAATTCTGATTATATATCAACAAGATTTCAGGCCATCTGCCTGGCAAACTGATCACAACAGAGCATCTAAGGGTGCAGTGATAAAACAGTAATATTAATTTGCAGATAAAAAATGTGCCATCTTCAAGTAAAAGTACAACTCAAGAAGTCCAAAGTGTGCCTCATTTCTTCAGTTTTTATCATTTAATATATTATTACATGAAAACCGTAAAATATGCTAGATTTAATCTGGTAACCTGGCCTGAATCATGGCTCATATACATGTTCCAATAATGATCATGCATGAATTCTACCGGTGCAAATCAGAATCTGGTTGCTAAGGAGACAACAGTCTCAAGTTCAATACAGTTTTCCTTATCAGGTTAAATCAACTGAGGATATCTGACACCAACTGAACATGTAGATCTCTTTCAGTTATTCTATTTAATCTAGCATCAAGTCTCTATTCCCTGGTCTCCTCAGCCTGTGTTGGAAGAATGAAGGGGGAGAGGGTGTTGATGCAAGACTAAAATGAACTGGTACCTGTTTCTATGTGGGTCAAAGCTTCAGACTTTGAGGCAGCGTCAAATATTGATAGATCTGAACCTTCAAACAAGCCAGACTTCCCAGTGCTCCTACAAAGGTATATAGAATACGAGGGTATATCATAAAGTTCTCATAATATCTCTCTAACTTTTTTATTTTTCAATATATTCTAATGAAATTTTCATGAAATCTGCAGTATAGAACACTCTATTAATCTATCAAAAAATATTTGGTATTACAGAAATATTAGATAAGTAATGGTTTCCATAGTAACCGGAAATCAAGGCACCCGGGGCAAATAAAAATAATTGAGAAAATGAGCTTAATTAACCATGTTTACATACATAATAAACTCTCATAAATTATCGAACACATTAAAATGTTATCTTGAACATGTTGCTAAATGCTTTTACTATAAAATAAATTGATCATGTGAATTGTGTGATGTCATAGGGGATGCTTACATGCTTCATTAGATGTGATACCAGACTCTGAGAATCAAAGCTTAATGATCAGAAATGACTGAATAAGATCATGCATAGATGCAAAGATCATCAGAAAAATAAAATTCATACCTACAAAAAGTCTAGATAAGTTCAAAAAATCCTTTTGCTTATACCAAAGATGATCTAAAACAAATATGTTGCAAAGATATCAACAAAATTACCCCACTAATTGTAGTCTAAACATATTTAAGATGAACTAAAGAGGGAAAATCGACCTTCCATAGAATATTTGACAAAACAGTTGTAGTGTCTAACATCACTTCTAATGAAGCATTACAATCATCCATTATGAGATCACACAATTTACATGACCATTATAATTATTCAAAACAGTCAGGAACACATGATATTTAACAATTTAATGTGTTTCATGGCTTATTTGATAACTTATTATGCATTTAAACATGGTTAGTTGGGGCTATTCTTGCACAATTTTTTATTTGCCCCGGGTGCCTTGATTTCCGGTTACTATGGCAACCATTTCTTAAATAATATTTCCGTTATACCAAATATTTATTGATATATTAATACAGCATTCTATACTACACATTCTGTGAAAAATTCATCAGAATATATTGAAAAATAAAAAAATAAGAGAGATATTATGAGAACTTTATGATATACCCTCGTATATAATATTCCAACACAAGGATAAAATACAGGGTGTTTCATATTTCTTTAGAAATTGTAGCTGTTCAATTGTATGTCATGGATCAAATGGACACATTTTGTAGTGAAAGTCCAGAATTAACTATCTTTCATATGATATACAGGGTGGTCAAAAAATGGCAACCCTGTCATTATTTTCACCATATCTTTGTCATTTTAGATAATAACTCTCTGATATTTGGCACACATGAACATCATTTAATTTCCTACTGGCCTACTATGGTATTTCATGACAATCAGACTGATAGTCACAATGTTACAGCACTTTAAACAGCATGGTCCAGTGACCACTATTGCTCTGTAGGTAAACCTGCATACATCGTCCAAAATGTTTGTACTTTAGTGTACAAGAATGACCTCAGGACAACTGCAGACCTCAAAGGAGATATCTGTGTCTTTCAGGCAAAACCTGCTGAAGAATAGTCGGGTCATTTACAGCTTATGCAGGTTTGCCTACAGCACGATGATGGTCACACCTGGGGCATGTTGTTCAAAGTGCTGTAATATTGTGATTATCTGATGGTCATGAAATATGGTAGGAAATTGAATGATGTACAAATGTGCCAAATAACAGGGTGTATTTCCTAAAAAGATATGAGGAAAATACTGGGTTGCCATTTCTTACCAGCCTGTATAACACATGGAGGCATGCCATCTTGGATTGGTGGGGGGACGATCATTATGAAACAGCCTGTATAAGAAGTATGTTTTTAAATGATGTCTACATCAGAATATTGGAGTGTCATTCTATTCCTCGTATTGCCTAAATATTCTATTAAGACAATTTAACTCCTGTAGTACATGTATTTTACTCCTACTTTTGTGTGTGAATGGAACCAGTGTAAGTTGCATGACCAATACCTTTTTCCACCTGCTGCGTATTGGTTCCTATTAGCTAGATTAAAGTCTCTTGATTTTGTGTTTCTTCCTAGTCCCTCACTCCATGGTGCAGATGGCGCTACCGCCTCATCCTGGCCCCTCTGAGCTACGATATATAATAGTAAAGTTAGGAACTTCGGGAATATTCATACATTTTTCAATTCATTTGTATAATATTGTACTTTTAAGTATTATATAATTTCTAAATATTATTATATTGTATAATAAGATACTATTATTGTATTTTCAAACATTATATTATTATAGTTTCAACTTCATTTCAACTTTATTCGGCTAATTCACTTACAAAAGAAAAGGTAACAAATAAAACATCAAAATTATATCTATTCTATATTATACCATTTTCAATGCTCAATGAATTATATTGCTGACTTGGTTCATCTGGTTGATGGTCTTTGTCTTCAATTCAAAAATAACATCCACATTCTTGAGATGAAGCAATACAACTCTATTAACAGCTAACATTATCACTAACTTAACATATTTTTGGTTCATTATACATTTATTTCAATCATATTGCAGTCAAAAGAGGTACACAGGTCGCTGCCTAGCGCAATGTGCATTACAGGCTAACTTAACATATTGATGCAAATTTTTCAAGATTTATTTCCTAAGAGATCCCATTTTCATGTTCCTTTTATTTCAAGCTCTACCAAAACCTTCAAGGTTTTGGTAGAGCTTGATATCAGTACATATACTCCATTCATTATTAAAAAGTCACCATTCATTATTAAAAAGTCACCATTCATTATTAAAAAAGTCACCTTACCCTGTGTTTGTCCTTGGTACCGTCTTGTTTTCTTAGGTCCTTTTTCGAGCCTCATTCCCGCAAACAGATCACTGAAATGTCGGATAAGAACCAAAATGGTTAATTCATAGCAACAATCCATAAAACAAAGGTATTCATGTTTTTGTAAAGTTTGTAAATAAAGATGCGAAGTACTGGACATAATATGGTGTCATTCCTTGAAAATAATCAGACAAGGCATTAACATGCAAAATGTCACCACCTGCCATTTGCAACAGACATCAACCGTTGAATATCAACCACTGAACACATCAAAAAAAGTTGGAGACCATAATAATATGTCACCACTTCCACTTGTTGTAGTGACATGTTGCTTACTGTAAAAACTAATGAAATTGGGACAGTATATTTGTGATGAAACAGTTGTTAAACTCTGCTTCCAAGGTGATAAAATAGTCCACCTTTTCTTCCCTCACCTCAGATTTGTTTCTTTTGTTACACCTTTCTTTGCTTCTTCTGTTTCTTTTACATGGGACTTTAATTGATTCAGTAAGTCAGATTCTATTTTCCGGATGTTTCCTCCCATCGCTGTGGCAACCTTGCGAGCCGCATACACTAGCTCACCATCAACTTTGGCATCTCTGGAATGGAATACATGTACATGTATGCTTGAAATTTAGGATGTTCTCATTAGGCCCTGATGGGTGCCAAAATTGAGGTGCCTCATGGTTCATTGACCATTTAGATTTGAGGTTATTCTCCTAACCTATTGCTGTCAACGGCGACCTGGCAATGACCCGCCTTATTGGGGAGGGCCTTATTGGGGAGGGGTGGGCATTAGGAGACATGCATCAATGTTAAATGCTTTATACAGGGTGTCAAAAAACAACGGCACCCCCCTCTACAGCAAAAATTACTTAATGTTACATAGTGTGTCATATCTCATTTTAAAGACAATATAATTCTGCAGTTACCTGAGAAATATCAGCTTTATATCATATAATTTTACAGATTTACAGCTGACTCTTAGTAGTCGGTATGACCACCAGTTACTGCTCAAATTGCAGCTTATCTGAATTGATATGATTTCAATGAAAATTCAGATAAAGGTGTAGCATTGCATAATCCTCTTAGCACTTTCCTCACATTCTTCAGAATAACATCCTTACTTCATCTTTTTTTCAAGAGGCTCGTTGTCCATCAATTCCTTTACCCTGTTTTTCAGAACTGAACCCATATGTTCAGTGCAATTGAAATCTGGGCTAATTCTTTCATATTCCACTTTCTGAAGATTTGACAAATAACTCGTAACAGAGCAGCAAGCAAAGGACCAAAGTAGCAAACTTTGAAACAATGTAACTTTTTTAATATAAAGTTTTATTAAAAGAAATTTGATGAGTTACTCCAGAATTAAATTATCTTTCAAACAAGGTATGACAGGATATGTAACACAAAGGACTTTTTGCTGTAGAGGGGGGTGCGGTTGTTTTTTGACACCCTGTACATTTACCCTAAACATACTCTAAATAAGAAACTGAGACTCACTTGTCACTATCGCTATCACTGCCTGAACTACTACTGTCGCTATCACTGCTGCTACTGCTACCATTGTTGTTGCTTGCCTGTGGTCGCCTCTCTGGGGGCCTTGTCAATTTTACTCTGGGTTTATCTCCACTGTCTGAATTATTTGACATGCATCTTTGGAGCACTACTGCTGCCTGAGGCCTCAATTGATGATTAACAAGCCTGGAATTTAAAAGGTAAAAATGATTGAAATGGTTGAAACAGAAGTACAAACAGAGCACTAGCTGAATGTTGTGTTTGAATGTTATGTACACACAAAAAAAAAAAAAATTGGGACAAGTTTGTCTCAAATATTTTATAATAGTTATGATTGCAAAATGTTGTGATGGTAAACACATGATGCCATCTTGCAAGGAAAACAACAGAATTTTTCTCCTATTTTTGACAAAAATGCTACAAGAAAATCACCCCCACAACTACTTGTGTATTGAGAAATCTTGGGGTTTTAAAACGTTGTCAGGAGTTGAATCAGAGCAGAATTTTACCTAAATAATCAATAATCCAGCTTTACTATAAATGGTGATCCATTGAGTTTTAGGTTCTTTCCGAAATTTTTTTTTGAAATATCTAACTCCAGACAAGCAATTGCTTCGATCTCAATATAATTGATATTCTTATAAATATTTCTAAAACTTATTAAATAGGTGTTCTAGGTTCATGTGACATGTACGTGAAGTCACATCTAGCTGTAAGCCAGAGACCCGAATAAATCCAGCTTATTTTGAACTCCAAGATTTCAAGACACAAGTAGCTATTGGAGTGATTTAAAAAATCAACCCCACATTTATGTGGGTACACAGGCAAATAACATTGGGGGCCATACGAGATTGTATGAACCCCATTCCTCAATGGGCTCTGTATAACCGTGTATGGGTCTCGTAACAAGTCCCGTAATTCCTTGTAATTTCTGGGCCTCGTCTTGGGTTGGGATTACTAGGTTAGAACCTGTAATTTCTGACCCATGTACTTGCCCATACGGGGGCCGTATCTGCTGGTAATTTTTGACCCATATTCATTACATTGATTGTAACGAGGCACTTAATAGCTCGTTAGTTCCAAGCTCTGTCATTACGATCCTCGTAAGAACCCATAATTTTTGACCAACATACTTGCCACGTAATGGCTCATTAGTTTCGATAAACTTTTTTTCGGTCCATTTAAAATTACAGTTCAATTATACTTAAATGGGAATAAATAATATGAAATATTTTATAACTATTAACAGCCTGTAATCATGTGATGGAACGGTATAAAGCTAAGAAACAAATTGACAACATATTTATCACCTCATGGGAAACATGCATATAAATACATTACCTTCAGCATCGTCAAACGAGAGTAATTTATTTTGATTGTTAGGGTATTAAGGGTTAGCGTAGTATCCGAGGATAATTTAGAGTATGTTAAATAAGAATTTAAATGTATACATTTGGTAAGTTAAAGGTCAGAGTCTGTTTGGAATTTTTTGGCAATTTTTGAAAGTAGGCCACTGAAAATTCTAGTTATTCATACATTCTAAAGAATGATCAACCTCAATTAATAATCTAGGTAAACTGAAAAATGAAAGATGTAGACCATCATCTTGTATAAAATGAGTTAATATGAGTTAATATATATATATACTGTAACATGTTTTAGACGCACCTATAACAATTTAATTTTAGTGTGCCATCGTTTCAAAGATGTAGTTTCTAAATAAATAATAAAATAAATAAAATAAATATATCTGAATACATCTAAAGTCGGAGACATTAATAAACCTCAACCATTAAAAGTTGTCACAATGAGCTTAATTCTAAGTTTCGTGTCTCAAACTCTCCCAAGCAGAAGATAAATAATTCCTGTTCACTTTAAGTTACCTTCTTCTAAGGCCACTATATTGTGGCCTTCTAGTAAAGATATATTCCTGCATGAACAACTGGTCATGTTGTAATCATAAAATTTGAAATCATATGTCATATGTCATATGGGATAATTAATAATCTAGGTAAACTGAAAAATGAAAGATGTAGACCATGTATAGAATGAGTTAATTTGATAAACCTCAACCATCAAAAGTTGTCACCATGAGCTTAATTCTAAGTTTTGTGTCTCAAACTCTCCCAAGCAGAAGAAAAAAAATTCCCGTTCACTTTAAGTAGCACAATAAATGAATCCAAAGTTTCATACCTGCAAATGATGGATAAATTCCTACCAAATAGAATGAATGTTTTCATGAATCGCCATGTTTGTGATCCAAGGAGGATTATTTCCCAGAATGCAACATCAGTTAACCTTGTTTACTCGTGACAGGTTTCAAAATGGCGGAACGGCATTTTGAAAGCTGGCACGTGTCATGTTGCATTATGGGAGCCAATCCTCCTTGCGGGGTAATCGGGCTCCAAAATCACTTCAACATCTTTAGTCAAGATACACAATTCATATACAAGGTAAACAGATTTTAAAAACATGTGTCTTTATCAAAAAAATATGGCAGTCATTTTTTGATTAATTTAGCTTCGCCTTAACATATGAATATCCACTTCAAATTTTTAAATTCTAATTTGTGATTATGGACACAAATTCCACTATATTTGGACTTACTAGGACGGAGAAAATAGAGCACTGAATACACTGAGGTAAAAATTTATTACATGTGCGACAGGATGTATTTTTCATAGCTGTAGTAATTCTTTATGTTCCCCACTGTACTAACGTACTTTTCGTACTTTTTAGGGCTCGAAGAATAATACAACTACAAGCCTCCTGAGTGCAGTCCTTGAATTTAAAAATACAAGCCTCCTGAGTCCTACATCTTACTGGCTCGAAATAATAATAACATGCCTCGTACTTGCTTGTACAAACTCGAAAACAGCCCCATACAGGCCATAGAGGAGTGTGTTCCTTTTGGCCTGTACTGACTTGTAATTGTCAAACCTCTTACAGGGCCCATATAATTTGCCCTGCCTTTGTACCACTGGGGGCCACACCACAGCCAAATGTGAGATCATAGGTTCTGGGCCGATATAAAGATGGCAGCACCAACAGAATCCAGTATTATATTTTTCTCTCAGGTGCTCAACGAGTTGTTGATGTAGTTTTTGAATACCAATTTATGTCGACTTAACACTATTTCCAAAGGGAAAAATATAACTAGATATAAAGAAAACATATGGATTGAACTACCTAGCACATAAAATCGATATGACATGTCATTAAACGGCACTGTCCCGCTTTGCGAAATTGGCCATGGCAGGAATCAAGTGTTTATTGATTTTGCGCATGCGCAAAGCATACCATTGGTACTTACCGATTTTTAGCAAAGCCTTAAAATAGCATACCATTCTAAAAACTTTCTAAAAATACGAAAAAATCATTTCAGATAGTTTGTAGATGTTTGAGAATAAACGTCTAATCGAAGAGAGAAGTGAATAATTACTACTTCCGGAAATCTGCCATGGCCAATTTCGCAAACCACAATTTTGCTGTTATTAGGCATATTATGCCTATTTCAGTTAGTGTTTGATCGACACTACACACTTAAGGGAGGCATCAAAAGTTCGATGTCGGATAGAAAACTAAATAAATCTAGTTTGGGGGGAGGGGGTTCAAACCCATTTCAGTTTGCTATCCCACAAATTTCAAATTTTTGGCAATTTCAACTCAGAATGCCTTGGAATGGTTTAAAAATAAAGATTTTACCTGATGCTTTCTTCGTCAAGATCATTCCAATGGATTCTATTCTATCAATAGTTGTTAAAAGCCGCAAATTACGATAGGAATTAACAAAAACTAGATCGTGTTTAGCAATAATTTTTCAAATTCTCAAACCGGAAGTAAGCGATCAACTTTCACGGTATTTAATTTTTGGGGGGAGAGGGGGGTCTGAATCAAAACTAGATTTATTTAGTTTCCGATCCGACATCGAACTTTTGATGCCTCCCCTTAGTATGTATATGGATATGTCTTTTAGCAAACAGTAGAGCTGTTCACAAGAACGATCGGCATTTAGGAGAAAATGTGGATTTTAAAAATACCACTTCGGCTCCCGTTGATTACCTGAAGAGAATACCTATAAATAAACACAGATCGATTACCATGACATCTTTATTTAAAAATATTCCTATCGGCCTTTGCCTACAGTTGGGGACAAAAATAAAAGACAGGTCGATTTTCGATCACCATTTCCTAATTATGGTGGTCTGAAAGCCCATAATTTCCAATATTGTCTAGATACATATCCCTTAAAATTTGTATATTTTACATTTTGTATAATCTCATCCACTGATTTATGGCGACGCTATATTAAATAAAAAGTACAAAAAAAGACTGCCATATTTTTTTGATAAAGACACATGTTTTTAAAATCTGTTTACCTTGTATATGAATTGTGTATCTTGACTAATGAAACATGTCAAAGTTAACATCACACATAAACGCATTTTTCCAAACTATGAATTGGAGGTGCATGGATCCCCAAAGCTAGCATGAAGAGTGCGAAGTGAGGCTAATTTTTGAAAGTTTCAAGGAGTAGCCTTGCAACAGTCACACATTTGCAAGAGTCTAAAATTTCCACAAATCATCTTACCTTACCAAGGAACAACGAAGGAGCACGAAAATGTGTACTTCTTGCATTGTTAGAGTATAATAAAGCTCAAACCATTGTGAATTCTAAATATTTCATGTCCACCATTTTGTTTCCTGGAACTATTTTTTAGTCCAGAGTTATCTTCATTCATGTTTCCATTGTTTATCATTCATAAAGCCTCTATCATGTATCTATCATGATAATAACACTGTAATAGATAAAACATACAAGTGATAATCCATGCCACTTGGTGTAGTCACAAAACTTGCATGAGGATTAATCAGGAAGTCTAGAAGTAGTTCCGGCAAACAAAATGTGGACATGAAATATTTGGAATTTACAATGGTTTGAGGTTTATTATACTCTAACAATGCAAGAAGTGCACATTTTCATGCTCCTTCGTTGTTCCTGGGAAAGGTAAGATGATTTGTGGAAATTTTAGACTCTTGCAAATGTGTGACTGTTGCAAGGCTACTCCTTGAAACTTTCAAAAATTAGCCTCACTTCGCACTCTTCATGCTAGCTTTGGGGATCCATGCACCTCCAATTCATAGTTTGGAAAAATGCGTTTATGTGTGATGTTAACTTTGACATGTTTCATTAGTCAAGATACACAATTCATATACAAGGTAAACAGATTTTAAAAACATGTGTCTTTATCAAAAAAATATGGCCGTCATTTTTTGTACTTATTATTTAATATAGCGTCGCCTTAAGGCCTCTTGTAAATTCTCTTATTTTTAACATGGGAAATCCTCTAGACTGTATCCTTCGTCTGAATAAATATTCAGACTGTAAGTCACCTATTGTAAAATGTGGTGTTGTATAAATGTTACAAATAAGTTTGTTTAATGATAAAATGATTACCTTTTAAAGAACTCACAATATTATTTTTTCGTATATTGTCCTCTTACTGAAGATATTCATAAAATGTACAGACGCTTCTTGTAGCGAAGCCATTGATTAGGTCAAGCCATTTTGGCAATGCCAATTCTCACGATAAACGAGATTTAGCCAGTGACGGCAGTCTATTTGTAAACAAATAACACGTGGAGCGGGAGCAACATTACGGAAGCGTATTGCTAAATTCCATTTGTGCGGGAATTTATTAGATCTAGTCATTTATTATCATTATCCCGATTAATTTTCTTCACTTATAGTAAATAGAGCGGAAATATTCATGAAGAAGGCCGAGGTAATCAAGTGGTCATGTGTTGTCAAAGTTCAAAATTTGCATATCTCGTTTGGATCTCGTGAACTCAAACGTCCTTGACATTGATTTCGCGATCTACTTATGAACACATCCTGAAGTTTCGGTGAGTCTGAACATTTCATTATTTTATATCAACTTGTACCCGCCTTATACAAATATTTTTGCTTCTAGTTTAAGATGAACATCTCTTCAATATATTCACCAATTTTCAAGGTGAACATTCTTATAATAAACGAGAAATTAAAGTTGCAACAATTAGTGCAGAGGGGCCATTCAACGATCAGGGACCAGTGTCAAAATATATTTAAGTTTGGCTATTTCATCAAGACTTACATCTATTTTTATATCTACTAAGAAACCCCCTAGATAAACATTATTTCAGCTGATATTCCTCTTGAAACAGGGTGGATCTTAAAAATATAAAAGCGGATTTCCCCTTTTTGAAGCTTTGAACTGAATTTACACTTATTAATGCTGAAATTGATAGTTTATCCATACATTTTAAGAAAATAGGTATGTCAAAGAAGATGTTAAGGCAGATGTTGCCTTGATAGCTCAGAAAAAGTTAAAAGTCTCCTATTTTCTCTCTACAGGCCTTGTTGCCCCTTAATGTGCAAAAAATATCACCGCGATTTCCACAGGAAATATATCAATCATAACAGACCGAATATTATATTCGGTCTGTTGGATACATACTAGGAAATCCTCACTTCAGCAAATCCACCTGTCATTTATTTATGTCCCCAACTGTATGTGTGAGATGATCATGGTGGTTGATGAGAAAACGTCACATACATGTAATCTATCATAATACACATGTTTCATTTTGACTTAGTTTATTAGGAGTTCATGGATCAATAACTATGTACACCTACCTCGATAGCGTATGAATAAGACGAGTATTTATGAGAATACATGATTTACTCATTTTGAACCGGAAACCTTACGCCGCCATGACATGCCACATTCAAATTTGCGTGCCGTTTCTTGTTTTTCATTTATTTTTCTCTACAAGTTCATTACCACAATAGAAGAGCTACCTGATTCATAAAAATTACAATTGCGAACGTATGGTGAACTGTCCTATTTCATTTCATATTTAGAGTAAGTAAATAAGAGTCAACTTTCTTTGGAAAAATAATATCTTTGAAAGTACTTTTGATACACCAATAGTACTTTTATGGGGCTTGTCATTGATCATGTGATCATTTGAGTTTGACAAGAAGACAAAATTTCAAAACATTGAACAAAATGTCTGTAAATAGCTGTATAAAGCTGTATATAAGTGTTTTATGTACTTGGAGTGTACTGACTACTACTATTGCATCTGGCAGTGAACATTCTGTGCCATATAAAGGACATCTTCCTCAGCCAGAATTACAGGGACATTCAGCTCACACTGACTCTGGCCATGGCCAGGGTTCTGTATATATTCCATGGCAAGCAATAGATCAGACATGCTTAGCATTTGTAGAAGCCATGGCACGATCGGCAGCAAATTTTGTAGAATGTAGTGTACGTCACGCTAGACCTCTTCATTTCTGTCAAAGCTGCATTGATGATTATGTCCACGTGCAGTCTGCATATAAAGCCATTGCAGAGGTAGGACATATTTATATAAATTTGTTTATTTATAAACATGCTAAGTGAATAAGACAGTAAAGGGGTTGATGTTATCGTGCACTTAAGTCCTGGGAAGGCCACCATCTTTTGCCTGTACGATTACAAAATGGAAGAATGATCCACTCCTTCTACAGTTGTAATACCTACCTCAATAAATTCCTAAGTATTTTAGCATTCTTTTTATGTAGCTGAATCCCCAATCATCTGGGCTTATTGGCAGAACGAGGAAATTTTCGTTTTTGATAGCAATTTTTGTGTGTTATTATGTCACAGCTAAGGAGTGGTAACATATTGTTATGGTCTCCATTTTTGTGACAGCGGTTTTGACTGACTTCAATTTTTTTCAAAAGCATCTACAAGTTTTCTGAAGTTCAAATCTGACTTAAGATTTGACCTACAATTACTTTCTCAAGGTCTAAAAAGGTCAAATAGGTCTTTTTTCAACTTGCTCCAAATTGACCAATTTTTTTCAAAATTATCTACAAGTACTCAGAAGTTCAAATCTGACTTTAGATTTGAGATTTCACCTTAATGACCTTCTCAGAGTAAAAAAAGGTCAAAAAGGTCTTTTTCAACTAGGTGGTGACATTTTGTCATGCCTTGTTTGACTTATTTCAACCATCAAATTCCTCCATTTATTGGTACATCCAAGCTGAGACTGTAGCACCAGTCAATACAGGGATTCCCCCTCTAAATCCAACCTCTCTCTCGATGAAAAAGGAAAATGCCCTCATTCTGCCGGTAAACCCAGATGATTGGAGATTCACCTCCACAAAAAGAATTGCTAAAATACTCAGGAATTTATTGAAGTAGGTATTTTAAAGTGTAGGAGGCGTGAATTCTTCTCCCATGTTATAATCGAACAGGCAAAAGATTGAGATGTTCTCAGGAATATCACTATCATCATATTTTCCTATCTGGTTTACATGCAAATGTCTTACCTTTCTCATTCCTTATGTAGTGCATTTTTAAATTTCTCTAAACAGATATGCTTTACTTTAAATGTTAGCTTACCTAAATAAACCAATGACCTCCAATTTTTGTTTATATTTGTTTTCACACACCATTGGCAGAAGTATGATTTTCAAAATTTTCAGGCTGAGAAACTCCAGCTACAGTATTAAGTTTCTACTTACTCTTGTACATATATATTAAAATAAAATGGATAATATCATTATTAAGTTTAAATATTCATTACTTTTGGGTCCAGGTCCTTTTGTTACTTAAAATGCCTTGAAATCGGAGAAAACATGTGCAACGAGAATCAAATGGTATTTATTGAGAATTTCACATTCCAGCTATACATATAGAATTTCGAACAATTTGAATAAGTTAGACAGGGAAAAAGCATGTTCAAAGGCAACTACTCTCTTATTATAAAAAGTCATGACAAGGATGGATGTGAGACAAAAAATACTGAACTAGAGAGGTTGTTGGAAAGTTTGCTCTAATACCTGATTTTTCTTTTATCACCTTGAATCATTTCTTCACACATCCTAGTTTTCTCCATGAGAAAAATGCAAATTCTGCGCAGAAATTCTGCATGAAAAAATTATGCGCCAAATTCTGCATGAAATACTGAATTCAGCGATAAATTCTTCAAGCAGCGGTTTCATCGGAACTATTTCGTGACATATTAGACATAATCGTGAAATACAAAAGCGGGAAATTTGAGAATTTTAAACAGGTTTCACATTTCTCCTTTGAAATCCAGTTTCTGGTGACAGATGACTGTCTAAGGACTGTCTAGGTGAGTGACACATATGAGATGAGATGATGTGGTTGACTGGAAAAATCACGTTTTCTGCAAAAAATCAAATTCTGCAAAAATTTTGAAAACCCAAATTCTGCAAATTCTAGTATCTGTGTTTCTTTTTCAGGATGACATAAAAGATTCTACAGGTTCCACATGTAAAGATGTTCTTCTCAGCAGAGATAGGATACAGGTTGTGAAGAAAACATGGTCTTTTGTTGATGACATGTGGTCTAAAGGCTACTGTAGCAGTAAGTACAGGGCAATATACAGGGTGGGCCAAATGTCCTTATTTTTAATTTGGCAATAACTTTTTTTGATTGAGATATAGCCACAGGAATCACAGGATTGCATATGAAGGGTTAACAGACACTTGGGGTCTAAATGAAAATATTAAGATGTCAGAATACTATGGAACAATAATCAAAGCAACAATTTTATACTTAAATTACTCATGTCTCAAAGTCAAATAAAACTACCAGATTCTCAGAGAGACACATAGTGTAGGATGTTAAGAATATTATGAAGTTATTTCTTGCCTCTTGTTGATTTTCAGAAATGCCCTGATTAAAGTTTAAAAACAGCCATACCTTTAATTATATCTGTTTGTCAAATAGCAAGGACTTTGTTTAACATCATGTAATTACATTTCAATAAAGCTTTATGTTAAGTCACCCGCTCTAAAAATGAGAACTTTCTCAAAGTCATTTGTGAAAGTCACAATGTATACAATTGTTACAAATCAACACATTTTTAAAATTTTGTCTATTTGTAAATGATAAGTCAGTAAAAGATAAGTCAGTAGCTTAATTTGAATTTCATGTTACAAAGTTTCCTAAGTATAGCTACAGATTGTAAAAATAGCCTTATCTCTTATCGAAGCTATTATTGTCAGATTATTTAAATAGTTTCAACCAGTTTTATCTCATTGTTGTTTCATTTATTTTACCTACTGTGTGATTTATTAGTTTACAAACATAGAGATATCAGAATGTTACCTTTCTAACAACCGTCGTCTAATTGAACGTACTATTTTTACTCATTTCAAGTTTTTTACAATCTTAAGTAGTAACAAGGCTTTGGGTATAAACTAAATGGGTTTTAATTCTCTTTTTATAACATTCAAACTTATTTAAGAAATATAGACAGAAAAGCAGGGTTATATGGTCAAATACACCCCGCAGGGCTAGGCACAAACGTTTTCTGCTTTTGTGCCTAGCCCCAAGGGGTGTATTCGACGATATTACCCCTGCTCTGAGGTCTATATTACGATTCGAACATGAAAACTCACCAAATTGTTTCGAATATTCATCATGGTCCGCCATTACTACGACCCACACATTACACATATTAACTTGGTTATTGATCTCGAATATAACCTAGCTGAAGCATTGACTTTGTTTACAGTTTATAGAATTCAAACCATTGAACATACCACTTTTTTCAAAATATTCAATGATCTCCATTTTTTTTAGGATAATCATTTTAAAGCTAATCATCAGCTAAGTAAAAAATCTTTTACTGTAAATACTTTAAATTAAATAATTACCAAATTGGTGAACATACATATTTAAGCGTTGTATGTGTAATTACAATTTACATAATTATGATAAGACATGTCCTAATATTCTGACCCTGAGAATAATGAAAACCGAAATACTATATTTTAGTTCGATCTCCTAAATATATTCAATTTACCACGAAAAGGATGTTTTATATTTTTTATTGTAATCACTGTGAATTTTTTGGAATAAAAGTATCAGACTGTATTTGACATTTGCCAGTGAAAACCACCCCCTGAAGACATAAGCAAATCTTTTGAACTATTGAAGTTATGAAAAACAGAACAAAAAAAACTAATTTAAGCTTGCAGAATTTTAATGCAAAAAGATTCCCACAAAAAATAAAAATCTCTTCAAAAAGACCCTAAAACAAATTGTAGGTCCAAAATGAAGGAGATGTACAGTTTTTCAAGTAGTAAATTGTTGACAATTTCTATAAGGGTCAGATAATTATTCACTTAAACTATTGTTAAGGTGATACTCTATCTAATTATTTGATAAAAGGCTAAGTGGATTCACATAGTTATAGTGAATATACAAATAATCAAGAAAAGAAACACTGTTGTTGAAAGATATTTCATCACTGCATTTAGTGAAATGTTGACAAGATTTTTATGTCACCACCAATAAGTGGTGACATATTGTTATGGTCTCTGTTTTTTGTGGCGGTGGCTGGTGGTTGATGGTTGGTGGGTGGCGATTGGCGTCTGTAACAAATTCTTAAAACTTCCAATAACAAATACTGTTTAGACTGACTTCAATTTTTTTCCAAATCATCTACAAGTTTTCAAAAGTTCAAATCTGACCTTACATTTAAGATTTGACCTTCAGTGATTTCCAAGGTCAAAAAAAAAGTTAAACAAAGGTCAAAAAGGTCTTATTTTCAACTTGCTTCAAATTGACCATTTTTTTTCAAAATCATCTACAAGCTCTCAAAGGTTCAAATCTGACTATAGATTTGACCTTCAAAAAGATTTGACCTTCAATGACTTTCAAAGGTCTTCTACTGTGTAGACTGACTTCAATTTTTTTCCAAATCATCTACAAGTTTTGTTGTATGTATGTGTGATTTATGTATCAATATGACAATGACAATGTACAAAATGCCATCAGCAGTTGAAAATGTGTGTTGTTATCAAAAACTTTGAATTAAACATCAACAATAAAAGAAAATATAATGTTGAAATTAATTTGTTAGATACTTTAATAAAAAACATATTTCACTGTGTTATTCCAGGCTGTTTTTCATCATACAAGGATGTGAATGGAACAGTTGAGAAGGAATCTTCACATGGAGCTCATGAGTTTGAAATACTCTTCCAAGAAGTAGCCTCATGTGTGTCCAATGTGACAGGGGTAAGCTATAATTAGGTCTTTAAGCAGATTAAATGAGCTTCTATTAATTGGAAATGGGAAAACATCAGTATTAGCTAAACATTTCTCGGTCTCACTCTTGTTATGAATTCAGTAAAAATATCACTCAATACAAAGTACCTGTTAGTCTTTAATATTTCTGTAGTAAAGCTTTGATACCTTAGTTTTGGGACAAGTAAAAGATGATTTTCAGGTTACTCTGATTGTAAAAGGAGTGGTATGCCCAAATATGACAGGGTGCTGTTTTCCTTAAAAGAGGGTTAAGTATTTCCTGAGACAACAATTTATGCAGGCAATTATTTTTCTCTACCCCTTATATGATTATGTATGGTCAAATATAAAACCAATGTTATCTGATGTTATCTTTTCAGGGTGGGATATCTCCATATAACCACACAAGTAAAGGGGGTGCCCTAGTGTGTACTAAATGTCTTGATTCATATAACAAGCTGAATAAGCACTATGCCCATATAGAGCATGAGACACACAACCATGTCTGTGTAGACCTTGTAGATGCTGTAAGTATACAGAGAGAGAGAGAGAGAGCTGGGCTTTGCTCCTTTTTCAAAAAGGAAACAGAATTTCATTTTCACAGCACTTCTTGTCCACCTTTGAATAGAATTCATAGAGATAGAGAAGGGAAGGTTTGTTTTGGGAATCTAACCCATGGGATGGCATTTTCATCAAAAGTCAAATAAAAAAATATGTCCAAAATGACTAGAAATTCTGACATTTTTTTCAAAATTTTGGGTTGTAATATTTCCTTCTGTACATTACATTTTGCTTACTGTTAAAACAATTTTTCTGTTTAGATGAACTACACAAGAATTATGTGGAGCGATCAATTCCATTGCACGGTGAAGTCTCGTGACCTGATCCCCGTCATCTGCCTCACCGTCTTCTTCAGCCTCCTTCCCATAGTCTTTTATATTGGCAGCAAAATACATGGTGTGAAACAAGAAAGAAAAATTATAAAGCGTAAGTTTGACACTTTGATTAGAGCTATTTTTAACATATTTTGGAGTAATCATATATTGAGAAATCATTGAAACAATGAAGTCCCTTACAATACATACATTATATGAACCAAATTTGAATAAAGTAGTAGCATAATTTAAAATTGTACTGTAAACTATTGAAGTTGCCGTTTAAATAAGAATAGGTCAGTCTTCATATTTGGAAATTTAAATAAAGTCCAATAATAAACGATCAAATCAGAAGCAAATGGGGTATATAAGTTGAGGTATACCCTGAAGCTATTCCAGTATAAAAAATGTGCATTGCTCTCCTTTAATAAAAACATACTTGCCAGATGATCAGATTCAGGTGGTTAAAACAGAATATCAAACACTCCCTGAGTAGGGAAGATTTGCTATATTCTCAAGTATGTCTGTATTAACTGATAGTGCATTCTCTTTGATGAATTGAAACACAATTAATCAAAAACCTAAGTTAACAAACTACCCCAATGATTCATAGATTCTATTGTTTGGTTGTATAAAATAAAACTCATGGCGAAAGAAGTAATTCATTTTATTGTAATGCCTCCTTTGAAAGAAAATGTGAATTAGACACGATCGGGCATAAGGGGTGGCAAATTTGCAACAAGTCCATTATATACATGTAGAGTACGAAAGAATAGAAGATGTAGAATACATAAACAAGATACATCTATTTCTTGACTGTTAATTCCATAGCCATGATCTATCTTAAAGGTGCCAAGTGAAAAACTTTGAGTTCAATGCAAATATTATAAAACTCTAACATCCCTGAGCATGTCAAGTGGTAAAACTTATGACTATGTTTCTCTGTAAAGCCTAGCAACTTAACTTTTACCAAAATCTTTACTTGTATAACCTTGACCTAAAAGTTTTATCAAAAAATAAAATCTAAATATTTTGGGCATTCCCTACTCTATCTACTAAGCTGGGATACACAGACCCCATATGCTGGGTTCAATGAAATATTACAGTAAAACCTGTCTTAGTGAACACCTCTCTCTAGTGAACACTTGTCTCTAGTAGACACTCTTCATCCATACTCTATTGACTTCTGTATAAATCTATAAGTTTGGAGCACAAGATGATAAATGGTAGACTTAAATTGTTACACTGATCCAAGTAATCATTGAAATACAGTGTACAGTGTCTTTGTGATCACCTCTCTCTAGTGAACACCTGTCTCTAGTAGACATCCTTACTCCACACATACTCTATTGATAAATCACCCTCTGTATAAATCACCCTCTCTGTAGTGAACACTACTACCAAGATTGAACGTTTTTTCTTGGCAAAGAAATGTTCAATTCAAACAGGTTTTACTGTATTATCCAAATGTGGAGAAATAACAGTTATATCAGAATTGAAGTCCTCACATTTATCATACAACTTACAATATATGCTGCATGTTCAATATTAATTAAAAGGTTTCACTCACATAATCTCCTAAGTCATTAATATTAATGTATATGATATTGGTAGGGGAAAATAAAGTTCATTAATCGATAAACACATATTATTGATGTATTGATGTATGTTTTTCAGAGAAACGACTTAATAGCAGCAGTTAAAGAAATTCCACCCATGCTATCCACAATTGTGCCAATGACTAAAGACAACTTATTGGAGTGATACCAAATCCAGGGAGAACCACCAAATATAGGAGTGATACCCAAATCCAGGGAGAACCACAACATATAGGAGTGATACCCAAATCCAGGGAGAAGCACCCTAACAACCAATATTATAAAACATTGTATTTATTTCAAATAGTTGTCATGCTGAAAATCACTAAATATTAAGCAATTGACTAGTTTAAGAAAACCAAATATCAATATTTGTACATATAAATGTACCGTATGCAAATTCAAGCAATAATGTTTTAATGTGGGATGTGACAGTCAGAAGATGGTGACCATGTACTGGGTTTTTGCACTTAATAGCAATTTACTCAACATAGATTTACAATTTGTTAACAATTACAGGATTTCGATAACCCAGATGTGACCCACTGTGTCTATGAGTTACTAAACCATACCATTTTAAATGAAAAGTGAGGATACTCTAAATATGACATCCGAAATACTAATCATAAAAATGTTCATATCAATAGACAATTAGCAACATGTAATAAGTGCATTTATTATATTTGCACTATATCTGTAACTTTTGTCAAAAATATATTGCCATGGATACCTCATTTTGCATCCATGACGAAACAGTATTTAAAAAAAATGTAAGGCAAACTTGGAAATCAATGTGCAAGATAGAGGTGCATTTCCACTTTTTTTTTATCTTAGAACAAAATATTTAAGATTTAAAGTGTTTTGAATCTGCCTCATGTGTTCAGTTGTATTTAATATTATTCCTCCCCATTTCAGTATTTTTGAAATATTTTAATGTAAATATTTTATGCGAATTATACATACACTGAACATACATTATATCATGCAATGGTGTAAGCCATGTCCGCTTAAATGTTATCCATAATTTCACTGTATTTAAGGGTTATTTGCAAATCCTGCTCAAAGGGTCATCCCACCTATTTGACAAGTTTTTATGTCACCACCAAAAGTGGTGACATATTGTTATGGTCTCCGTTTTTTTTGCGATGGCGGTTGGTGGTTGGTGGTTGGAGGTTGGTGGTTGGTGGTTGGAGGTTGGCGTCCGGCGTCTGTACCAATTTCTTACAACTTCCTATAACTTAACAAATACTGTTTAGACTGACTTCAATTTTTTTCTAAATCATCTACATGTTCTCAGAAGTTCAAATCTGACTTTAGATTTGACATTTGACCTTCAATGACCTTCTCAAGGTCAAAAAGGTCTTTTTTCAACTTGCTTCACATTGACTAAATTTTTTTTCAAAATCATCTACATGTTCTCAGAAATTCAAATCTGACTTTAGATTTGACTTTAGATTTGACATTTGACCTTCAAATCTGACTTAAGATTTGACATTTGACCTTCAATGACCTTCTCAAGGTCAAAAAAGGTCAAAAAGGTCTGTTTTCAACTTGCTTCAAATTGACTAAATTTTTTTTTCAAAATCATCTACGTGTTCTCAGAAATTCAAATCTGACTTAAGATTTGACCTTCAATGACCTTTCAAGGTCAAAAAAGGTCAAAAAGGTCTGTTTTCAACCCTTCTTCAAATTGACTAAAAAAAATTTTCAAAATAATCTACGTGTTCTCAGAAATTCAAATCTGACTTAAGATTTGACTTAAGATTTGACATTTGACCTTCAATGACCTTCTCAAAGTCAAAAAAGGTCAAAAAGGTCTTTTTTCAACTTGCTTCAAATTGACTAAAAATCTTTTTCAAAATCATCTACATGTTCTCAGAAATTCAAATCTGACTTTAGATTTGACATTTGAGCTTCAATGACCTTCTCAAAGTCAAAAAAGGTCAAAAAGGTCTTTTTTCAACTTGCTTCAAATTGACTAAATTTTTTTTTCAAAATCATCTACATGTTCTCAGAAATTCAAATCTGACTTTAGATTTGACATTTGACCTTCAATGACCTTCTCAAAGTCAAAAAAGGTCAAAAGGTCTTTTTTCAACTTGCTTCAAATTGACTAAATTTTTTTTCAAAATCATCTACATGTTCTCAGAAATTCAAATCTGACTTTAGATTTGACATTTGACCTTCAATGACCTTCTCAAAGTCAAAAAAGGTCAAAAAGGTATTTTTTCAACTTGCTTCAAATTGACTAAATCTTTTTTCAAAATCATCTTCATGTTCTCAGAAATTCAAATCTGACTTTAGATTTGACATTTGACCTTCAATGACCTTCTCAAAGTCAAAAAACGTAAAAAAGGTCTTTTTTCAACTTGCTTCAAATTGACAAAATTTTTTTTCAAAATCATCTACATGTTCTCAGAAATTCAAATATGACTTTAGATTTGACATTTGACCTTCAATGACCTTCTCAATGTCAAAAAAGGTCAAAAAGGTCTATTTTCAACTTGATTCAAATTGACTTATTTGTTTTTTCAAAATCATCTTCATGTTCTCAGAAATTCAAATCTGACTTTAGATTTGACATTTGACCTTTAATGACCTTCTCAAGTTCAAAAAAGGTCAAAAAGGTCTGTTTTCAACTTGCTTCAAATTGACCAAATTTTTTTTTCAAAATCATCTACATCTTTTCAGAAGTTCAAATTTGACTTTACAAGTTCTCAGAAGTTCAAATCTGACTTTAGATTTGACCTTTGACCACCTCAAGGTCAAAAGGTATTTTCCAACTTGCTTTAAATTGACCAAATTGTTTTAGGTGGTGACATTTTGTCATGTTAATGCCTTGTATTTACATGTATTCATAGAAAAAGTATCTAACCGCGGATGAAACAAAGATAGCTCTGTTGATGTTCATTCCACTTTTCCTCTGTCACTACTGTATGCTATGGTAAATTGATAACAAGCACCTCTCTAATCTGAACAGTTTCACCCATTTTTAACTCTCCCATGTTCCATGTTAAAAACCTCAAAATTTGAACACTTGCCTGGTCCCAATGGCATTCTTATTAGATAGGTTTTACTCTACATGTATATGAATTTGATTTCTTGCCATATTAGAAGTGCCATTATATCTGTGTATTATACAAAATTCTGTAAAGTTAGATTTAAACCAATGCAATAATTGTATGATTAGTAAATAGCGTGAAGTTTACTGGAAGTCATCGTGAGCAAAAATTGATGTCTTAATAACACTGTAAGTTGTGAAAGTAAAAACTTTCCAGAGGGAACTACTGTTAAGGTCAATCTATTAGTTAATTGAAAGGTATCAGTTGTCCTCCAAACACAAACACAAACAATAACTATATTTTGCTTGACACCTTTTATGACCATTGAAAATGTTGATTTCAAATCCTTAGTAAAAACTGTGTAAATGTGCAAACATGTGCCTCTGAGAAATGTCAATTCAAAATATAATTTTTTGTTTGTTTTGAAGGATAATGATTGATTTTACCTAATACGACTTGTAATTTAGATTTGTAAATACTTTATGAAATTTTTGTTTGCTAAAAGCAAGAAATGTTAAAATGAACAAAACACATAGTTCTGTTTGTATATAATGTTGTTATTAATTTATGAATCAAATAATATATATGAAAATATGAAATAAACACAATTTAACATATGCATAACAATGCATTTAATGTATATAGAGTAATCCCAACTTCTCGCATTGCTTTGTGAATGTGAACTGAAAGTCAGATTTAATTTCAAGAAAAGTGTTTTTCAAAGTTCTTGTACTGTACTGTACTGAACTTTGGACTACTGAGCTGTACTGTACTACTCTGTACTGTTTTGTTCTGTACTGTACTGCGCTACTTAACTGTACTGTACTGTACCATTCTGTACTGTATTGTACTACTGAATTGTACTTTACTGTTCTGTACTGTGTTGTACTGCACTACTGAACTGTACTGTACCATACTTAACTGTACTGTTCCGTTCTATTCTGTACTGCACTACTGAACTGTACTTTATTGTAGTGCACTACTGAACTGTACTTTATTGTACTGCACTACTGAACTGTATTTTATTGTACTGCACTATTGAACTGTACTTTACTGTACGGTACAGCACTGTTTAACTTTTAATAAATTGTAAATAATATTCATGTACTTTCATATGAACTAATACAATCATGTGTATAAAGATTTCCTTTTTATCCTTTTTTGTGTGATAATTTTGTTTGATTGTTTATGCAATAGAATTGTTGTTATAATGAATATTTTTCATAGACTTTCTTATGTATCCATTGCTCAGGAGTGTGTTATTTGATAATTTGATATACCATACAATGCATGCTTTTTGATAGACACATTTTTTATCAAATGATCTACCGTGTACATCTATCTGTATGTGTATTTGTCCCCACGTTATATCAAATGAAATAAATAAAATTTACAAATAAATTATATTTGTTCTTTCAGGACATTTTATATTAAAAACTTGAGAGGATGTGGAGGGTGCTTGAAAGTTCAATGAAACGGCAATTCCACTTAAGCAAATGGCAACCAAATTGCTATGAATCTGATCAAAATAATTACCTCAATTTCAATATTTATAATCTCATGTATGTTAAAAATTCAATTTTCACATAAACACTGGTGATCCACTCGATTACGCTGGTTACCAAAACGGTTCGCTTTGGTAACAAAATGTCGGAACATCGAAGGTACGATTTTTCTCGTTTCCTTATTTTACACGTTGTAGGCAGAATTCCCACGACATTTTTTAACACAAACGTGTATCAGTATCATATGTTTAAGAAATTGTACATATTTGCGAACAAATAGTTCAGAAGACAACAGAATCGTCGATTTATTTCCTCACTTAAGTTTTTTGAAAAACAGTTAAGATCTGCACTTTTAACCCAAACCGTTTATGTAACTTAAGTGAGGAAGTAAATCGACGATTCTGTTGTTTTCTGAGCTATTTTTTCGCAAACATGTACATTTTCTAAAACATATGATACTGATGCACGTTGTGAGAAAAAACGTCGTGGGGATTCTGCCTACAACGCGTGAAATAAGGAAAAAAGAAAAATCGTACCTTCGACGTTCCGACATTTTCAAATGTCAAAACGGTTCGTTTTGGTAACCAGCATAATCGAGTGGATCACCAGTGATAAAAGACATACATCAGGAACATTTCAGATTGCCAATCAGTTAAAGGTGTAGGTATCATTTTTAAATTTCAAGGGGATGATTCAGCAGAAAGAAGGTACAATATTTGCAAGTACACTGTACCCCCTATTTCACGATAATATAGCCATACTTTGATGAAATCTAATTACAGCTGTATTGTTCATTTTTGCAGTAGTAGTAGTAGGCATTTTAGATTTCCAAAAATGCCTTTCATTTGTTTATAAAAAAGTCACAATTCAGAAAGATTTCAAAATCAACAAAAATTCCTGTTTTTTTACCACCATGTGCAGCCCCTGGGGATCAGATATTTTAAAATGGAATATATATGAAATAGATTATTGTATGTGTGGAATTTTGGACAGATGAACTGCTTTACTGTATTCCTACTGAACATTGTTACTGCTGCATCAACATGCATTGTAGCCTATATAGAAATCTAAGCCTCCTATAATCTTCGGGAACAGAGTTTCCGTTGTAGCTGGATACAAGGCCATGTTTGAAAGTATGATACCTTTCCCCAATGTCCTTCATTATCCACCTATCACTTGGAGTAGAACATTTGATTTTTGTATATTTCAATACACTAGCAAACCACTACGTCCTTATGATGATGATAATTATGATGATGATGATGATGATGTCATAGTGTACAAGAACTGGCAGTTAGAAATTTTCTGACTTAAATATTTTTTCGCAGTCCTTCAATGTTCAGATTTTAATGCCACAATCACAAGTGAATTCTATACAAAACAATACTATAAAACGTTTGTTTATGTACATATATACATTTATTATATAATTTGCCTATAACAGACTTTTCACACTCATAGTTTACGGAAACAACATATCTATTGTACCATTTAACTATTCCCCTACAATATTATGTCTCAAGCATGATACAAACAGAAGAAATTTTAGGTTCACCATTCCAATACAGTTTAGCATTTAGGTGTAGGGATGGTGTCAAAATGTTAACAATTATGGAAAAATGTCAGTTGATATTTTGACACCACCCCTTTTGGTTACTTAAGCAGCTGTGGTAAAATGTAATATGCACAAATGTCAAAGAAACTTACAAATGATACAATTAATATGTCTATGATATACATGTCCGACCTATAGTGCATATTTGAAAATTGATGGCTAAAATATATCAACTTTAATAAAGTTTGTACAATACATTATTCTAAGTTTTCTTAAAAAGTTGATTTCACCCCTTGTCTTACACAAATTGATATTAATATGACAAAATAAATGTTCAAATCAATCATCGAGAAAAAAAGAAATCATGCACCCATTAATATTTCAGATTTAAAAAAATATATATCAATTAACGTGAACAGAATTCAGAGCATTCCTAAAAGTTGCGTACAAGCATGTATCATCAATAATCTGAAATCAATGTTTTTCAAATACCTTCAAAGTCTGAGAAATCTTTCTGCTATATTGTATTGAGGTTGAAGTAAGTTCTTCATGTGAAGTACAAATCACAGATATCAATGATTTTTTGCTTGTTTGGATCATAAGGTCAGTCCAGGCCTCTTTAATAATTGATCCTAATAACCAAAGTGCACTTACATTAAAGGATATAATATAAAAACATGCAACACGTTTCATTAAATATTTTATATGATCATTGATTAAGCTTATATCTTGTATCATGCCATTCAAATGAGTGCATGCTTCATCTGTTTTTACTATTAATGTGCATGCTTCATCTGTTTTTACTATTAATGTAATGTAATTGTTTGTTTTCATGGCTTGTGCAGAATAAATACGATGTTTCTTGTTATGGCTAACACCTATATCGATGGTTAGTAACCATTGGTTACTGTTGATGGCTATTTATCATTTTCCATCATTTGTTTATGTATGTTTCTGATTGTACCCAATAATTAAATTTTTCCATGGTTACTGTTTGTATTCATTGTTACTATCTGTGCCACTCTATCTGTTTTTGTGCCAATTGTTACTGATGTGATGATAACTCTCTTCTCCATGGCAACAAATATTATATGTTCTCATGGTTACTAATTGTGCTCATTTCCATGATTACCATTGATGTGAATGTATCCATATTGTAATTGCTTGTTAATATGGCAATGGCATCCAACTTCCGTGCTGACATAATTAGTAATTACGCCCTTTATGTTGCTTTTGGGAACTGGTTCCTCCTTATCTGCCCTTTCTATTAAGCTTTACCTCCAGTCTACAAGAAAAAATATTTTCTTCATTACAAATATTTTTAAATTAATATTTTTTCTCTCAGTCATGTGTAGAATATAACAGCAACCCTAAAAAGATTTTTTTGGTTGGTTACGATCGTTACGAGCAATCTTGAAAATGATCCCCAGCTCTCTATTTTTTTGAAAAATCCTGAGAAACTTGATTCATGACAGAAATGATCAGGCAAAAATGGATGTATCTTTTTAAATCTATATCATGCTATGTTAGCAATGAAACAACTTTAGTAACATATGAAACATTTGAGCATCATATTCAAAAATTTGACAGCACTCCATATAACAAATATCATCCTTTATCAACCCTTATGAAGGATTCGTTTTTTTCTACCTCAATCAGGGAGCAATGACCAAGCTGTATTTATATCAGCAAATCTGATTGGCTTTTGTGGCTACAAAGGTTTCCAGTCTAAAACGAGGATTTTCATTGGTTCCTGTGTATTCCAAAACATGTCGAGATTGAAATGGAAGAATTTTAACTACAGTATTGCACAAATCCCCAATGGAGCCCCATGAGTTGACTGATTGAAAGACTTGTTTTTGCTGATTTTTCTTTATTATTTCCACTAGAGACTGTTCGATATCAATCTAATGTTATACCTCAAGATAAATGTTTGATGATATATCAATGTTTTTCATCTAAAAATCGTCAGAAAAAAGATCATGACCTTGACTTGACCTTGATGATCACTCGATCTAGTTGTAAATTATGAAAACTCTAATTTGATCATTTCCTTCATTCATTTGGATTATTTTATTTCATTTATTTCTCAATATTTCTTGAACTGTGTGAAAAATATGAAGGACGCAAAAAAATTAGGTGGGACTCAAATGGGTTGTGATCTCAGGGACTCAGAAATTTAAATGCCTTGCGCGAACACTGATAAACCCAATGTATAATCCCCCCAAGGTATAACCTCAACATCACATAGACAGTAAGCTTCACTCTCTAATGCAGAAATTATTTTAACAGTTACTTCACCTTTATTTTAATAAAACACAATAAAAAATACCTGTGTCTTGATTTGTTTTTTCCTTTTTTGTTATGTCTGTGATTTTTGCCGATGTTCTTGCTATGCCCACTTATTGGCAGATCGTTCCTGTGCGATGATTCATTACGCTGAGAAGACTCGCTCTCTGCCCCACTCCCCATGTCTGGACTAGATGGTTGGATATCTCCTGCAAAAGAAATGACTAAATACACTTTGTTTTAAACAAATCTGTGTGTCTGTCATCAACTTATACTCAGAACTCCCGCCGAAGATGATTATCATGATAATTTGGTTTAAATTTTCAAAACGTGTTTTTCTACAAAAATATTTTAAGAAATACATGACATGGATTTTTATAAAAATAGGTAATATTTATCACATTTTATGTCAATATTAATGTAATGGTAGAATACGAGTTCAAAATGTTTGAAAAGCACAAAATCTACTTACTTTTATCTAATTGATCTTGTATCCCATTTACTGCCTTAAATCATACAAATAAAATAAATGTTAAAGTTGATTGTGAAACTTTCAATTATGGTGTCTTATATTGAGGTACTAATACTTCTACAAACAATCTGACTGGTATATGTAGGATGCAAGAATTGCATCCTGACTAAGGTTACAACATTTGTGTAATACAAAGTGGTAAAATAAATTATACAGTAATAATGTGTAATTTCTACTTACAGCAGCTGAAGTGACAGAAGATTTTGAAAACAGTCGATCTGCTTCTTTAAATTTTCTATTTCGTTTATCTGCTTTGCTATTTGTATTTCTGAAAGAAATAATAATTTTAAATGTATATCCTCTGTATATAATTTTAAACACATAACTTCTGACTATGATTATTATTTGGTTCCAACTTTGAATATCATGATACAACGAGGCCATTAAGTTAATTACAAATTATGGATATAACGATTCATAAAAATAAGCAAAATATGTTCCAACAATTTATTCGTCAAAGATTAGTACCCAATGGTAAAGTGATATTAAATATATTCAAAAATTCCATTTTATTCAATTCTATTTCACTTCAATGTATCCTGACTACAATAAAACCTGTCTTTGTGAAGACCTCTCTCTATTGAACACCGGTCTATGACCAAATTTTTGAAGCTTCATAGATGTTCACTGAATGTAGGTTTTACTATACATCATTTTGATTTATTCAAATACTAAATGTAAGCTTAGTAAATGTGAAAAAAAGCTTATGAAAATTAGAAACCAATAAAATATATTTGCATTAATAAAAATCTAAGATTTCATTGATTTATAATTTTCAGTTTCAAAGCAAAATAGCAGAACAAACATTTGTCCTGAACATTTAAATCTTTTACTCTGACTCTCTTTTTTAAGATATGAACTGAGATTTAAATAAAGTAGCCAAGCTACATGAACTCCTGCCTATTTCAACAATGCATACAGTCAGTCTGTCCATGTACATGTACAGTGAAACCTGTGTATATTCAACATGCTTATTGTAGCAATGAGTTCACTAGAGAGGTGTTCACTAAGACACTAATATGTGAATTTTCCTGTCATTTACTTACTTGGTGTTTGTCAGGTATCTATCCCAGCCTCTTATGATATTTCCATACATTTGTGTGTCTTCTAAGTAACTGCCTTCAAATGCATAAATTTGACGTTCTAAATTGGCCAAAGTTTCCTGAAAATGAGAAAACAACAATTACATTTTTTGCGAAGCAAAGTGTTACCATTAAAATAGTTTGAATACTTAAAGCAGTATTTCTACAGCCCATTTCACTGTTTTTTTGCATCAGTAAAACCTAAAAAATAAGATATCAAACTCATTATGCAATAATATATGCCTATTGTACATAAATGACATTTGTTTATCTTGGATTGCTTGTTGTTTGGCTAATAAAGTATGCGGCCTCTTATATTTTGATGCTTCTCTGCCATTGTATTTTCAAAAATATTAAAGGTTGTATATAACTATTAAAGTGATTTTCACTCCTTTTAAAAGCTTTCATACAGCATGTTGCTGTGTATATATAGCACTGATTTTTACTTACACATTTGGAGTGGATACTCATCTTTCATTCCATATAAAGAAAACAGAAATTGATAAAATATTGACGCTGTTACAATGGCCCCTACTTTTAGCAATTTTCAGAACATTTCGACCAGTGTATTTAATGATGGCCCAAAAAATTCCCATTTTCGGGCTTATTTCTTGAAAGCATTATACGCTATTATTATCATATATTAATATGAGGAATCGATTGCAATATGATAGAACGCTTATAGTAACCAAGTTAGAGTAATTTTGTATACAGATGTGAAATAATTTGGGAAATCCACTAACAGTTTGGGGGTTTCTCCAAATCGTTAGGGAAATGACATCACATTACATTGGGTTTTCACAAGAGCGGGCTACTAGTATTACACCATCAATATGCATTGGATGGTATGGAGACATTCATTGTGACATTTGTTTTGAGGAGTTCCTAACAACGGCAAAATACTTTCACTTTCGTTATTAGGCCAAACAAAAATATATGTCCGTTTCCGGAACCCCGACCGACCCTAGTTTGAACCCCCGACCCTAAGACATTTTTTAGTACACTGAAAAATAAAATATTCTATCTCTGCCCCTACTCGATTGAAACAATACATTTCCTTCTGAAATGTTTACTCACATCAGGCCCAGGTGTCCATATTTCTCATACCCTGGAACATTTGCTGTAATATTATCGTTAGGGCCCCCAAAACACTTGAAACACAGGAAATATTGTTTATTTTCTTGAAAAGTTCGCCATTTTTACTCTTCAAAATAGAGGCCCGCAATCAACTCCCAGAGGGGTCTAGCAATTGCTAGGGAGACATCTAAGGTTTCGGGTTTCACCCCCTTCAATAAAATGTGCAATTCCCATTTTACCATGCAGATTTGAAATAAGAAAAATAAAATCTTGGGGAGGGAAACTCGAAAACACAACAGCTATTTGCATACATTTGTCAGCCTGACCTTTCACTTAGGAATGTTTATAGTGGGGAATTTGAATTTGAATGTTTATACCACATGATTGGTCTATTATAGTATGATCTGATCACATGACTTATCATCATCAAGTTTAGGAGGGGTGGAGGCTTTATATCCTGTAATGTTCTCCCATCTGATCTATTAAAAATCAAAACTGAATTTAGGGTAGGGAACTGATTATTGCTCACTAGTGGCTATTTGTAAAGATCTGAGTACCATGCCTTGTCCAGGAGGATTTTGAAGTGGGAAACTATCAATGATACTCTGGGAGAGGGAATTCCAATATACCAGATGAAAATGTTATGTTCTCACAGAGACAAGTTTTCTCTGAATTGTTTGAATTAAAAATATTCTTCTAATGTCTTCTAAAGCTGATTCTGTTTATTTTTGAGTCAGAAAAATTATATTTTTGAGGCATATATTAATATGATGACAACTTTGTAACCTCTGCTGATCCAGTGCTAAATATACTGATATAGTCTTATTTGATGTCCATGAAGGCCTTTATCCAGAAGTTTCGAATGGTATGATGGAATAAAATTGATAATAACATATCAATAGACTTGTGTATTATTATTATATAGGCCTAGTGTCAAGGAAAACTTTGTTTTATCGCAATAATAACAATTTCAAGCGATAATAACAACTACCTTACTTTGGTATTTAGTTACCAGGTGAGAAAGTTAAGTTCGAACCCTGACCAAGTTGTTTATTTAGTTCAATATCTGAAGGTTTTAAGTAAGTATGGATCAAATGATTATAGACTGCATGATGAATTAAGGTCTCATGGCAGTTAAGAGCAAATGACAAAACGAAGAGATGACAAAACGAAGAGATGACAAAAAACATAAGATAAAATATTTTTCTGACTGACCTACCCTAAAAAAAATTGAGTAAAATTTTAATGAAAAATAAAATAATCCTCCTACCTACCTACCCTAATCTGAAAATACATGGAGCAGGAAACAGACATATATTTTTGTTTGGCCTTAGAGCATATTTGATTAGATAGCGAAAGCATATTTATTGCATTTAATTGATGAAAATGAATCTAATTGATGATATTCTTCAAAAAACTCTAAAATATACAAATATCATTTATGTACAATATGCAGGGCTGTCAACTTGGGACCGTCTAACATGAGTGACTTCCAAATGTTGAACACCTTCCTTCAAACTTTGGACAGTTTCACTGAACACTGGTAGATTTTGGACACCTAAATTTTCGTTTGCTTTTTTTCGCCGTTCGGTATTTTACCGTATCGTATTTCACAAAAAACGATTTTTAAAAATGTCAACAAAATGCGTGATTTGCATGATATTTGATCATACACGCTAAATTGAAACATGATTTCTATTTTTCCAGCAAATGCGTGACAATCACGCCTAATGCGTGAGGGTTGACAGGGCAGAATATGGATATACTTCATATATTATTGCACAATGGTCTCCTGATTTCTTATTTTTTGGGTTCTACTGACACAATAAAACAGTGAAATGGACTGTATTTGGATATCAACAATCGGGTCGAAAAATCAAGTCGAATACACCCAGTAAAGACAGGCCTGTCAACTGTCCCGCAATTTGCGTATTTGTCACGCATTTGCTGAAGAATTTGAAGTCACGCCAGTTATTTTTGCGTGACAGAAAATGTCACGCAAATACGCATTTTACCTGGTAATTGTCAAGCAAAAATATTTCTGTAGAAAAATTTCTAAAAAAGATCGTCTACACAGCAAAAATACGAACGCGGGAAAAAAATGTACGCATTTCGTTCGGACTTTTCACGCGAATTATGTATATGTCACGCATTCCGTTCGAAATTTTTCGTACCTGGATCCTGTCACCCCTGCATATCAAGAAACCCAAATTTAAATCATTTATTACTGACATCTATTTATTTAAACGCACAGAGTTTGTGGGGGTAATTCCAAACACTAGCATGGGGGTAATTCCGAACACCTAAATCATCATAATTGATTATTTTATTGTAAGATTGTTGGTATACATCATTATATTGTATCTTTCAGGCTAAAAATATTATGTAGAGGTAGTAGAGGTACTATTATTCAATTCAATGATCTGCTTGCCATTATTTGGAACCCGTTCGTGTTTACCCCCCTGTTTGGATTTGGACGTATTGACTCTAAAATTGAGACAACTTCCGGTATCGATTAGTACAGTTTTTCACCATATTTAACTGTATTCCTAGATATTTGACTACTTAAATACGTTACACACGTATCTTACGATTACAAATTATATGTTTACTAACCGCAATTTCTTGCCGTCTCTTCACAAGTTCGATTAATTCGGCCCGAGAATCAGAAACATTCGGAGGTTTATGTGACGCCATTTTGTTTAAATTGAGGACACATTCCAAATATTATTTCATCATAATCTTATTAGTATTGTATTAATTTTTGATTACTATTGACATCAAAATGATATGTAAGGTATAATCAGAGAAGAGCCTACGTACACTCGAATTGATACATATTTGAAGGCTTGATTTAGTATTTCAACATATATAGAATGTGTTCCCACTAAAAATGGCAGAAGCTACACATTCAGGTGGTTCTACCCAGGTTAAACCTGACCAAGCGTTCGATACATTTTACTCAGAAGTAAGATATACGATCTTCTTTTCTTAATGCATAAGAGATCACATAAGAACTTGAAATTTTTATTCTACATATGTAATAACTTGAGAATAGAATTCTTTCTTTGCACAGATTCAATTTCAACTTCAAGATTGAGAAATGAAAGAAAAATAAACAAGTCAATTCAATGAATGAATTCGAGTCTAGTAAAAAGGGTGCTGTGGACCTCCAAAATTTCATATACAATTCAAAAATTAATTCCACATCTCGAGGAAAATGAATGATATTTCACAGTTCCTATTCCTGTACCCTTCATCTTGGTTTCTGAGGGTAGACTAACTGCTTCTGAGACTTGTTGTGCTATGACTTCTATTCTTTATTTTTAAGGTGAAAGCTATAGAAACACGAGATTCAGTATTGACATCAAAGCAGCAGATTGATCGTTTACTCAGACCTGGTGCTTCATACTTCAATCTTAATCCATTTGAGGTAATGTTTTACTGGCTTTTACTTGTATTAATATGATTTACCTTTTAGCGCAAATTGATACCCCTGGATGATAGCGTAGAATGTGCAGTTTATTGCATGGAGTTTTTATGCTCATTATGTCTCCAAGTCCCAACTTTTTTTCTGGATGATGTTTGGTGGTCGGTGTTCAGCAGTTGGCATTTGTATAAAACGGCAGTTTGTGACATGTTAATGCCTAGTATTTGTGAACATTCTGATTTGTCACCCAATAGACAGATTTTAGAGCAAATGTTGTACACATGGATTGTTTCTTACAATGGAATAAGACTAGATGCGAGTAGAAATGATCGTGATTTACGTCATTAAATATTCAAAATTCAGTCAAAGTGATGTCATATTTGAAATCTACATGTAAAAATACATCTAAAAATATGGTTTTGAAAATTGTTTACTTTGAAAATTTAATCTTTTTTGAAAATGTGACTTCTAGTTCGGGTTGATTCCCCATAGGCCCCATATTGCAAAATCACAAAAAGTGAAATATCTTTTCTTGTATTGGACATATAACATTTTGTTTTACTGGACATACTTTAATTTGCATAACTATTCGATACACAAGGGCTATATGAAAACTGAACCACTAAAACAGATGTAATTTAAGTTAAAGGGAACTTTCTACTATACCCGCCATGCTATCTGACCCGAGCGAGCCACCTGGTGGTAAAACTGGTAACTACCTACTCGCATTTGCGTTATTGCCATTTCCAATCGAGCCCAAAAAATAACATGTTTCAAACAATAAGTTAGTAAGTTTATCTCCTAGGTGCTCCAGGTAGACTCTGATATTCCCCTAAATGAAGTGAAGAAGAGATACAGACAGATGTCCATATTGGTGCATCCAGATAAGAACCAGGATGATGAAGAACGAGCACAGAAAGCTTTTGAAGGTTTGTTTTTAATCCTCTTTGGAAGAGGGACACTTTCTTTATTTTCTTTAGATGAGAAATAATTCTTTGATCTCACGTACTGTCCCAATCAGAATATGTAGTTCATTATTGGCATGCAAACCTTAAAATTATCTTTTGTAGTCAGAGGTTAGTGTGGGATCCCAGGTTACACACATGAAAAAAGGATGGATACTATTTACATATTTGTTGGCCTTTATAATTAAAGACTTTGTACTGTTTATTCTTTACTCGAAAAATTTTCTAGGTTTACAGCATTAGTGTTCCAGATGTGTACTCCATTACCTGCTAATCAACCCATACAGATAGGAAAAGGAGTAGAAGAAATATGCCTTTAAGCAAATCACTAACTAATAATCTTAAGTTTCCAATATTTCTTCTGTTCATTAGTAGGCCTATTTCAATTTAAAATGCCTGTTATATTTCAGCTGTGAATAATGCCTACAAGACTTTAGAGAATGAAGAAGGATACAAAAGATGTCAGGAAGTCATTGAAGAAGCAAAAATACGTACAGATGACATGGTATGTGGGTTTGCAACAGAGAGATGTAATACTGACTTTTCCGATGAATCCTGTTACCTTTTGTTACACTAAGGAACCAAGATAAATTGACCAGATTCGTGATGATCAACCTAAAAAGTTATTGCTCCTGCACCATCTTGTTCTAAAATTATCTCCTCTCCTCTTTTCACTATTGTCATTTTATTTTATGCAGTAAAAGGCTTTATCATGCAGGTCCAGCTTTGCACATTGAAAACCGTTAATTTGAATTTTAGACCTACCAGATGTTTAAAAATCAAGGATTTTGAGTATGAGGAAAATGGTGCAGTATGAGACCCACAATCCTTGAATTTCAAATTAACAGTTTCAAGCAAAGTTGGAACCGCATACCTATGCAAGGTTCGTACAGTAAAAAATATATCATTTTGGTCTGAAATCCAAAGAATTATTGTTTTGACCTTCAAATTATTGTATGCCTAAACATCATTGTCAAGGCAATTCCTTTAAATAATTGACTTTGCTTACAGATAACAAAGAAAAGGAAAGAGTTAAAGAAAGAGGGAAAGCCACAAGTTGTACCTGAAGATGACCAAGAAAAGGTAAAATACATGTCTTGAAATTAGAATAAGTTATCCTGGTTTGGTTTGCTGAACTTCTATTGCCAGGTTAAAGTTTGTTAGGTAGGCCGATAGTAAAAACATTTTTGTGCAGATTATTTTAGTATTTTTGTGAATTTGAAAATGAGAAATTAGTTTATCACTGTTTGTTTCCAGTTCATTTATTTGATCAACTATTGAGGTTTTGCAAGTGTGAACCTAGAGAATCTTTACTACAAGTATTATCAAAATTTATGTTTATGTTGTGTCACCTTCAAATTAAAGGCCAATGGCCATTGACCCACTAAACATTTAATTCAACCACACTAAAATTCACCTGTTTCCACTCGGCTTTGAGACACATTAATTAGCCTAATTAGCACAGAATGAATCTGTTCTGTCCCCCCAGTTGGGAACAGACCAACTTAAAGCAATGTTTTCATGTTTTATTTTCAGTACAAGCATGCCCTCTATGTACAGACCACCAAATTATTTGCTGATCTTGAACGGTTAAGACGAGAAACTCAGATGAAAGAAATGCATGAAAAGTAAGTAAATAAATTCTACCTTAACTCATACTGGCATTATATTTTTTCTTCACATTTTTTCCAATCATTGATATTCTAAGAATGAATCATTGGCTTTTAGGACTGCCAATAGGTGGCTCAGAATTCAGTGGGTTTAATTATAGTGTATGTACTATGTATTCAAAAGTTACCTCAAAAGTTTTGAATGTAAATATCATTGATGATACCTGAAACCTCTTATAATGAATCATAAAGCATAGAATAATTTAATTATAAAAATATAATAGTCAGGGGGTCATTAACAGAACTTTCGCAAAGTTATGATTTTGTTATTCGTAACTTTATGAAATTCGTAAATATTTAAAAAGTTACGAATGATTTACGAATTTGTAAAGTTACGAATCGGCCATTAACAGAACACTTTCATAAGTCATTCATAAGTTTTATCGTTCGTAAACGAATTTCATATTGTGACGTCATCTTATATCATTATTTAGCACAAATAAAAATATGATGTCATTTGATATCATTTCGCGCTGTGATTAAACCTGTCTCCGCGATTTCAAAGATTCCCAGCTCAGGAACATATTTGCTAATCATGTAAGAATAGGTGGATATTTTAGCTTGAAACTTAGCATGCATATAAAGAACCATTTCTTTTTACCAACCTGTATACCTTACATAAGAACTGGATGAGAAATATGCAATTTGCAAAGTTATGAAAGGGTCTGAGGTGGTATTAAAGTTACGAACGAAAGCACATGTGACGTCATTTTTTCGTAACTTTGTGAATCGTTCGTAACTTTACGAAAGTTCTGTTAATGCACATCTACTAAATTCGTACAATTAACAATTGACTTGCGAATTTGTAACTTTGCGAACATTCTGTTAATGACCCCCTGATTAATATAGAAGTTGTATTTGAAAGTTTAATATTGTGAAAAGCAACCCACTATTGAAAATTAATAAACTACAATTATCTTGTATATGGGTCTTGATTGGCATGGCAATGAATCATCCACCTGTGCTTTACATGTGGAATTGTTCTAGATAAGAAAAAATATAACTTCAATTTTAGAAAAAAGGCAGCTGAAGAAGAGGAGAATGAGAAAATTAAGAGGAAAGAACAGGAAGAATGGAATAAAAACTTTGAGGTTTGTTAACATTTTTTATCACATGGCCCAGTTTTTATTTGTTTTTCTGAACCATCAAAGGACTTATTTTATCTTATGGATGACATACGTGATTATAATATTTAGATACCTGCACCCACATGGTAAAATACAGGGGAGGGGGGGGGGGGGCAGAGGGATAGAGAACACCAATACTTTTTGAACATTATTTTAGTGAGCTGGAATCAAGTTGTGTCTTCTATCTATTCCAGGAAAGTAGGACAGGTCGGGTAGACAGCTGGAGAAGCTTTACAGGGAAAGGAGGAAAAACTAAGAAAAATAAAGATAAGAAATCTAAACCTTACCTTGGAGGATTTCGGCCACCAAAACCCAAACCTGAGCAACGCTAGCAGTGGGGTAAACATAAGGTTGTCATCTGATTATATTGAAGACAACTAATATCAGGGACTGTAAAAAGTGTAAAATATGTACAGTTTGTGCCAAGTGTTGTGAATCTAATGAAATTGAAAATATGGAAGAATCTGTGAATATGAACATGCCATCTGATTGGAAAAGCCTTAGTTATATTTAATTGGAATAAAATTTATTTTGTCATTGTTTCCCATACAAGGAGGATTGGTAGCCATTATTCAAACTCCATACTCCAAGGAGCAATTTAGTAAAAGTATTTCTATAAGGTTCTCTTTGGACCAAGTATTTCGTTGAAAGATGGTCGTTACGAATATTTTGGTGGTATTCATGCAAGCTTACTTAGCAGTTCTAGTTTTCAAAATATGAGTAATATTGTTACCAAATTGATCTACGCCAGGCAACGAAGTATCGAGTTTGAATAATGGCTTCCAATCCTCCTTGGTTCCCATATGCTAATGTTTAAAAATAATCCAATAAAATGTAAACATTTTTAGTTGATCAAAAATCAGAGCTTACAAAAAACAACTTTTACTGTACAGCTACACATGCAATGTACATGGTATCTTCTATGGACCACTAATTAAGGCTTTAGTGTTCAGTAAATGGAACATATAATCACAATCTACTAAATTTTGTTATGTCATGTATGATATGCACAGTAAATAAAAAAAATAAAGAGACAAAAAACATTATTTATGATTTCATATTCTGTTCTTAGGAAAATTAGATACAATCCCAGTGCATTGACCTATTAACCCGTCTTTGGGTGACCTTGACCCACAACGATTCTTAAACTGTTAAAGGGGCAACAAAGAATAGTGGAGTGCAACTGTTACATCTGACATTAACCCATCTTTGGGTGACCTTGACCCACAATGATTCTTAAACTGTTAAAGGGGCAACAAAGAATAGTGGAGTGCAACTGTTACATCTTACAATATATTCATGTTTTTTTTTATTTATAGTTTATTTTATTTTCACAAAAATCAAAAAATCAATATATATTCTTGTGCCTATTGTCTATTGGACTGACATGCCCATTAACATCAATATTGGTGTATTTTAGGATCAGAAATAGTAATTGAGTAACTGTAGAATGAATTCTAGATGGTGTTGTCCTAATATGTTAGGGCCCAGAGGCCAACCACTGATTTCAAATCTTCAGTGGTCACACTCAGCAAGAATTTACATATTTGGCCTCTGTTGAGGGTTGACTGATAAAACATAAATGAACTGGGACCTCTCCTTTGAATGACTTCAATTATTAATGTTAACAACTTTTAACTTATTTTTGTAATGATAACATAAATGATTATGAATATGTTTTGTATTTTATGTACATTTTTGTAAGGGCACCCAGTGTTGGTGTGCCACCGTTTTAAAGGTGTAATGAATAAATAAATAACAACAAAATAGAGGTCATTGATTGGAAGTCCTCAAGGTCCGGGTCAAGGGTCTGTATTTCACTGATCATTTTAAATGTATACCCCTATCCTGCTAATAAGTTTATAAATGAAATACTGCAATGCTATACTCATTGGTGTTAAGGTCGTAAAGACTAAGGACTTGGATGGGATGATTTTAAATTCTATTATCAAGTTTTGCTGCTTGTGCTTTGTTTCCACTGAGTAGTGGAAAACAACTGAATTTTGTAGTAGTTTGAGACACCTGTCATGACGCGCCACCTATATAAACATCCGGGCACTTAGAAGTCGTTTTGACAACAAACATGGCGACGGAGGACGACTCGGACATTCCAGGTAAACATTGCTTTGTACTTGCATTCGCTGGCTCTGTCTAAATAGTTTTACATCCGCAACTTAATTCATGTTTATGTGTTCAAATGTTGAATGGGGAAAAATGAGTACAGGCGTTACAGACATAATCAAAAATGGACAGATGTGGAAAAGTCCCATTTATTTTTTTGAGAAAACTTTTTGAGTTGAATTTTTGTGAAACGCAGTCTACTAGGCCAGTGGTTTTGAAAGTTTTGACGTTTTTCCACTATATCAAAGACCCTATCTTTCTCAAATATGCCATTTTATCCAAGAAATAAGACTGCCAGGGCAGCTTGACAATATTTTACACAGAGCTGTCAACTGTCCCGCGAATGGCGGGATTATCCTGCGAATTTTGGATTTCCCAATCACACAAATTCCTTGAATGTCCCGCGTCAGCCCGCAAATTTAGGTGGATGTCCCGCAAACTCCCACGAATTTGGGGCACTTTGTCCAAAAGATCTGTCCCTCAGTGAATCTCAGTTAACTGTCCCTCGATTAGCATGTTTGTCCCTCGAATAGTCTCGCGAAATCCCACGAATTTGATCAAAATGCCCTATCTCCATAGATGATTAAACTTTACTACAGAGGGATATTGACAATGTTCAAAAATGGACTCAAGATTGGCAATTAAAATTCAATACTAAAAAATGTGGCGTACTACATATTGGAAGAAGTAACAGGAATTTCGACTACCTGATGAAAGACAACAACTCAGACCAGAAATCTACAATTAGACATAGTAACTGTGAAAGAGATCTTGGAGTTTATATGGATACAAATCTCAAATTCAGTAACCATGTCAAAACCATAGCAAACAATGCAAACAAAGTGCTTGGAATGGTAAAAAGATCTTTTACATACTGGGACACTGATACATTTAAATTACTATTCAATGGCTTAGTCAGACCCAAACTTGAGTTTGCACAATCAGTGTGGAATCCCTACATGAAGAAGGATATAGAAGCCCTAGAGAAAATACAAAGAAGAGCAACGCGTATAGTTCCAACACTTAAAGCTCTACCCTACCCCCAGAGACTAAAGGCACTAGACCTTACAACACTTGCCTACAGATGACTACGTGGTGATATGATAGAGACGTTCAAATACATCAACTCATACTATGATGTCAACACAACAGCAACATTACCTAATTTCCAAGCAAGAGAAACACACAATAGAAGAGGAAATTCCCAACCACTCCTAAAAGCCCACTGCAAAACCTCAATGAGACAAAACACTTTCAGCCACAGGGTAACAAACAATTGGAACAGTCTCCCAGAGTACGTAGTGCAGTCAGTCCATGTCAACCAGTTCAAGAACCGCCTAGATGCACATTGGTATCACCATCCTTTAAAATTCAATTACGAAATTGCTGGCGTACAAGTAGCCCCCAAGCTACGTTAGTTTCAAAAAGTATCAGAACTGTCATACAGGCAATGTCTGCCTAGGACGGAAAATTACTTATAAACTATTATCTGTCCCGCGAGAAAGAGTTGAAAGCCCATGGAAATTCTTGGGAATTTGTTTCACTCAATCTTGACGATATTCTCATCTAGTACCAGGTGATTAAAGGTACAGTCAAATTTTTTATTCTGTCAATCAGTTCATATGGTTAGAATAAGGAAAGAATGTGATGTAACCACGTGTCTACTTACTAGCTTGTTCTATGTCATCCATCGGACTAGGTTACATCGTGGAACGCAGCCAAACACGACAATGAAGCCAGTATTCTGAGGTTATAAAATCTAAATCTAAATAATTTCCCATTTGCAGCCCCTTGGAGATTTCCGGAATTGAACAAAGTAGCGAACGTTCCGATCTTTCAACTTTAGTTCGTTGTTTTTTCACCACCTTATGTGTACTGTTTTCATTTAGGAGGCGGTCTTATTTGAATGCATCATTACAGGTCTTTATGAATCAATAGATCAATAAACAGCTCTAAAAATACAATTTAGCAGTTTCTTCCATTGCGTACTGCGCATGTTAGGCACGAAAACAATTTAGCAGTTTCGTTCGTTGCGTAATTGGGCCTTCTATAATCAGTAGCAAATGCTCGGAAAACATTTTCCAAAATATTTACTTCCGATTTCCTTGAAGACATGATTGGGTGACACGTCATTGACACGTGATTAAGTCACATGATCGATACAGTAACTAGTCACGTGATCAGACATGTGTCACGTGTCAGTCACGTGAGCTTGCAAAATGGACGATCAAGATAGATATGCTGTTGCCTTCAGCGTCCTGTTCGGCTGCGTTCCACGATGTAACCTAGTCCGATGGATGACATAGAACAAGCCGGTAAGTAGACACGTGGTTACATCACATTCTTTCCTTATTCTAACCATATGAACTGATTGACAGAATAAAAAATTTGATTGTAGGAAGATACATTTTTCTTAATGAGTTATGTAATCTCATCAAAATGGCCAAAAGCACATGTACACACTGACCTTTAAATTAATTGATCTTCATGTGCATAGCGCCTGTTACGCACAGTGCGCCCATGCGTACCAAATGAATTTGACAAAATTAAAAATGTGTTTGAATTTATTGATGATTCTGTATTTGTAGGCTATATTTAACCAAAGAATAGAACTATTTTAAGATGATAAAAATGCTCAGATTGCATCAAATAATGTCTTCCATAAAAATTTCCCCCAGACCCCCAAGATGCGCGGCCTTAGGCAATGCAATCCCAAAGTGGGCATACCAACTCAAATTATAGCCCTACGCCCATGATCTTTATAAAATTTTATACAATTTTTTTATTTTATAGAAAAATACTGACTAATATTATATCTTTAAAAGTCCTCCGAATAACGTCAAATGAAGCTAAAATTATGCAATGTTGCAAAGTGGCGTGAAACACATTCCCAATCATGAGGTCATACAGTACTCTTGGTAATGAGAAAACATGTCCAAATACATTTATCAAAAAATTATATTGATTCCTTTAGGTCAAAAATACCATTTCATATCTGCTTTAACCTTAATCTTTAGCCCTGATAATAAGAAATTTAAATACTATACTATACTATAAGCATGGCACACTGTCTTATGACACTTTTGGTAGATGGTGGCCATTTTTCAAAATGGCCGCCATTTTAACATATTTTACTATAACTCGAAAAGTAGTGGAGCGATTTTGTTCATATTTGGTATGTGAGTACTATAAGCATGGCACACTGTCTTATGACACTTTTGGTAGATGGCGGCCATTTTTCAAAATGGCCGCCATTTTAACGTATTTTACTATAAACTCGAAAAGCAGTGCAGCGATTTTGTTCATATTTGGTATGTGAATACTATAAGGATGGCACACTGTCTAATGACACTTTTCGTAGAAGGTGGCCATTTTGAAAAATGGCTGCCATTTTTGCTATTTACTTTGTTTGTAAAAATGCCAGCCATGGCTGTTCGATGGGATTTGCTACGCTTTGGCTTTGTTGTTGCCTAGCTCACCATGTGTTTACTAGTGGTGTCAATTAACCGCTTGAGCATTAACCGGTTAACCGGGGGTTTTTACCGGTTAAAGTCGGTTAACCGGCGGGAAATTTGAACTTATAATTTCAAATGAAATCTTCATCTTCGATCTATGTAAGTAAGCGCGGGAAAGCAATGTGGCAGGGATTAAAGTTGCTGATTGGATGTTTGTAAGGAATTATCGGACCTATCACATGTATGAGTAGCTCACATGAAACTGACGCTTGAAAAACAAACAGATTAAAATGCAAAGTAAGCGCGGGAAAGCAATGTGGCAGGGATTAAAGTTGCTGATCGGATGTTTGTAAGGAGTTATGGGACTTATGACATGTATGAATAGCTTACGTGAAACTGACACCATAAAACCAAACGGATTAGCATGCAAAATAAGCGCGGGAAATAACAGAATTATACACGGTCAACTAACCGCCCATAAAAACTCAGACCGGTCAAGGCATTATCGGCGGTTAACCGGTTAACCGGTTAATACTTGACACCTCTAGTGTTTACCTTCCAGTATCCAATAAGTCCTTTGACGCCCTAAGTCACATTGTGAAACTCTGCCAAACAAGACAGTGAAGACATTCTTAGGAAAGAAAATCAAATCTAAAAGATCATTCCATTTGTCATTTTCTGTTATTGCAAAAAAGCTTTGTCATGTTTCAATTTTAGTTTGTTATTCCAATGCATCATTTTAGATCTTTATGTATCAATAGGTCAATGAGCAGAGGATATAATATAAATAAATAAATATCCTCACATAATATCATGAAAACTAATTTTTTGAGTAGACGGGAGATTCAGCTGTCTTTCCTCTTTATATTTGACATTGATATCAGCTGAGGTGTCCTCCTCTATAGTAGACTGATCACGTGGGAAATACAAACGTGAATGCAAGGCAAAGACAAATTAATGGGCCACATTTACTAGCTATTGTAATAACAGAAGTCTTTATATTTTTTATAGAAACTGGAGCCGTGTTTACATATGGAAAAAGCAAGTTTGCTGACAACACTCCAAATAAGTTCTGGATACGCAATGACAGAGTGAAACTGGTTGGCTGTGGAGATGAACATACTGCCTTAGTCGCAGGTAAATGAATGAGAGCTCAAAATAGCCTGGATTGCAATGACTCTGTTCAGCCTGTGTATATGAAGATGTGAAGAATACTCAAAGTCATTTCGCTTTAGGCCTTGTGGTTCCCTAATGAAATATCCTGGGGGTCACAGGTTATAGTGAGAGAAATAATGTTTTCTAAGAAAGAGGGAATTCAGAGTACTTATATATATGTTTAAACATGTTACATTATTTATTAAAAAAAAAGTCTACTCTTAATTCTACATGTAGGTGTACAATATAACATTTACAGTTTGTGGTCAAAAGCCATAGGGGAGTATGATTGACCATGTCTAAAACGACATACAACAAAAATTAAAAAAAGTATTGCCTTCCAGAGAGTGGCCGAGTATTCACATTTGGTGCAAACGACTGGGGTCAGCTGGGACTAGGGAACACTAAACCCCAAACAAAGCCTAGCTGTATAAAAAGTAAGTTAAGATCACCCTAATATGTTCATCGTAAAACTTGTTTAGTCAATCAATTTTGAGATGATATTTAAAGAGTCACTTGACAGTATGTTCACTCTCTACACATGGTCATATTTAAGTGATTTACCTGGTCAAATGTGCTTGTATTGATTCAACAGAGCAATTGATAAAATTGAGAACTTGTGTGCTGTTTTGAATTTAGATTATTGGTGTCTTTTGAGTTTGAGGATGTACATCTTCAAAGTTAAGGTGACAAAATATCAGTGTCAATTTATATATACATTCCCACCTTTTGTACACGTTTATATATTAGACTAGAATCATATGATGATAAAAGCCTCTAGAAAATGAAAGTACTTATATTTCAACGAGCAGGCAAGAGACCTGTATCAAAATACTCCTTTATATATAACAAAAGATTTGTGAGATTTAACATGGTGAACGAGGTGTCAAAAGGCACTAATTAGACAATTAATTAAAATAATATTCTTCATCCCTTAACTAGTTCAAACAATACAATCAGTGTTGATCACCACATAAATAGTTGTGGTTAACTTGTCATTGTGCCAGGTTGGAGCTCTGCCAGCCAATCTAGTGTTACGATAATGGTACTCTTTCTGGTTTGATTGGCTTTATTGAACTAGTACGGTCTAGTACCAATAATCACCACTCACAATCATCTCCCTATCAAAATAGACTTGTTAGTCAATGGTTCAGACAGTGGGGTCTATCACACAGAAAACAGTATGCAGTTTCTGTACTAAATCCAGAAGAAGGTCAAACGTTATAAAAAGCTCAAAAGAAACAGTCGAACACAATAAAGAGACCCTTGAAAATACAATTGATGCATAACATCCAAACAGGATCTCTACAGATAATTCATAAATCATATGATATATTTTCAACAATGGGGAAGGTACAACTCCACAAAAGTTAAAATAGCACAATACATTTCTGATATACCAGTATAGTACACCCGGGATAGTACACAACCACCAGTATAATATAATTCTCGATAGTACCAACAATATCCATCATTGGGATTGGTATCACCTAATGTCAATGAAATGCAAAGATCATCGAGACTATTCTTTCAAAATTCAAACGTGATTCAGTATCTATTTGGCATGCAGCATTCTCTCACAAGTGAATTATCTTCTGCTGCTTAGAGGAACATGTTCTTAGTTGTCAGATGTGAGAGAAAGAAATTGTGTGGAAACATTGAAACTTGTAAATACAACCTGGTATACCCCATTGTTCAAAATGGCTGATCGATGACAGCCTGTGGTGATGATACTGAAGAATATGTTTCCATATAACATTGTATGTATCAATGTCAATTTTATAGTGTTATTTAGCAAACTGATCATTGTGTTTGCAAAGGTATTGAATATATTAAAGTATGCATTTTTGGTATGATATTCTTTACTTTTATGAATATTTGAATAATATAACTGAAGGAATATGACAAAATGTAGTACTGAATAAAATTGAATAAGAATATATTGTTATCTTTGGTGAAATGCTAATTCGAGTAGTAAACCTAAATATTGTCTCTATTAGTTATGCAAAAGTAGTAAATTGACTATTTATTCCACTATCCATATTATGCCAACCACTAAAGAAATCTCTAAAAGCTTCCCAAAATCGATCAAAAATGGTTTATTTTCACTTTTTTATACTCTGTAGCCAGATTGTATTTACTAAAATAAAATTTCTAAAAAAATTTAATGTTTTTCTGCAAAAAACACATTTTTTACCCAAAAACACATTTTGACACCTATTTTTTCTTCTTAAATCTCAGTATCAATTGAGAAACCATTTACCTTTCAATTAGTTAACATGAATTGCCTGCTCGTCAATAAGAGGTCATTATATTTTCAACGCATTGATTCTATTCTACATTCATTTCACTATGCCAACCACAAGAGAAATCTCTAAAACCTCTCCAAAATCACCCAAATTGATCAAAACTGATTTATTTTCACTTTTCCATAATCAACCAGACTGTATTTACTAAAATAAAATTTCTAAAAAAAAAATTTAATTTTTAAAAAAAATTCTGCAAAAAACACATTTTTTACACAAAAACACATTTTGACACCTATTTCGTCTTGTTAAATCTCAGTATCAATTTAGGAACCCTTTTCCTTTCAATTAGTAAACATGACTTGCCTGCTCGACAAAATATAACATGTCATTATATTTTCAACCCCCTGATTCTAGTCTATATGTAATTGTGTCGAAATGACTTATATTATTATATAGGATGAGCTAATATGTCAAGTAGCAACATCTCTTGTTTTAAGCTAATATTTTGAGTGCCAAATATTGATTCTGTCAAAGTATGTAGATACAGCACCTAAATACAACATGCTTGTTGATATAGAACATGATCTGTTTATAAAGTGTTCACATCGTTGTACATATTTTTCTTCAGGTATTTAACAATCTGATGTAATATCATATTCTCTCTAATAGATGTACATACTCCAATAAACTCACACCCTACTTTTCTGGCAACTTGTGTAACAAATAGAAAAAAAAGAAAAAATCTAAAAAAAATAATTAGGGGATAATGGTCTTTTACTTATGATGTGAAAAAAATCAGCAGTCCTTGTAATATGGCAAGTCTGTTATGATTTGATCGTAGATCTTTTATCTTATTTTTGAATATGCTTATCAAGATGTTTTTGTGTGATTTCACTTTGCATACACATCACTTTAAAACCTTTGTAAGTTGAACACCCTTGGTACCACAAGAAGTGTTCATTTCAGAGGTGTTTCACTTGACATTAACTCAGTAGATCTAATTACCTTGAAAATTGATCTACCCAACATATATGTTCTACTTCAGCAGCACTTAACAGTTCTTTGTGTATGTATATCTCTATTTTTATGTTTCAGATCTAAAAGCTGAGAGTGTAAAGCTAATAGCATGTGGCAGGTCCCATACGCTGCTTACCACAGGTTGGTTATTACATATCATTTGTTGTACCCTTTGAATAAGCTTCACTTCTACACTCTGTAAATTAGAGATAATTCCTTGATCTTGAATACATTCTGACTATGGGGTCAGAAATCCACAAGACATATTCCTTTGATTAATCGACAATTAATCAACATTCAAATTCACATAAGAAAATATAAAAGCTGCATTTAGATCATTAAAATCACAACACATTTTATGTATGTTAAGTAACTGACATTCGTCAACATTCAAACTCCTGTAAAATGTCATGCATGCTGCATTTTGGATCATTGAGATCTTATTTACATTAAAAGTATAAGATCCTCAGTTATAATCAGAGGGTGGTATGAACATGAAAGGAATCAGGGTATTCTTGTTATTGGTTGTTATGTTCTTAGTCTCAGTGTCTGGAGCATTTCTATAGTAATGTTCAATCAATATTTTTGTAATTTGTAAATAGAAATAAATTTTATAATCATGGTGACATTAATTGAATTCATACTGTAACAAATGGCGAATGGTGACATTTTGCATGTTAATGTCTCATCTCATATGTGAGACGAGACATTATGTGTGTACCATGAACTCATTGTTGTATTCATGTTCATATTCATGTAGAATTTTGAGTTGTATGGGTGTTAGAAATATTTCTCCTATTTTTATTTTTTCTGTATCTGTGATCATAATGATATAAATTGCAATTTTATGAGATACATTTTGATCAATCTTCAAAGAGAGACTGTTGCTATGAGTTACGGTATTTACACCCCCAATCCGATCCCCGGGATCCGATCCACGTGTGGATTCCACGAGGATTCATCGTGGATCCTCATGGTATGGGTTCCATGTGGATGTGGATTGACTGTTTACCTAGTGTTCTTTGCCAGAAACTAAAGTAGAATTATTGGATTGGTAAATGCGCATAACATATTCCCATGTGAGACCATTGAAATAATATTATTTACATATACCAGTATATTAACTAAAAAGGTGAATTATTTAGATTGCAATTAGACTATAGATGCAGTATTGCAATGTAAAAGGTCACTGTAACACAGGGAAACATTTATAAAAAGAATATCTATGTAATTAATTAGTTTTCATCAGATTGCTTGAAAGCGATAACTGGAAATTACATTATTATACAGTATACACAAATTCAATAAGGCTTGTCAAACAAAGTCCTGTATGCTTGGTGAATTCTCTGTCACCCTTTATGTTATATCCCTAATTGATCTAAACCTTGAAATTGAGAACCAATCTTGTAAATGCATGCCAAATACAGGGCACATATTAACTGATAGAAGTATGGGCTGCCAATAGCAGATGGATAGTTTGTATGGGTATCTATTCTATTACGATGAAAGGCCAGGCCCGTAAGACACTTTTCTCCAAGGGGGGTGCGGTTTTTACTAAAGAGAATATAAAATTGTCAATTTTTTGCCGCGTAAATCAAATTGCGTAAGTCAGAGGGGGGGGGGGGGGTCGGTTACTCCCTATATCGGTTTGGAATTAACAATGCAACTTCTAAACGTTCCAAACGTTTTTGTGGGGGTTGTGAGGAGTGGTCCACTCCCCCTAGAAAATTTTACAGTTTTGAGATCCTATTTGGTGCTTTCTGGGCACTTTCAAAGTGTAGGAGTCAATAAGAAAAATGTGATTTTTTTTCAAATTAGTTTGGGGTGTCAAAAAGGAAGTGGGGTGGGGTGCCAGAGGGGGAGCAAGGGGTTGTCCCCCAGAAACATTGACCATATCAAGGTGCTATTTGATGATGTCTGGGCACTTAAAAAATGTCTGAGACAATACATGAAATTCAGAATATTTTCTTTTGTTTTGTGGGGGATGTGAGGGGTGGCTAACTCTCCTAGAAAATTTTACAATTTAAAGATGATATTTGGTGCTTCTGGGCACTTTTAAAGTGTATTAGTCAATAAAAACATTGAAAAACAATCACAATTTTTTTTCAAATTTTGGGGGTGTCAAAGGGGAGGGAGGGGTGCCAGAGTGGGAGGTGGGGTTGGGGTGCCAGAGGGGGAGCAAGTGTTTGTCCCCCATATCTGTCCCCCATATCTGTCCCCCAGAAACATTTACAATATCAAGGTGCTATTCGATGAAGTCTGGGCACTTTAAAAGTGCCTATTTCCCAAGAAAATTTTACAATTTTAAGATGCTATTTGGTGCTTTTTGGGCACTTTCAAAGTGTATGAGTCAATAAAAAATGTGAAAAATCTTAATTTCTTTTTTTGGGGGGGGGGGGGGGGGGTGTCAAGGGGGGGGGCTGCCAGAGGGGGAGGTGGAGTGGGGGCTGCCAGAGGGGGAGGTGGAGTGGGGATGCCAGACGGCGAGTAAGTGTTAGTCTTCCAGAATCATTAACTATATCAAGGAGCTATTTGATGATGTCTGGGCAATTTAAAAGTGTCTGAGACAATACATAAAACAAATTCAGAACTTTTCCATTGTTTTGTTTGGGGTGTGAGGGGTGCCCCACTCCCCCTAGAAGATTTTACAATTTTATGACGCTATTTGGTGCTTTCTGTGCACTTTCAAAGTGTATGAGTCAATTAAAGAATTTAATAAAAAATCACAACTTTTATCCAATTTTTTTTGGGGGGGTCAAGGGGGCGCCAGAGGGGGAGGTTGGGTGGGGATGCAAGTGCAAGATGCAAGAGGGGAGCAAGTGTTAGTCCCCCAGAAACACTAACTATATCAAGGAGCTATTTGATGATGTCTGGGCACTTTAAAAGTGTCTGGGACAAAACAGTAAAATAAATTTAGAACTTTTCCATTGTTTTGTGGGGTGTGTGAGGGGTGGCCAATACCCCTAGAAAATTTTACAATTTTAAGATGCTATTTGGTGCTTTCTGTGCACTTTCAAAGTGTATGAGTCAATTAAAGAATTTAAGAAAATCACAACTTTTATCCAATTTTTTTTTTTTTTTTTGGGGGGGGGGGGGGGTCAAGTCAGCCAGAGGGGGAGGTTGGGTGGGGATGCAAGTGCAAGATGCAAGAGGGGGACCAAGTGTTAGTCCCCCAGAAACACTAACTATATCAAGGAGCTATTTGATGATGTCTGGGCACTTTAAAAGTCTGGGACAAAACACTAAAATAAATTTAGAACTTTTCCATTGTTTTGTGGGGTGTGTGAGGGGTGGCCAATACCCCTAGAAAATTTTACAATTTTAAGATGCTATTTGGTGCTCTCTGGGTACTTTCAAAGTGTATGAGTCAATGAAAAAAAATTACAAAAAAATATTTTTCAAAAAAAAATTTTTTCAAAAAGAATTTTTTCAAATTTTTTTTGGGGGGTGACAAAGGGGGGTGCGGTCGCACCCATCGCACCCCCCCATCTGACGGCCCTGAAGGCTGTAGTGCAGGCCAGACACTGTGCTCTGTAACTTGTTTTACATTAAGATACATTTTTACTTTCCAGAACTATGTTAAGTCTATCCATCATGAAATTGCCTTTTGAAAAATCCTTGTGATAAAGTAAACGTTTCATTTTATTGACAGAAATTCTTTTTCTTCAGTCATGCACAAAATCACACCAATACTACAAGTCCCGAGATCAATATCACATTTTGATAGCATAGGCAAAGTGACTCTAAGCCAGTGCTTACAGTATGATCATCAGTCATTCACTGCTTCTAACTGCTTTAAGTACCTCAACAGTAATAAGGAAAATTGATGTCTTGGAGGATGTAAGGGATCGCATAAAACCATAATTGAGACAATCCTGAATAATGTATGCTAAAAAAGAATTTCATTCTAATTCCCACCCACATAAACAAAATATCACATTGATTTTTAAGAGGTAGCATTTTGGTCTTTACAATTTCTATACAGGTCAGGGCCGTCAGATGGGGGGGTGCGATGGGTGCGACCGCACCCCCCTTTGTCACCCCCCAAAATAAATTTGAAAAAAAAAATTTGAAAAATATTTTTTTTGTAATTTTTTCATTGACTCATACACTTTGAAAGTACCCAGAAAGCACCAAATAGCATCTTAAAATTGTAAAATTTTCTAGGGGTATTGGCCACTTCTCACACCCCCGCAAAACAATGGAAAAGTTCTAAATTTATTTTAGAGTTTTGTCTCAGACACTTTTAAAGTGCCCAGATATCATCAAATAGCTCCTTGATATAGTTAGTGTTTCTGGGGGACTTACTCTCCCTCTTGCATCTTGCACTTGCATAACCCCCCCCCTCTGGCGCCCCCCTTGATCCCCCCCAAAAAAAATTGTGATTTTCTCAAATTCTTTAAATGACTCATACACTTTGAAAGTGCCCAGAAAGCACCAAATAGCGTCGTAAAATTGTAAAATTTTCTAGGGGGAGTGGGCCACCCCTCACACCCCAAACAAAAGAATGGAAAAATTCTGAATTTGTCAGACACTTTTAAATTGCCCAGACATCATCAAATAGCTCCTTGATAAAGTTAATGATTCTGGAACACTAACACTTACTCGCCCTCTGGCATCCCCACTCCACCTCCCCCTCTGGCAGCCTCCCTCCCTTAACACCCCCCCCCCCCCCCAAAAAAAGAAATTGAGATTTTTCAAATTTTTTTATTGACTCATACCCTTTGAAAGTGCCTAGAAAGCACCAAATAGCATCTTAAAATTGTAAAATTTTCTTGGGAAATAGGCACTTTTAGGCACAGACACTTTTAAAGTGCCCAAACTTCATCGAATAGCATCTTGATATTGTAAATTTTGATATGGGGGACAAACACTTGCTCCCCCTCTGGCACCCCAGCCCCACCTCCCCCTGTGGCACCCCTCCCCCCCCCTTTGACACCCCCAAAATTTGAAAAAAAATGTGATTGTTTTTCAATGTTTTTATTGACTAATACACTTTAAAAGTGCCCAGAAGCACCAAATATCATCTTTAAATTGTAAAATTTTCTAGGAGAGTTAGCCACCCCTCACATCCCCCACAAAACAAAAGAAAATATTCTGAATTTCATGTATTGTCTCAGACATTTTTTAAGTGCCCAGACATCATCAAATAGCACCTTGATATGGTCAATGTTTCTGGGGGACAACCCCTTGCTCCCCTACTGGCACCCCACCCCACTTCACCCTCTCATCCCCTTTGACACCCCCAAAAGAATTTGAAAAAATTCACATTTTTCGTATTGACTCATAACGCACAGGCGTACCAGATGGTTGCAAATTCGCTCCAAATACAACCAAATTTCACAATTTTCCTGGGGGAGAACCCCCAGACCCCCCTGAATGCTCGGTTTTTTATTCACTCAACTCTTATTCCCGTGGTGGTGGCGTACTACTTAGAAACTTACACTTTGAAAGTGCCCAGAAAGCACAAAATAGCATCTCAAAACTAAAATTTTCTATAGGGAGTGGACCACTTCACACCCCCCACAAAACAATTGGCACGTTTGGAAGTTGCATTTGTTAATTCCAGACCAATATAGGGAGTAACTGACCCCCCCCCCTCTGTTTTACGCGATTTGATTTACGCGGCAAAAAAATGACAATTTTATATTCTCTTTAGTAAGCTAAAAACCGCACCCCCCTTGGAGAAAAGTGTCTTACGGGCCTGCAGGTACAGCCATTCAAGCAGAACTTCAGCCTTTCTAAATCAAAACTCTATTATGGTTAATTGCAGAGGTTCCATTAGGAGGAGGCAATGGCTGATCCCTATATTCAGTCTATAAAGAACTAAATACTTCCACACTATTCATCTACAGTAATTAACTTCATCATAATTCTATTGATTCTATCATAGTAAAGAGGAAATTAATCATATTACCTTTACTTACTTCTTAACATGGAGAATGGCATTTCTTTTGACTGTGACAATGTCAGAGTTATATCATAAGTCATAATGATAAAACTTGTGCTGGGAGGGAGATGGAACAGCCAATGAGTATTTTTGGACCGTCAGGACATAAATGATATAATTAAAATAATATATTTTTTAAATTCTGGATTATACAGGATTACATCTACTATAATCTTGTTCAGTGGTCTCTTTACAATTTTAATAAGGTTTTTATCTCACCACGATTAGTTCTGACATATTGTTATAGTCTCAGACTTTTTTATCACACCATCGGTGGGATATAGTCGTCATACTGGTCGTGATCGTGGTCGTGATCGTGATCGTGGTCGTGATCGTGATCGTGGTCGTGGTCGTGATCGTGATCGTCCTGCTTTTTGTCATCGCCGTTTAAGGAAAACTGCTCATCAGATTTTCTCCAAATTCGCAGAGATGATAGAGCATATGAAGTACTAGAGCTGATTAACTTTTAGGTGGCCATCTTGTTTTCTGGCGGCCATTTTGAAGGTTTTTCGAAAAATCTTGTCATCGCCATTTCAGGAAAACCGCTCATTGGATTTCCTTCAAATTTACACAAATGATAGAGGATATCAAGTACTAGAGCTGATTAACTTTTGGGTGGCCATCTTGTTTTCTGGCAGCCATTTTGAAGATTTTTCGAAAAATCTTGTCATCGCCATTTCAGAAAATCCGCTCATCGGATTTCCTTCAAATTTACACACATGATAGAGGATATCAAGTTCTAGAGCTGATTAACTTTTGGGCGGCCATCTTGTTTTCTGGTGGCCATTTTGAAGGTTTTTCGAAAAATCTTGTCATCGCCATTTCAGGAAAACCGCTCATTGGATTTCCTTCAAATTTACACACATGATAGAGGATATCAAGTACTAGAGCTGATTAACTTTTGGACGGCCATCTTGTTTTCTGGTGGCCATTTTGAAGGTTTTTCGAAAAATCTTGTCATCGCCATTTCAGGAAAACCGCTCATCGGATTTCCTTCAAAGGATCTTGTACACCTGCCGTTATGATCTCCCCATGAACAAAAATAAATTCATCTGATTTTTCAAAATAAATATACTGCTTTTATTATTACATTTATATGTACACTAGTATCTTGTTGACCTATATTCAGCACTGTATTGATGAATGGGCCACTTTTTAGGGCAATATTCAATCATAAAGTGTACAGGGGTAGAGATGCCAAACCAGGAAGTCTTTTTGTGTCTGTCAAAATCCATTTGCATCCTACACATCCCTACATCTTATCAAAATATGTTATTAATTAATGAATCATAACAGTATAATCTTTGGATTTACAAAGTTGTATGGGATTTCATAAGTGTAAAAGTTGCTTTTGAAGCATTTTTCTATAGCCATTTTGTAGGAAAAAAATGATGAAAAAAATGAATAATCTTTTAATTTGAAGTATGACCTGAATCGATTGCAAACTTTATATTTGCACATCTGATCTGAAATACCATTTGTGTCATATTGTGAAATTATTTAATTTGCAATCGATTCAGGTCATAGTGTATTTTAGGTATTTTTGTGAAAATCAATAGAAACCAATGGCCTCCATTGGAATCTGATGGTATCCACATGTTAAGTCAATAGAACACATCCAATGTCAAGTCAATACACCCTTGCTGAACTTAATGACCCCAACCTCAGCCCATGTGGGGCCAAACGCTTAAATATTTTCCAAAGTATTATGTAACATTGTATTCTTTATATTACACCTAAAAATGATTCATTTTGTTCATGGGGAGATCATAATGGCAGGTGTACAAGATCCTTTACACAAATGATAGAGGATATCAAGTACTAGAGCTGATTAACTTTTGGGCAGCCATCTTGTTTTCTTGTTCTTGAAATTTGTAAACATAATAGGAGAACAGTTTTCCTGGTTTATAGTGTCTGCCTATTTGATGGTGTGATCTCGTTCACGTCCTGTGCCTTGTTGTGGAAGGTGTTCGGTGGTCGGCATCTGTAACAAATGGCAGGTGCTGACATTTTGCATGTTAATGCCTTGTATTTATGTGTTACAATTGTTTATTTCAGAAAGTGGTAAACTTTTTGGTTTTGGTGCTAATGGAGAGGGTCAGCTATGCTTAGAAGACTCCCCTTCCTCTAACATACCAGTGGAAATAATTGGTATAGATTACGATATAAAGCAATTATCGGCTGGAACCGATCATTGTTGCGCATTAACAGGTGAGTGTACTTACTGTAGTGGAAATAAGTTAGGGATCTGCCAATTTTTTTGTTCCTGTGATCTACATGTTAATAAGTTATTTACTTATAAATCACTCAATGTTCCTGATTTGCTCTGTTGAATTGCAATTATAAATGGAATCAATCTCACATTAGTTAGGAATGCATCTAGCCTAATAATACATAGCTCTACATTGTAATTGCCTTGTCATACATTTTGCCTAGATACAGCTTTCTTTGTCATACAGTCTTGTTAAATTATTGTCTGTTTTGCCATATTGTCATAGAACCTGCTTTTTTGTCAACATAATTGCTTTGTCATAAACCTATCTTGTTTGTATTTCTAGATTCAGGTGAAGTGTATGTGTGGGGAGGTAATAGTGAAGGTCAGCTAGGCCTAGGGGAGGTAGACGATGATGTGCTGACAACACCAACATTACTTGAGTTTATAGAGGATGTCACATGCGTCTCATGTGGCTATTATCACACTGCGGTTGTTACAGGTACATGTTCATGTAGTAGTACTTTGTATAGATCTAGTATAGCACTGGTTCATTGTACTAGATCAGTTTCGTTAAGTGCTAATATTTATACAAACATAAATCTTTTATGACCTAAAATTAGAACTCCAGTCTGTGCCATTATTCAATATGATCTATGAACATTTGATTAAATAAAAAGTCCCAAAACTCCATATAAGAATCTTTTTCTCAGAATTTATTGACGGACCTTGTATTTTGCTGTTTTCAGCTGATGGGAAGCTGTGGACATTTGGAGAGAGTGATGGTGGTAAACTGGGGCAGGATGGCAATAACACAACCCCACAACACGTCACTGCAATAAAAGATAAAGTGATCTCAGTAGCTTGTGGTGGATCTCACACGGTAGCCTTAACAGGTAAGTTGAACTTCAGGCAAAATAGTTTTGTAAAATTTTAAAATTTATAATATTCTTTACATTAGGAGACAAAACTTAAATAGCAAGATTGCTAGAAGCATAAGAGAAAGACCTGTCATTTTGTTTACTTTGCAGAGAAAGGTCATGTCTATACATTTGGAGATGGCCCCAATGGACAGTTAGGTCATGGAACAATGCTGCTCAATACACCAGAACCAACCATGGTCTCAAATCTTAGAACAGAAAAAATAATTGCAATTTATTGTGGAGAAAGTCATACAGCAGTCATAACAGGTACAAATTCAAGTCATTTCAATAATCCAATGTCAATATTAAGACCTTTTCCACTTTTCTATCGCAAAGCATTGATGCTGTACAAATCACCTTTTACTTGATAAAAATATTACTTCTTGAAAGATTTTGTAGATATAGAGGAACCTGTAAAGTGGAACACCTCTAACAGGGGAACAGTAGAACACTTTTTAGAGTCCAAATACAAACTGACTTACTGTTAAATGAACCTCTATTAGTGGAACATCTTCCAAGTGGAACACTTTTTAGAGGTAGCAAAGTTGTTCTATTTAGACAGGTTTTACTGTGCTGTCCTTTTACACAGATGATATGACCATTTTTCAAGTTTATTAAACGAACAGTGTGGGATTCAGAAGGCATGGAATAACAATAAAACAAAGGTCTTCTCCTAGATCTCTAACTTATTATTGTTTTTCTGTTTCAGATACTGGTCAGTTATTCACATTCGGTGATGGTCGCCATGGGAAACTAGGACTTGGTGCTGAAAACTTTGCTAATCAATTTAAACCATGCAGAGTCTCACGATTTAAACATTTTGACGTAGAAAGTGTGAGTAAATCATTATTATTTCACAACTCACAAGAGTGATGTATTATTGAAGTCACAAGTTTTTTTTGGAATGGCAAAATGGTGTCCATTGTCATTGTTTTCAGCAAATGATGACACTTTTGTATTTCCAACCAGGTTGTGACAGGTGGTGGGATATTATCTATTTGTCTAATACATGTACATGAGAAAGGATTTATGGTTGAAAGCTTCAGATGGAATCAAAGTATAGCTGATTATCTATTATGAATTCTTGACTTTTAATTTCCTGATCCAGGTATCCTGTGGTGGATGTCACATGTTAGCCCTTGCTCACAAAAAGCAGTCAGAAAATGGTGAGATAAGCTCTTCAGAAGAGGAGGAGGAGGAGCAGACAAATTTGAAGAACTCCTGGAACAGTCGGGGCAGAGATGACATTGACCTATCTAGCAGTATGACGGCTGCAAGGAACAGACGGAGACGGAAAGAGGTTTGTTTTATTGCTTTATTTTATCATAAAAATGTAGTGGGAAATTGTGTAAAATACTATTTATTTATTTATTTATTTATTTATTTAAGTGCCATGCACCATAATCGACACCCAGCCTTATCAGGCTTAGTTACAAATACATATGTATAATTACAATGTGTTATTTATACAATTTTTTGTCATTTTTCAAGAGCTGATATTATGAATTTTGCTGTAAGTTTTACATAATTTTTCTTTGAAATAAGCTGTTTCAACAAATCTTGATTATCATGAAACATAGGGGCCTGATTATTGTTTTTCTCAAATCTTTGTAACAAGAGCAATCTAGAAGAAAATGTTTCTCAGATTTTATATGTCCATTTTTACATTCCTCACATAATTGTTCAACAGCAAGGCCTTCATATAGAACAGTTTCTGTGTTGAGATGAAGAGTACCTGATTGAATTCTAGCAATAACAGATCTTTTATTCCTTGATAAAACCTTACTATATAAGGAATATTCTAACATTTCATTCAACTTAATGTGATCATATATGAGGAACACCTTAGACCCCATTTCCAGTGTTTACCTTTCCAGTTTATGTTAGTTTGCAAAGTTTGAAAAGCCAAGTAACTGATTCCATTTAGTAAGACCCAAATGCTCTGAATATTAAAAAGGTATTGTATTTCATGTGCAATAAATGTATATTTTGCAATTTCACATCTCACTGTTATTTGAAAATAGCCTGGTTAATTTTGAAACCATATTAACTTCTTACACTGACACATTCCCTCAAACTCTCTTTACTTCATGAATTACATTGTTTGCAATATATTCATTTAGGAACCTCTAAAGCTGAATCGCACATTGCCACCACTAGGTGGCTCTCGAGCACTACCACCCTTAGGAGGGCCACCTTTAGGCCAAACTCAACCAATTCCTGCCAAACGAAGTGACCCATTCCAGAGAGGGACACTTGCTCCTATCAAAAATGATGGTAAGAATGAATTTATATTCTTGCAATGGAATAAAACAGTCAGCATTCTTACAAAGTACAATAAAACTGTGAATACCTCTTGGACCAGTGTTAGCAGGTGCAGGTGTCTACATTTAAAGGTTTTCTTAACATTTGTCATGGTCATGATCAATTAAGTGAGGAATTCATTCAATTGTAGCTGCTTTTGAGGTACAATTTGTCCTAAATTAAGAGAGTTACCTCAATAAAGTCATTGAACTCTTCGGGCATTTTGCTACATCGGATTGTTTCATTTGATATTGGTGAATGAAAACTCCAGTTGGAGATGTTGTTGTGTCACTACCACAAGTGGTGACATATTGTTATAGTCTCCAACTTTTTTTGTGGACAGTTTTCAGCGTTTGATGGTTGATGTTTGGCACTAATTAGTGTTTACTGGTTGATGTCTGTAACAAATGTTAGGTGGTGACATTTTACATGTTAATGCCTTGTGTAAGAAATGTTGTTTTTTAAAATAAAGTTGATATTTTCTTGTTACAAAAGTTCCATCATTGAAACTCTATTTGCAGATAAGAAACCAGCGAAAGATGAAGACGAGGATGATGAAGATGATGATGAAAGTGAGGTATCAGTGACCCCTGAAGATTCAGAGGAGGAAGATACTGAAGATGAGGAACCTCTTAACAGAGTGAGTATTAATTTTGGCAAAGTGGGAAAAATTAGAACGTGATATTTGTATTATTGCAGCCTAGTAGAGTACATAGAAAATTTAAAGACCCTGTGTTAAGTTAAAAAATGTTTTTATCATTCGTTGTCATCTATCATTCATGACTTTAAAAGTCATCTGGAGTTAATTTTTTTAATGTTAATTACCGCATAGCTAGGTTTTTATAATAACACAGTCAGAGGTGATATGCTTGTTTTGTTTTGTTTTAAATTGAGGTCAGGATCCTCACATATTTCAGAATGTAAGAACTCCTGATAGATTTGTTATCTAGTTTTATCAAAGCCAAACATATTATTTATGAAAAGATTAGGCCCCTGATCCATCTTGCAGTATTATAATTGTTATTCTTATATGTTAATTTCTAAACAAATCCGTTTCTCAGTTCAAAATTTATGATTGGTTTAATGCATGCTTATAGACCAAGGATAAGGCTGGTGGAAAATCTAATATAGCTGCAAAAACTAAGCAAGACAAAACAAAACCAAAACCTGGTGTGGAGGGAGTAAGTCCATAACATAGACCAGCCCTCCTTCTGTAGACTGTATATGATCCTATTGATTATGATTCTGTTTTATTCCTACTCATAACTCACTGTTCCAACTTCCACAGCTGGATGAGTCTAACTGCAGTTAGTATCATTCAAGATGGTGGCCAAAATTCAATAACATAGACCAGCCCTCCTTCTGTAGACTGTATATGATCCTATCGATTATGATTCTGTTTTATTCTTATATCTTTTCTTCTTTAGTTAATCTGTCTCAAATATAGATAATGACCCCCACTTCCTTTCCATTACAATACACGTATGTACTATCATTTGTTAAAGACTATCATAACTTCCTTCCCCACTACCTTGACTCATATATTATATGTAGCACTGAAAGCCTTTGTTTTAAGAACAGAACCCCCAATGTTTAAAATTTGTAATACCATATTCTCCTAATGAGCACACAGTGGTTTCCAAGTTGAAATTTAAAAGGGTTAGAGAGATTTTAATTAGCACATATACGAAAGATTTAGAAAGATTTTATTCTGGCCATTGCCAAAGACATCAATCGCTATACGATTTCATTCTTTTAACAATGAACAGAATAAAATTTTCTGTATTCCCTAACTAATGCATTATACTTTGTGTTTTCTTGAGAACATATTCAACATAAGTTGCATGTGCACTCATTGGAACTGTGTGCTCATAAGAGACAAATGGTAGATTTATTTAATAGATACTTTATAGATTGTAAATGTGTAGAAGTGTAATATCGTTGTCTGATTGTTTTGTTTTTTATTCCAAGAGTTCATATCTCTATTTTACTAGATGTTCTCTTTCATGCTGTAAAATGCATGAATGACAAGAAATTCAAAATGATACAAAATTATGTCAAAATATTGATCAATGCATTATTGCTAATGGATAAAAATGAAAATCTTGCATTTTCAAAATGTACTTGTAATATATAGGCTAGTTACTAGTAACACAACATATGGGATAACAGATAAGAGTCTGTGCACAGTGAACTTTTGTCGTAATTTGTACTATGTTCTTTTATTTATTTATTTTTGTATTTATAGCGACACATACTAGCCAAGGGACCTAACCATACCCGCACATTTTCTCCAGATGATCATGAAATCAGAAAGCTCAATAAAAAACTTAACTCGGTATGTAACTTGCTCAACAAACTTTGAGTTTATGTACTATTATGAAAGTCGTTGCTCATACTATATTTACTTTTGAATTTTATTGCACACTCAGGTGCTATATCAGTTTGCCGGACAGATTGGCAGGACAAAATCTTGTTGAGTTTAGTCTTTCGGGTACATTTGTGATGTTAATGTTAATTTTGATTGATTACCAAGCAGCGTCACCGCCTTTCCATATTTACATGTTTGTACTATTATTAGTATTGTTGTGTAACGATTTGTTTTACTAGATGTATGGCTTGAGAGATAAATATGAAGAATAAAATAATCAAATAAAACACATAATCTCTATATGATATGCTAATTTTAGTAAACATGTTCTTTGATTTTATAATCATTGAATTATATGGTAGACCTCTAAAATGTTATTGCGAAAATGAAGCAGTTCTGCATGTTGATTTCCCTTAAAATACTGAATCTCCAAACTGAGCTGGGATGATTCTCTGTGTTTACAGACTTCCATGAATGATAAGAAGGAAGAAGAAGAATCGGAAGAAGAAGACAGTGAAGAAGAGGATGATTTAGAGTCAAAGTTTAAGGTAGGCACTCATAAGGAAATAAATGATTTGTCAATTCAATTCATTTTATTTCTTAATAACATACATGTAATTATATAAAGTACATATAGTAGGGATAACAGATGACATCATTTCTGATGGTTATGCCAATACCCTTACATGATAAAGCATAATATTATGAATATTAAGAAAAAGGTAAGGTCAAGGAATCATCAAACAAAAGGTCAGGAGTGTCTGTTTATTCTATTAAAAACATATTGATCTCCCAATAAACACAGTGTGCATGATGTAGAGAGTATAGTCAGGTGGTTTAGACACTTGGTTTAAGATTATTTGTGTTAAGTCTCAATATGCATACACACGTAGTCGTGTACATTGTACTTTTTTAAGGTTCTTTCAGGCAAGAATCCAAGCACTTTTGAACTTGTTTATTTAGCGAAGCAGTATTTTAAATCTCCTTGTCCCGTTTAGATCATTTAGACTTTATCTTGAAGATGAATGTTTTCTATTTCAGTCAAAACAGAAAGAAATTGCCAAAAAGAAAGGAAAGAAAACCACATTTGAAAGTGAAGAAGATAGTGAAGAGGAAAAAGATACCAAGAAATCTAAAAATAACAAAGATAAAGATAAGAAAAAAGGAATTCTTAAAAATAAAGTAAGTTCTCATTTATCTTTATCTCCATCTTAGACGTGGATGATTTTTTATAAAAAATGAGGGTTGACATTTTCAGTTTGAACTTTGATTATGGATTACGTGTTTGTTTTACTGAGCCCTGGATTGGTTGCTGCAGTGGTCCCAACCTTTTGAAAGAGGAAATCGTTTTCATCTATACACACACACACACAAAAGGATGAAGCTTTCTCAAAAGTATAGCTTTTAAAAATCAAAGTACCTTGAAGACAGTGCTAAATTTTGAATCCATAGCTACCAGAGTAAAAAAACATTGCTTTTTTTGTGATTTGTAATGAACAGATCAACATAATTTTGCATAAAGATACACAAAATGTTGGGAAATATATTAAAATCTTGCTGTATTTTAATATGAATTTTTCAGAAGGGCAAGAAAATCGAAGACTCAGAGGAATCAGAAGAGGAAGAAGAGGAGGAATCAGAAGATGAAGAGACTGAAAAGGAAAATATAAAAAATAAAAAAGACAATAAGAAAAAGGAAACTAAGAAAGACACTAAAAAGGACACTAAAAAGAAAAAAGGAGGATTTAGTTTATTTGGTAAAAAGAAAGCTGAGGAATCAGAAGAGGATGAGGATGATGATGATGAGGAAGAGGAGGAAAAAGATAAAAAAGGTAAGAACTATGAAAAATAATGATATGAAATGTTGACATATGCAAGGTGAAACCATGGGCTACCTCCCATGGTGAAGCAATCAATTTGAAATACTATGGACTCATTTACAGTTTTCCATATCCACAAGTGGTGATATATTGTTATAGTTTCCAACTTTTTGTGGATGGTGTTCGGTGGTTAGTGTTCAGCAATAGGCATTCGGTGTTTGACAAATGGCAGATAGTGACATTTTGCATGTTAATGCCTTGTTATATTTTGTAATGTTTTCCTCAATATGTTAAAAATGACAGATTTCGTCCTTATATTAAACCTTTTTGAAATTAAAATCCAACAATTTGAAATACTATGAACTCTTCCTGCAGTTTTCCCAAACCATTATTTAAATGTCATTTATGCTTACAATTTGTGTTTTACTATCAGACTCCAAAAAGAAAAAAGATGACAAGAAAAAGGATAACAAAGACAATAAAAAGAAGAAGGGAAAAGATGATGAAGAAGATGAGGACGATGAAGATGATGAAGAAGATGAAGAGGAAAAAGCAAATAAAGAAAAAGTAAGACAATTTCTCCTTTTGATTATAGAGCGCATGCACTATCATATGAACAAATATCAGAGTCTGGATCTTAAACTTGCACTAACAGTGAAATCTTGTTTTTATGAGATTTTAGGAAATTTCATAAGTAACCATTAAGGATTTAAATGAGGCAAGAGCTCTGCTTCCTTTACTTAAAGTAAAATATTATAATTGACATTTTGTTTTAGGACAAGAAGAAAAAAGGTGAAAAAGATAAAAAGGATGAAAAAGAGGATGCCCCTAAAAAGGTCAGTTTTTATTTCAATTTGTAGTATTTCTCATATGGCTATATGCGAATTAACATAACAGAGTCAGTGGTATTTTTAATCTATTTTTAATGTTCATATATCTGCATTTAAAAGATGAAATAGCAATGAAACTTGGTGAATAATCTTCCTGCCATTCAAGGTGCTTTAGGTGCAGTCATTTTTGCAATTAGGTAATTAATAATCAATAACATTAAAGATTGTCATTTGATTCAATATTTGATGTTTCTCTACAATGACAATACATGCACAATATACCTTATATATGGTATCTTTTGTTTTTCAGTCGAAACTGTGTACAATATTATGATATTTGGATAAAGCTGTGCCATGTAGCATCACAACGTTTTGTGCAGTAATTTGTAATAACCATCAGATCTAATATATATCCACAGAGTGTAACCCATAAGGACTTTTGAGCCCTGCCTGTACACGTTGAGGATACAACAAAATAGAGCCACAATATGGACATACAACTCAAAAGGAACCAAATATGGACATATATTGGAAAGGGCTCTTATATGGACATACAATATTAGGACCCATATATAGATGTACAACTGTAACCTAATATACTACACTATATGTCATTATGGGACCCAGTCTCTATGTTCCTTCTTCAGAAAGTATGCATCCATGATGTTCTAAATACACATGATATTTACAGATTAAGGTAGGCAAAGTAGACTGAGTAAACCAGGGTACATAACAAGATTTTGTAAAATTAAGAATTTCTAGGCCTATTATCTGCAACGATATTATGATGTTACAATATCCATGGTTACAATGTGGATTTATAACATTTTGTAGCTAATAATGTTCTGATATGTACTCTTAGCTATAAGGGCCTTACAGGATTCCATGTTTATTAATTTCAAACATGCATCCTACTCTGGCTACCTTAATGTACAAGTGCAATTAAATTGACATCAGGTGGAATTATATTAGTGCAAAGAATTCAGCATTTTCTAAGACAGTCCTACCTTAATGCACATTCTGAAATCACTGTACCATATGGTACATTAAGAGTATGATACTGTACAGTACTGTTTGAGTCTATGATACCGTACTGTACAGTACCATAGTTTACCGTACAGAACAGTACCCTAGCCAAAACAGCACTGTATGGTAACTGTTAGAGATTGGCTGTGTATGCCTTCATTCTGCAACTGTTATCAAATGTTATGTCATTTTTTTTCATACAAATACAAAGTACTATTAACTCGAGGTAACTTCAAGAAATGTCTTTCTATTGAACAATGAAATTTGTTCAATTTCATTTTGTATATAAAGTGTAAAATATGAATGTAAGATATTTATTATAGCTTTATAAATAAATACATGTTTAAGAGTAACTTATGGGTCAGGTCAACATATTAATGGTGTCAAATAATGTTCTTATAACTTTGTTAAAACATTGATCTTCACTCTCTTCACTACTTTTATTTAGCAAAAGTTGATGGCATAAAAAATGGTCTACCCTCAAAAACAAAATTAATTACTGTACTCAATTTTTGAGACATTTCTTTGCATATACTTTATATTTATTTAAGCCTTCAATCTTAATGATATATTGATCTGACCCCTTACTAGAAGCTATCATTAAAAATGAAGTATTTTTAGTAGAGTTACTAGCATCCCATTCTAGAATTGATCAATAATTAATGAAATATCTAGAGTATTTTTCACACTTTTATGTGGAGATAAATATTTTGATTAATCAAGTGCATGATGTATTCGAGGAATAACAAAATTTTTATCAAATTAAATTACAGCTGGACATTGTTATTATTGGGCTCCCAACTCATCAGCTCATATATTACCAGCTTAACCATAGTTATTATGATAACCATTGATATACTCTTGAACAAGTTAAATGTAATATTTGAAACGTGTAATTTTAATAAATTATTATTAATTTTGTTAAAAGTTCTATTTTTTGTACATAGGCTGCGAATAGTAGCAAAGTGATGCAAGAAAGTTATTTTTCAGAAGCATTTTATATTAGGGAGTTTCGACTATATTTTTCATCTCCACGTATCTATCTGCCTATGTGTCTAAAGTAACTATGAAAAATTAAATAAGTCAAATGTGTCTCAGTCAATCAGAGTATATTTTAGTCCATAATTCAAGTTATATGGTCAATTGAGCAGTAACATTATTCTACAATGCGTTATTTATTATGTCACAGTGCATTATGGTTTCACAAAGAGCTGGACCTGGGAACTGGACTTCTTTATTTAAAAGCATTCATGCATATACTCGCCCATCATGATAATGTACAAGGACTCCGCCCTTGTGCATTATGTGTACGGGTGCTAATGTTGCTTGCTCCCCACATCAATTACTAGGGGTGATGAAATCGTTTCATTTATACATAATTTGGATCTTAATTAGTCCCCTAGTTGTGCAGTTGTCTATTGTCAAAGAATCCGAGAGGTGTAGTTCTCTAGTGGTACAATATTAAGTGGTGCAGTTCTTCAGTGGAACAATTGGTTCAGATAATGATCACGATTCACGTGGATTCTTCATCATAGATACAACCAAATATTCATGTTTTTTTTTAAATTCATGAGCCCTATAAACTGCAGCTGGTCATTAACCACAACCTCGGATCCATGCATGTCTTACAATGTTGATATTTCTGATGTTGTTGTTGTCATAGAAACAGTTCTAATCTTCGGAGTTGAATATTTTGACGTGTTTTCACTCTGTTTACTACAACACGTACACCCACATCGTCTCCACATTCTTTTATATGCTTCCTGCATGTCCCTTGTTCTGAGGGGATATATAATTGGATCGGAGATGTAGTTCAAAAACAGTAGACCGTCTGTCAGTGCGTTCAACCAGCGCGGAACGTTGAATTTGCTCAGTATAAAAACACTAGTGACGAGGAACGGTATGATAGAGATGATCAACGTCAGCGTCAGGAGTAGCGTTGTTATGATAGCATTGTGGCTATCTTTGATGCTTTTACGACGATTTTTGCTGGCTTTTTCTTGTAGTAGCCTGAAGTTTGCCATGGCTTGCCGTGTCTTGGCGTAAACCCAGAAGCACATGCCGATGATGATGAGAATCAGGAAAAGTCCAATAGCAGGAATTATGGGTAGCAAAAAGTCTTTCACTGGCAGAACACAGGCAGACCACATGAGGACTAGAACTCCCAGAATTATCGCCACCATCCAACTACACGTGATATAAATTGATGCATTGCGTTTCGTACAGATGGAGCTATGATGTAACGGGTAACAAACGGCGATGTATCGCTGTATGGCCAAACCAAGGAGCGCAAACACTGAACATGAGAATGCAGCACATAACGGGGCGTACGTCACGGTGTAGTTTAGTTTCGTGTTTTGCACTGGAAGGATTTCAAATTCCAGGGATCCGACAAGGCTCCTCGAAGCGTTCACCAACTGCGCTACGGACGCTAGGATGTCGACGATGAACAGGTTTCTGAACAGATAGTGGTGTGCCTTGCGTGGTGGTTTAACATGAAACGTTGCAATTAGAGTAGTGACATTCGCAATAATAGCTATAACACATAACAAAGTCAGCAATGCTGATTTCACCAGCTCGAACGTATCTAAAATTGCACAGAACGTAATATCGTCAGCGTCTACACCACAATCTACATAGTTGATCCTTTGATGGTATGGCACAGCGATGCAATCATTGGCAAGTTTCATTGTTTCAGCTGTAGCTTTATCCATCGAATCTGAAATGAACATACCCATAGTTGTTAAATTATCCATGATGACCTTCTTAGATGTTGTTCAGATACTCCAATTCGCATTCCAAAATAAAGATATTAATTCTGTGGTGAAGTACATCCTCAGGATTCATAGAATTTGAGACTTCTTATCAGATTCTACAATGGGATGATATTGTATACCGCCGACTATATCTAGTACATCAACTCCCTTATCGAGTAATTTTTCTATTTCGTTGCAAACTCTTCTTATCGTACGTAGCTCTTGTTTGTTCAATTTAAGTAGAAGGTGTTAAGGCATAGTTTTATTTGTCTGCTTGTTTGTTTTTAACTTGTTTTCACTGCACTTCACCTGTAAGATATCCTCATATATTCAGCTTGCAGTAATGTCTATTGAAAGGTGTGCTCAGAGGGATGACTTTTGTTATTACTTGCGGACATGTATGTCGTCATATAATATCTTAAGTGTTAATTCTAACTTATCTCCTTATAATATAATTGTAATTGTGTCTCATAAGCCTTTGGAGGCTGGCCGTATAATTACGGGTGACACTGTAAATAAATAAATAAATAAATAAATAAAATACACAGTCTACCGTAAATTGGCATAATTAACTTTGCATTTTAAAATCCTAGCTAATGTGTAGCGGAAGCATAAACCACACGCCCCACATTGTTTGAGATAGGATAGGCAATCACACACGCATTGTTTGTATTTACAGGGTGACCCCAAGAGAATTTAGCTAAATTTGAAATAACTCTCTATGTAATGACGCATTTCCTTGAATAGGTTCAAATCGTAAACCTGTGATGCGAGTACGGAACGAATGGTTTTTCCAAACCTCAAAGTCGTTGGTGCAAGATCAGTTATTATTTTACGTGTTTTGCACTCTAGGTTTTACGCAAGAAGCAAAGATTCCAACAAAACTAACGAAGTTATTCAAAAGGTGAGCTGCATTTCTGGGTCACCTTGTACGTGCACTGTCATCTTAGTAATTGAGTGCAATGTGATGCCGTTTGATGATCTCAATGTAAGCTATACCATACGTAGTACCCTTTGGATCAGCTTTTATTGCCTCTTTCAAGCACTTGTATTGTCAAGAGTTATCAACAAATTGTCCAATAAATGTTACGACTCTGTTGGAATTTTTGTAATAACCTGTTCATATTGTAAACTTGTATCTGAAAATATGATAAATAAATATTGAAGTGGTAACAAAGAACAGAGGGTGTAAAAGTGAAAAATTAAAACAAATAAACTGGAAATTGAGCAACCGAGCCTTCTAATTCCTCAGACACATTTGATCTACGGCAGCCATACGGCGGCCGTAGCTGATCCCAAAATCGATTGCAGCATAAAATATAGGGATAGGCCGTATGATGTAGATTTTGTATATCGATCAGAAGCTACGCCCGCCGTGGAGCATATGTGACTATGAGGCTTAGTTATACTTAGGAAAGTTACCTCAGACCAAATCTTTCAAGTTTTGGCAATCTACAATTGAATAAGTCCATCTTTGCTTGTACTGATAAGATCGAATTCGTCACCTACATTAAAAGTACTTCGAGCACAAAGGATATTTACCTTGGTATCTCTTAGTTAGCATCAATGATTTATTTCGTTCAAGTACTTTGCCAATATTTTACTGAACTGACCTTGGTTATTTACGTCGAAGAACTTGAAATGACTTTATTAATATAGTAATACAAACTTTCGATATAGAGCCACGTGAAACAGCATAAACTTGTTTTACACTTTCTTGTATATGAATGGAATTGGATTTGCATTTAAGTAGCTTTAAAGATGTTATAAAACCGTTTTATTCGATTTAGATTCTATTGATGCCTTACTGTATGGAGGCCACTCTTGACGATAGTGAAAAACCAATACCTCCAGAAGTTTATGTGGGGAAATCACCAGTGTACAGTGTTATAGTTATAACAGAATAGCTGTTCTTATGCCAAGTACAAGCTAATTAGAGATTCTGGCTGCCATTGTTTTATAACATCTCTAAAGTGCTTATAATATTCTTCTACAAATATTCTTCCGTTGATAAATTATCTAAAATATGTCACGCACTAGACGCGACTAAAAGTTCTATTAATATTGCTTAAGCTACGTTCACACCTATGGCGCTTTGATGGCGCTTTAAAGCGGCTTGTAAAGCGGCACCAAAGCGTAACAAAGCTTGATTTAAGCGTCGGGGTCGTAATAGGTAGTAGAAAAGCTCGGAGTAAAGCGGGATATTCGGCAAGAGCGCAAAAAATTAAAACTGTTTAAGCTACGTTCGCACCAACGGCGCTTTGATGGCGCTTTAAAGCGGCTTGTAAAGCGGCACCAAAGCGTAACAAAGCTTGATTAAAGCGTCGGGGTCGTAATAGGTAGTAGAAAAGCTCGGAGTAAAGTGGGATAATCGGTTACGAATTGATAATTTTAAGCGCCGAGAGCGTATCAAGGCTTAATAAACCGTAACAAAGCTCAGCAAAGCTTGACCCAAAGCGTAGGAAAGCTTTACAGAGCTTGGTTCATGCAAAGCGGGGACCCCAGTCTCTTCACTGTCTGTTACCACTTGATACGCTTCGTTAAGATGTCTCAAGATTTGCTACGATCTGGCATGAAGATCTGACACGAGGTCAGACGCTTTCATCAATATCTGACACTGTTTGCTACACTTTCATGAAGGACTCTCAAGCTTTCCAACGAATTGAGACGCTTTAATCAAGGATTGAAACGCTTTGCTAGGCTTTGTTACGCTTGACAAGTTTCCATACGCTATATCACGCGGTGCGACAAACATCATGTCTTCTTCAGATAGGTCATGCTCTGGTCCATCTGGAATTTCTGGATCTTGTTTTTCTGCCATCGTGTTCTCGAGTCAAAGATGCAATGGTTTTATGGATCTACTGCATCTTTATATAATTAGTTATTGGATCAAAAGCGGCATGAAATCGGCGATCTCGACATTTTCCGATGCATGACAGAGCTTAACAGAGCGTAACAATGCACAACAGAGCTTGGCAATCGTATCAGAGCCTGATTTAAAGCGTCATTATCGAATCAAAGCGTAATAATGCTTATCAAACCTTATCAAAGCGTGATTTCAAGCGTAACAAAGCCTGGTCAAAGCGGGATCAAAGCGTGAGGAACCTATCAGAGCTATGTTAAGCTTTCCTACGCTTTGGATCAAGCTTTTCTGAGCTTTGTTACGGTTTGTTAAGCTTTGATACGCTCTCGGCGCTTTAATCAATTCGTAACAGAGCGCCCAAAATTTTTAAACAGTTTAAAATTTTTTGGCGCTCTTGCCGAATATCCCGCTTTACTCCGAGCTTTTCTACGACCTATTGCGACCCCGACGCTTTAATCAAGCTTTGTTACGCTTTGGTGCCGCTTTACACGCCGCTTTAAAGCGCCATCAAAGCGCCGTTGGTATGAACAAAAATGACAAAAATGACGGCGCTTTGCTCGCCGATTTAAAGCGTGGCATTCGCCGTTGGTGTGAACATAGCTTTACTATTGGTTCCTTAGACGAATAAAGTATTAATATGATAAAGAAGACACCGATTCTTATTTTTTTCGTATTTTTGGTTTTGGTAGTACACAATTGAAAGGTACTGGGGTTGTCAAATCGACCTTACTTCTCTATTTCGCTGTGCAACGGTAGTCTCAGAGATACTGTCGAGGGCAACTTTTTTATTACCTGTAATATGAGAAAAGATATTGTAAACTTAATATTATTGATAAGCCAATAAACTAATTCCCTTGTGGCAACTTCTATCCTTACCCCTACCATTTTCAAGCATCTTTAAAAGGGTAGCTGCAATTACGCATAATCAATGCATGTGAGAACCTTATGAGATATATAAGGGTTATGTACTGGGAGGTTTTGGATTATTTAATTCATAGCAGTGCAATGAATTCATGATCTGTATATATTCATAAAATGTATATAAATAGACCAGACCCTGGACTCACCTAAATTCCATTCTGTTTTGTACTGTCTTTTTTCTCTTTTTATAATTTGATACAAAAAATGTAACGCATTAAAAATGTGGATAACATAAAAAACAAAGTACAATTGGCGTATTTTGGAGGAAAGTGTGGGTAAATATCATTCGAATCTTTTTTGTTATACCAACACGATCACGGTGACTTAATAGATACCTGTCATACTATAATAAAAATAGTGTCTACGAAGAGTTATTGATTAATGCAGATTGCAAAACGTTGAATGCAAAGATTAACACTACTGTTTTGACAGCGTCTAGTTATTGTCGAAGGCTGTGATTCATTCTTGAATTCCCAGGTCATACAAACTGCCATCTATTGTATCAGGTTCATAACAACGTCAACGAACAGATCGAGCTTTATAACATTTATGTCTCTCTGGGGAGATCTTGGCGAATAAACCATGTCTGATTGGGTTGAGACAGGAGCGACTGACAAGGAGTTGTGCAGATACTGGGACAGCTGTTTTAAAAAGGACTCCGAACACAGACAAAGATTCTTGCATCCAGAGAATTTCACGGATAATGCAGAAACATCTAGTGCTTCTGCTCAACCAGTGATCACATCAGAACATGGTAAGTACATGTACATCAGTAAAATGGTAATTTGTAAATAGGTAAATTTGTAATTTGGTAAAATAGTGAGTTGTATAAAGCAAGGTTATATTGAACAAACAACAACATCGCAACGAAATACTACAGTAAGCCAGTTGCATTATTGATTATACCTGAATATACTTTGGTTACCAAGGCATACTTTTTACAATTGGAATGGAACGCAAATTTTAACGCACTTTGAAAAGGTGTCTTCTCGGGGGTGTCTTGCACTGACGGGCGTCAGTGTCTGTATGCAGGAGGGTCACATGGATTTTGTCAACCATAATGATTTTCATCAAATATATAAAAAGCTATTGTACTGGCACCTGTTGGTTTCTGTGCCACCACGTAGATCTCTGTTCAGACCACAGTTCAAATTTCAAAACATAATTTTGTTTTGATAATCAATCAGTTCAGAATGATCTTTAATTGTAGGTCGACCAAATGTAAAAATAATTGTGATTAGATTCAAGTTGTTCTAGTTAATTTTACTTCCTCCTTTCGTACTAACTTGTTTTATTTTTTCTGTTTGGGTCTCTTCCCAGCTTTTTATTCTTTTCATCTTCTTTTCTTCTCCAGTTCCTTTTGTTTCTCTTAAGATTGTCTCTTCATTTTCTCGTCTCTCTTTTATTCCACTAGTTCTATTTCTTTCTAGTGCTTTCATTTCTTTCTCAATCGGCTTTATTGTTGAGTAAAAAAAAATTTCACAGCCCCGGTTCACAACACCGACAGCCCAGAATTTATAAGGACATCCTGGGGTCATTTCTGTTTATAAACATGTTCCTGATCTGAATGGGGCCTGTCTTCATCGGAAAGTAAGTCGAAGAGCCGAGGATATGAAATAGAGAAAACGATGTAAATCAGGATGCCATCAAACGTTGGCCAGACGCACGGGACGTAGCATTGTCATGATTGTAGGTAGACGAAATGTGAAATGTTTGTTTTTATTATATATCATTATATAAATATTATTTACTATTTGATTACTTCACAGGGGAAGGTGGAACATGCTCGAGTTGTGACAGTCTCAGTTCATCCACTTTTCCTGATTATTAGGAGGGTCTTGTGTACTGGGCTGTTATCCCTGTTTTTTATATACATCATAGGCGTAGCCAGGGGGGGGGGGGTGCGATGGGTGGCCCCACCCCAATAACCAATAAGAATATAACATTGAGATAGAATAAGAAAAGAGCTTTAAAATGCATTTTATTTGAAGCTTCTAGCTAAATTTTAAATTGAAGGAAGTTGCATCAATTTTTGTAAAATTCAAGGTAAATCTTAATTTTTGGCTTGTTTATGCCACAATCGCACCCCTGACTGAAAACCTTTTTTGGCGATCGCACCCCTCCTGACTGAAAGCTGGCTACGCCCCTGTACGTTGTAATCTCACCAGTGATGTTCTCATATCTTTCAGATACTGGAGCCCATGGTGACGATCTAAAGGCAGATCTAGGAAAGGATGAATTCAGGCTTATACTCGTGGGAAAGACTGGTGCAGGAAAGAGCTGTACCGCCAATACAATCCTCGGCGAGAATACTTTCCAGAGTTTGCCCAGTTTTGCCTCCCTAACAAGTGTTTGCGACTTTGGTAAGAAGAAAATGGAGGATAAGGAATTGATCGTCGTAGATACTCCTGGATTTATGGACAATCGTTTCGACGAAAGGCAACTGTTTGCCGAAATTATAAAATGCGTTGGTCTTGCTGTTCCAGGCCCCCATGTTTTCTGTATTGTCATTCAAATTAATCGCTTCACCGAGGAAGATAACAAAGTTATTGAATTTATGAAGAAGCTGTTCGGTGATGGAATGATGCGCTATTCGATTATGTTATGCACACACGGGGATGGTTTGGAAGATAGTGGTCTTTCAATTGATCGTTTGTTCGAAACTGCACCTGAATGTCTCAAAAATCTGCGCCATGATTGTGATGATCGGGTGTTCGTTATAAATAATAAAGCTGCCGACCGCAAAGAAGAGGGAGATAGGCTTTTGCATGCCTTAGTATCGTGGGGATTCGGAAATGAATACTACACCGACCCGCATGGAATGATGAAGGCCAGTGCCAGGGCTTTCTTGGATAAAATAGACGAGACGCCCGGATCAAGTATCGGGGACATCCGTTCCACATTAGTGGGTGCATGGGAGAATGCCAAACCGATGCTGCGGGTACTCGTTCCCATTGTTGGTCAAGTACTTACCGTTGCGGGGCATCCTAAGTTCGCCGCAATCGTCGGCAGCCTTAGTGACCTTCTGGACACGTATGTTCTTGGTTAGATAGATGCTATAACCCCGAGAGTTGTTTACAGTAGAATAGCTGAATGGAACATGAACACATTGACTTGTGAACAAACTTCAACACCTTATTAGGAAGGCAAAGTATCTTCCTTATAAAATGTTTTTTGCGAACTGTTAGGGCCTTGGAGATTGACTTCAATTAAATGTATTCCTGGTAACACACAGTTATCAATTATGAATATAAATTGTAAATTCACACATAGTTTAGTAAAGGCAGGTTGTGTCCAAATATAGCCAATTAGAACACGCTATTTCACGTAACTGCATTCCGTTTTATAACCAATAACGAACTCAAGGTCACTAGCTAGTTAAACGGTTGTCATGGTGATACTTGCCAGCTTGACCCTTGATAAAAGTTTCATTGAAAATATTCTTTTAGTGATTTCGTATCTGTTAGATAATTTTGTAGATGTGTGAAAAGAATTTAAGCCCATGGCTCAATGAATTTTGTAATGACCATTCCTTTCAGGCGTTGTTTCCTAAAATTAACACTCGATGCTCAGCATCGTGACGCCCCCCCCTCCCTTGGGTGGGCCTCGAAAAGAATTGGGCCCAAAAAGGCCCCCAAAAAGTGGGCCTCTTTGGTCATAACTGGGCCTTCTAAGGCCTTATTTTTTTTAAATTGTGAAGAAAATGGGCCCCAAATTTTCAAAATTTGGGCACACTTTTTTGCCCAAAATTTTTGAAAAAAGGTTGTTGTGTCTGACCTGATATTTGCCCCCCCCTTGTTGGTTCCCAGATCCGCCCCTGGGTTTACAGATTTAGGTTTTTGTAATGTGACTATCCCGACAATATTCCTTTATAATTGCCATTATGGTTCACTAGTAGGCTTTAGTGGTGCCTTAGAGCGCCGTAATGGTTTTACCAGTAGGTCATAGAGTTCCCCATGTAGACTTCAATGATTCTGTAGGCAGTTGTGGGCTATAGTTCACTAGTGTCCTTCATGGTTCCATAGTAGCCGTTAGTGGTTCCCTGGTAGATCCTAGCAATTCCCCCAGGACTAATGGTTCACTAGTTATCCCTTGGGTTTCACACACAAGCAGCCCCTAGTGGTTCCTTATTAGAACCCAGTTGTTCCTGAATGCCAAGTTTCATGGTAGGCTCTGGTGGAACATGGTATGATGGACAACAAATTTTGTAAAATTGTGACAACTTTATCTGAAATATTTTAATGTCACCTAGTAGACTATAGACTCCTGTACAATCATATACATTAGGTACAAATAAAAATTATTTTATACCCCTACCCCCTGTTTGAAAATGAATAGATGGCGCCTCTTTAACTGCCTATAGCGAATTTACTTACCACACATTTTTACTCAAGTTAGGATAATTTACTCTAGAGAGTGTCTGGAACAAAATGATACCCTCAAACCATTTTTACTAGCCGATCACCGAAATCGGAGCTGGGGACAGCATCAGTACGTTATACGGGAATAATAAACATGCTATAATAAGTGAGTTGCGAAATCTCTCTAAGACCGTGTGGTTTTCCACGGTATACCTTCTACTGTTTAAATTGGGTAATTTCAACTTTACAATTACCTACTTCATAGTGTAATTTTACATGACACCGTTGAGAAATAACATTACAAAAACAATATATCATATTTATAACTTACAAATCGTTAATTTCTATATTGTTTTCACTAGCAATGCTTTTTACTGTCCTTACTCTGCCCTCAGAGTCTAGTAATAAACTACTGAAGACGAAGCTCTCTTTTAAGAAGTGAAGTCGAACGTTTTCCACTCAGAATCTCAGCGTAGTACTGTTTCACAAATACTGTGAGACATTTAGGAGAAATGTATGTTTAATTAGACCATCAGACGACAAGACTATGCTACTTAAAAATTAAAACTGAAAAGTTTATTTGCTCAATTTCTACTTTTTGAGTCTTTAATATTTGGCGAAGCAGATATGCATAGGTCCCGGATGTTAACCTGGCTGACGAGAACCACAACACCATCTTTACATGCGTTGATATTCTCCCTTTCTTGTCACTTTCCCCACGACGAACATCGTGCCATCCTACCAAACAAAACAACCATAGTCTAATTTAGCTTCGACTGATATAAAGTCAACTTCTGAAATGACGTATAGTTATGCAATTTAAATTTCAAATTTGATTTGATGAATTACTATCGAAAATCTGAAAATGCGTTTTACCTTCACTAAGCCAGGGACACTTTTCCAGAACTCAATGTTGGGGACCATCTCGACACCTCTAGCTCCCTGGCGTTGCCGTTTTATAGCCATTCCACCAATTACATAAAGAGGCAGCAGCACTATCAATCTACATAGAGAGCAATCATGTAGTCATGCAACAATGTTTAATTTCAGTCCACCTTGTACTAGGTTATTCCCCCAACTATATATCTATTCTATATTTCTCATATCTGATCTGTGTTTCAGAAAGAAATGGATGGGACTTATGAACTCTTTCCAATACTTTGAGTTTGCTTCTTTAATTAAAAGAGTGAAAATGAGACTCTCATCTTTCTAATGTACCAGGTTCTGACACTTGAGCAGATACTACGATCATGTAAAATCTTATCAAATCAATTTTTAAAGTGGCCTTAAAATGGAAAATACTGCTATTAACTGTAGAGTGCGATTTTTAAAATTACAATTAACATCGAAAAACATTTTTGTAAATTCATGGAATTACCTAAGCTTGTATTCGCGGATGCAACTTTCGGCTATCGGCTCGGATTGACCTACTATTTTATGGGCAACTTATTTAAATATTATGGTACCTGCTACTATTCCATTCATATTTAAATGAGTTGGTCCTAAAATAGAAGGTTAATCCGATAGCCGACAGCCGAAAGTTGCATTCGCGAATTCAAGCTTAGATGTCTGGTTACGTATATTAATGTTTAAGTCAATGTATAACGTTTATGTAAACGATGGCTACGATATTCTGATTCTGACTATAACCTGGTACACAACTTGGTAACAACTTATGTACAACATTGCAACAAAACAAATGAATATAACTTTTTAAATGATTTAGTATGTAACTGTATTTTATCATATATTATGATAATATTATACATTCCCCTCCATAAGTTTGGCAACTGGCACAGGCTGGTATCGAAATATTTGTCCGCTGTGACGGAGCATGCTATTTTTCATAAAAACACTAAGAATACTTCACGATTTATTTTTTAACTCATATCTTTCGTTATACCATACAAAATTACTTCATGCAATGGATATATCATTTGCGGGTAACTTTCACTTTTGTTTGAAGTCCAATTACGCTGGGAAGAAAAGCTATTGAAAATGGCGCTGGAGTATCATACTTCAAAATGTACAATTTCTTGTTTAACTTTCTAATGGCACGATATAGTGACACGATAATATTTACACATGGTTTCAGCATAACTATGAAGGTATAAATGAGATGTTGATGTATTTGGTCTTTTTAATTCTTTTATAAAAAATAATGTTTAATTTTTTTGTCCGCTGTGACGGAGCAGTTGTAAATGTGAACTGTGAAAATGCTCCGTCACAGCGGACAAAAAATATTAATATTATTTTTTATAAAAAATTAAAAAGACCCAATGCATCAATATATCATTAATACATTCAGAGTTATGCTGTAAACATATGTTAATATTATCGTGTCACTATATCATGCCATTAAAAAGTTTAAAAAGAAATGGTACATTTTAGAGTTTGATACTCTGGCGCCGTTTTCAATAGATTTTACTCCTAGCGTTATTGGACTTCAATCAGAGGTGAAGGTTACAGGCAAATGATATATCCATTGCATGGAGTAAGTAATTATCTATGATATAACGAAACATATGAATTAGAGATAAATCGTGAAGCATTCTTAGTATTTTCATGAAAAATAGCATGCTCCGTCACAGCGGACAAATCTTTCGATACCAGCCTGTGCTTACGGGTCGCTTATCACTCAACGCCTGTTTTATGATTCAAAAATAAATAAGTTCTAAATTTTCAAACTTGTGTAATTAGGGGAAAATTAAGTCAAAGCCATTGACAGGCTTACATACTATCGAATGAAAACCCCAGGTTGCTAAACTTAGTGAGGATAATGTTATTGTTAAATATATAAATAATTTAGCTTGTTAATGTTATTTGACATTTTTGTGTAGATACACTCTACAATGCTGAACAGATGTCGTTAAAATTATCAGAATTAGTTCATCATTTTATGTGTACGTGGTTTGCCCAGTGTTTCTCTTCGTCACCATCAATGCAATACTGCATATTTAAATTCATTTATCATAATCACATTTTTCATAGAAAGATGTAATATATTCGACTGATAGAAGAGATATTGGTTGTCTAACCTCTGTGACACATACACCCTCTAATGTACAAGAGGGACTCATTTTCCAGTGGCATTACGTGTATATGCAACTCTATTGTAAAGTAAATAATACATTCTCGTAAACTGCAGCTATATTAATTCATTCTTTTAATTAAGTGATACTGAACACAATCTTTTGCAATATGTGAAAACAATTTAGCACATGGCTCCGAGTGAATGAATTGTGGATGATTTTTATCTACTAAAGTTATGTTTCCTAGACTTTACATTCGTGCTACCGCACTCATTCTAAGGTCCGGAACAAGGCATATGTATAACAGGTTTAATTTCAGCCGTTAAAAAATATGTGAAATCATTCTAATCTCTAAATGCAAGCTATTTTAAAAGTACTATCACACCAAACTAGTTCTCACTACGTTCTCGAAAACGGGCTTAAACTGTGCACGAACGGATTTGACGTACTAAGAACCCAATAAGAACCGTTTGGGATCTGTTTACAAACTTCATGAAACTACTAGAACGAGTAGGTCCTCCAGCACTTAGAGCATGCTCAAAATGGTTCTGGTGATCGTCAAAACGTTGCCGATTCGGTTTTAAACTGTGTGCGAACTGAATGAACGTAGCTACAACGTTCTACGGTCTGTTTACTAAATTCATGGACTTTCCCGGACGGGGTATGTGATTTAGAATTTTGAATCGATTCAAAATTCGATGGCGACCATACCGTTCTGTAATCAGGTCATGATGACCTTCTAGACTAAGGGACGGTTCATTCTACGTTGCACACCGACGTAGTGCGACCTGAACGAACTGCGAATGAGATGGACGTATTGAAGACTGTTTATGAACGAAGTAGCTAATTATTTTAGACATATATCCCGACCGCAGCCAGACTGAGCCCGTTTTACGACATTTTCGTAGGACTGGCTAGAACGGGTAACTAGTTTGGTGTGGTAGGGGGGTAAGGTTTATCGTGTGCATAGAAGCCAATCAACCCGAGAGATTATTTTAATACGATAAGGCCTTTTGTCACTCAACCGCGCGGACCTCATATTGCGCCAGGAGTACAAAAGAAAACATTGTCAAATGTCAAATAAATAACTTTCATCAGATCGGAGTAACTTTATATAATGAATTTCATTTTGGATTACATTTATAATAGGATAAACGAACGGCTCAAAGTAAAGAACGCGGGCGGATAACAAGTATTTCTATATGACTGAAAGAATCTAAACGTCCACATGCTCAGAAAGGCCAAATGCATACAGAACTATGCATGTCGAACATAATTATAATACCTGATGTTTACAAACTTTGAAGGGATAAGTTATTTTTAGGATAATTAGGACACGGTCTGCATCTTGAGAGAAAGGGTTAAGACTTTACTTTTAGAAGCATAATACTAGGTAAGATATTATACATATAAATAGCACTAAAACTTGTCACTTGAAATATGATTTATCAAATGGTGGGTTAATCCTAAACTAGGGGGAGGGAAGAAGGTTAACAGGTTGGCCAACATACGAATGTCGTCCAGAGGGGTAAGTACAGTCTACCCTTCTTGTTTGAAATTGTTTATCAGAGGTTCCACGCATGCAAATAGACTCACTGTAAGTAACCCGAAAATACATCGTGCTCTTATATCAACAAAGAACATTTTAAATATTTCTACACTAAAGGAGTGAATATTTGATCTAAAATTCAAGTATTGTCAAAAACGATGTGTAGGAGTTTCTTTTACAAGAAAATCTAGATCTGTCATTGTCGGTGCAGTTACATGTTCCAAAGGCTCAACATTGTATATACACGTTTCAGTATTAAATACAAGCTAACTGAATATTGAACCCTTGTTTTGACGGAAATCCATGATTGTATGAAACATTGGTTATTAAGAAAATGGTACGAGGTTCACTTATATTTAGCAAAGAGTCTGAAATAAGGAAATAAGGTCTATCTGGGTTATTTCATGTACTAGGTATATACCATCATCAACTATTAATTGAATAATGAGAAATATAGCTAGGTCTAGACTTTAATAATAAAATGCTGAATCACAATCAAATTAGATTGAAGGTATCGGTATTCACTTATATTTTGCAGCAAAGTTTTATTCACAACTCGAGTATACAGAGGCACATACTTTGTATTTTATTCTGCCATATCTAGAACATACATTCTTTTCTTTAAAATAGACGCTGTTGATCCTCAGACAGAAAATAGATCGATACATTTTATAATTATACTTTCCAGATATCATAAACGTGCAACATCCCTTCGTTTATAATGTCGGTGATACATTGGGCGGTTTTAGTCGTCAGTGTCTTTTGGCAACTTCACGGTGGAGAGGCCCAAGCTACTTCAACCAAACCAGTGAGCAACACAACAGAGGCACCCTATGCGATTGCGACAGCAAATGACTCTATCACGACCAGCGTTCAGGATATGCTGAAGTGCAAACTGATTCCAACCAGTGATGATATTCGAAACGCACTTGCAGATGCTGAATCAGCGAAACTGATTGAGTATGAATTAGAATTTGAGAACTATACTGTTAATCCACTTTTGGAGCAATCTATTAGAGAGAACTACAAAGCCAATATTTGGCAAAAGGCGGCTACTAAACACGGACGAACTCTGGTCACAATGAATTTCAATTACGACGTCCTGTCCTTATCCGTGCTCTCATTGGGCGTGGAGAAACATACGGTAGTGCTAAAGGATGAGCCAGTTGGTTGTTTTGGAGAGTTATCAGAAATGGACAGAATGGATAATGTGCTATGGCTTCTGAGTCGAGATTTTAACTCCGAGAGCCCCTTGCCAACTATAGCTGACGATGACTATATTTGTCACCAGGTCTTTCATACAAGTGCCACAACATCCAGATTCGTTGACAAATGCTGCAGTGTGGATATTGATAAAAACATGGCTTGTGCTGTTGAATTTAAGAGTATTACTCTCGACGTTCTGCTGTACTTTGTACTATTCCTCAAGATTGCCGTTTTTCTTATTGTCCCGTATCTCATTCCTTGCGCCGTGTACATGTTTTCACGAGGCGCCGATACATTTAGGGTCATCCTCAAAAGCTCACTCCAGAAGACATTGCTTGTAGCATCAGACCCCGGAAATGTAAAGTTTGATCATCATTGGCCAGCGCAAGCTTTGGACAATTTTGATAAATTCCAGGAAGCGGTTAAAATTTTTCCTAAAGGAAGACCAGTTAAGGTTAAATTTAGTGAGTATATCTTATCCGTAGAAACGGACCGTGTTGTCACAGAAAATCATATCCCCGTTGGTTTATTTGCTTGTCTCAAATATAGAGTTTTTCGTTGTGGGATGAGGAAATTTTGGGCGTGTGTTAAATGTTGCAACGCTAGCATATGTGGAGTACTGAACGAAACATTTCCTATCAAATGGAAACACATTGGGTACGCATCATCAGGTTTGATTCTCGTGACGTTAGTATTTCCGTTTCCGTATTGGCTAAGGTTGGTTTTCTTCAATGTGTTTGAAAGAGAGGAATTGTCAAGTAGGTCAGAATTCGCTAATAGGTTTGGGTTTAACAAAGCCTATGAGCTTCATCTTGTACAGTATTTCTTTCCAGAGAATGCAATATTTATAGTCTGTTACGTAATGTATGCAGTTCTTATCCTATTGCAACTTTTCTTCAAGATTGAGCCAAGTGGAAGATATAGACATATTGTAAAAAGTTCTTTTGTGGATATGCATGACGTTCCCATTATGACCATAATTGGAAAAATGATAGAGTTTCTCTTGTTGCCGTGTAGGTTTCTGGGTTGTTTGGGGTTCATCTTTAGTTTTATATTCTGGCCAATTGCTGTTCCTATATGTTTAGTGCTGTTCACCTTAAGCTGTGCCCCACTTTTGTATCTAACATATAGGTTCTTTGTACACATCTATAGAAGTGTATCTAGTTCCTATTCTAAGCTTCCCAAGAACACCTCAGTTTATTCAGACACAACAGAGACGGACATGCTTTCTGATACGGAACCGTCCACTAAAACTATGGGCTGCATGGATAAAGCTCTCTGTATTATCCTACCAATCATGTACCTGTTTGGGATTTGGTGCACAGTGTTCCTGGTATCGGAATGTCTTGGTTTCGGGCTAGAGGTGCTTATTTTCACACTCATTGGCCTTATTGTTAACGCTGGCTCTGTTCTGAAATATCTTTCAATTCTGTTTCTCCTGGTCATATATTCATACGACTGTTTTAATAACGTCTATCTCAAATACCTGTCCCTTAACAAGGCAATCTTCAAGGATGTATTTGGACGAGTCAAAGATGATGTTACAGAACTGACTCAGCGTCCAAGCCATTTGCAGGAAAATCGTGGTTTCAAGTCAGAGGCCTTAACTGAACAGGAAAAGCACGAGAGGCCCGACAGATTAGCCAGAAGACGTCCAATGCATTGGAATGTCAATGATTTGGTCCTTTTTGTAAATAAATTTGATTTGCATTTCCTGCCCGTGAAATTGTTCTACGCGATCACGTTAATTCAAGTTGCGGGAGCTCCAGGTCCTGTGTATAAGAGTCTCTTGCATGCTTGGAGACGTTTTGGCCAAATCATTATCTTCCTTGGTTTCCTTGTGATGACAGTTAGTATATTTGGTGACATCTACAAGGTCAGCTCTACGAGTCAAATGCTCGCCACGCTGGCTGGTGGTATCTTCCCGTTCATGCTTCGCAACTTCATGTCCTCAAAGGCCGACCCTATTGAATTAAACTCTTGTACATTTAAGTGCAAAGTCGATGAGGTGATTGAAAATTTCAAAGAAGATTGGCCGATAGCTGATTTACCGTTTGAAGTGGATGAAGACCAAAGTGGAGTTGAATCATGTGAGAAGGTTGATCTCTTCATTCAGCTTCCAAAGTCAGGTATACGTAGCAACAAACATGTGTTGATTAACATGGGCTGGAGAGGCAAGAAATACACGCTTGAGCACACAGAGGACGTCGATGTTTTATCAGATGCCCGTTCAGAGAAAATTGAAGATGAAGTTGACAAAGCAAAACAGGAAAGTGTTGAGATCACCGACGATGCAAATGTATAGAAATATGTGGTTTTCTGGCAAACCACACTAAAGTGCTGATGCGTTTATACTGTTGACTCCTCGAGAAGTGAACTAATCAACCAAACTATCATACCTTACAGCTGGGATATATAAATATTAAAAACAGAATGTATTTATATGTTCTATAAAGAATATACACAATCCGTTGAAATACAACAGTAATTCGTAATATTGTTGAAGCAGAACAAGACATTCAGAGAATAGACTTTCTAAACTGAAAAACCCACTTGCCTTCATATATTTTATGAAGGTTTCTTGACTACATGCTTTATTAGCATTTTAATTCATGAAAAACATACATATATTAAGACATATTAAAACAACAATGAAACTTATTTGGAACTACTGAGTTGACATTCAACAACTTTTGAATTACAAAAATCTTAAATTAGTATCCTAACTCGGAAATTTCATTTGGGAGTTTCGATATGGAATACGTACGCAGACCTGTACTTGTACAAGTCAGGTCTAGCTCTCTGGAGGAACTCTTGAAACGAAGATAGGGTGCGTTCATTCTTCAAATCACAACAAAATATTCGGCAAGTATGTAGTTCGTGAGTTCCGGTTTCAAAATATGATTACAACTCAACTTAAATGAATTCTGCCATTGCTGGGATATTTACAAATCAATTTCCTCGATTTATAGGAAACGAGGATAATTTTTCTTATGAAATGTACTTTCCTGGTTTCTTTGACCCCCCCAGTGGTGTTAACGTCATTTAAAAGTTAAAGTTGCAGAAAACTTATATCGAAAGCTCTCTATTAATCGGTCTTATGGCTAGAATTGGTATATTATTTGATTGGTTTAAAGGAATATTCCTTGCCAAACCATCTCTCTCCTCATATGGTAGCTATAACCATATATGCTTGCCATGTTTAGCAAAACACGCAAAAATGTTTTGATATGGTCAAATTTGATCAGTTAGAAATGTGATGCTCAATTCCAGTAAGCTGCCATCTTTTAAAATTTCACACAGGAAGTGATGTCATAGACTCTCAACTTTGCATATAGCATTAGGTATTCATTAAGTATACAAGACTTGAGACTCTGATAAAAGATGCAAAATGAAACTAAGATTCTAGTATGGTACCTTAAGGGCAGAGTGTATATGTAGATGAAACTGTCGTTTACAAAGAAGCAAAATTAAACTATTGGAATGAATAGATTGATGGTGTTACAGTTTAAAACCAAAGAAAATGTTTATTCACAGACTGGTTCAATACTTTTTGTGATTCAAAACGAAGTAAACTAAATATATAGTATGGTATACAAAACCTGTCTTCTTTTATTACTTACTTGTTCAAATAGGTTCAGTCGTTTTCTGAATAGGACCACATACTTTATACGAAATCATTCACAATTAGTTTCAAAAAGTTTTATTTTTAGAAACAGATAAATACAATTTAGTATATTGAAGGAGTCATTCGATATTAAATAAATATGGAACGTGAATGAGAAATATCAATTTACTTACATTATGCATAATATCGTGCCGACGCTAATAGAGACAGCCACCGTGACACTGGGGTCATCTGGGTTATGAGTAGAGCTGGCAGGTGGCGCTGATCCTTGTGGGCAGCAATATTTACTAGTAAGGCTCATATACTGAAACAAAAAAACACTCTTATTTTGGAATACTTTTCGATTCGCAATCGTGATATGTTCATGAATTTTCTCGTGGAGATATATATATGGAATTCACACAGAGCTAACCTGAGTTCATTGAAATATCAAAAAATGATTTGTATTAATCAATTTGAAATGAAAGGCAATCATCCACTTGTTGTTATACTATTTTGACTTCTCTAGAAAAGTTAAAGAAAGTAGTGGAGAAAAAAATTTTGGTTTAAGAATTTTTCTGGATTTAAGCAAAGCATTTGATATTGTTGACAATGCTTTACTCCTTACTAAACTGAATTTTTATGGTTTCAAGAGAAAGTTATTTCGGTAACTAAGAAACAAACTACTTTCAATTAAGTATACTCGGCTATGAAAATAATACGAGGTTGTGTTCCCTATGGATCTATTTTGAGCCAATGCTCTTGCATTTCGGAAAATTTATAAAAACAAGCCATTAACATGCAGAATGTCACTAACTGCCATTTGTTACAGACGCCAAACGCCGGCCGCCGAACACCGTCCTTTAAGAAGTTGGAGACAATAACAATATGTCACCAATTATGGTGTTGACATAAAACAGCATTTTCATCATTGTTTATTGCACTCACGTAGTTTGCAGATCCAGGCGAATCTTCCCCTGAGACATCGAGAATAGGTGTATCCGCTGCCTCATCACAGAGCAGTTGGACGTGGCTTGTCCTTTAACACAAACATAAACACAGTCAATAATTTTGTTTATGTCAATGATAATTCATCAAGAGTACTCAAAGGGGTGGGTGCGATGGGGTTTCAAGTTTTCAACTAAAAATGTCTGCAATCAATAATTTCGAGTAATATTATCAGATACCTTGTTACTGAAAGCCAGTCTTGTGAGTATTGGATTTCCAATCCCTTGGTTGGGTCGGTGATAAACTGGGCAGAATCCTGAGTCCCCAGTGGGTAGAACGCCCCACCTTGCTGTGACTGACATACCTTTCATAAACAATATTTTTTAATTTCTTTATTCTGAAACCATTGAGAAGTGGTAATTGTGTTAGTACTTTGTTATTACTAGATATAGTACTATTGTTAGTACTATTATAATACTACATAGTAGTTAATGAAATGAAGAAGATGAATAATACTATAGTATGTACTGCATGAAACTTGAATTAAACTTATATTAAACTTGAATTTCATATCATTGTCGAGGTTCTTGTCCCTTCATAGAGAATTATCTAAAAGAAATGTTGCCACAAATGATTTCATTTTGCACATGCTATTATTGACAAGTGATTACAAACGAAACGCTACTCACGGCTACATCTGTACAAGATGCATCTAATGTAAATTTGGAACATGGATTGAATGAATATTGGTCCACATAGGCTTCGTCGTATTGATTGAAGAACCTAAAATACAACGTCATTATATATGAACGCAATTGTTTGAATTATTTTCAGAAAGGGAAGGTCAATTACTATAAAATGTTCGTTATCAAATCGTTTTAAAAATTCTCTATCGTATTTTGATATCAATTAGTCACTATCAAAAAAGTTCTACTATACAAAATGATGGTACAAGAAGTGCCATTTTGTGCAAAACTAAAACTAAGTTATGTTTCTACCATCCTCTGAACGCAGGGCTCTACACATCATCCTCTACATTCCTTCCTTCTTCCAATAATGAGGTGCGAGTCCTGGAGCCCTGCGTTCGGAGGATGTGTTACTACAGATATTCAATTCTCCCAATATTGGCTAGTAGATCCTGTTGTCTACTACTCACGCTGGATTGCTCGCATCCTTGGTATCTAAGGGTGACAGATCTATTTTGCCCTGGTCACTTTGACAGGAACACGAGTCAATGAGTGTGCATTGAATTTGTTGCGGGTCCGCCCCTAAGCAGCATTGCATTGATGAGAAAAGCGTAATAAATAAAGCAGCGTAGTTCGCTCGAAATAGTGAAATGTCCACATTCAAGAATTTTTGACCCGATGGTATCATCTTGATATTCCTTGTTTTTTTGTTCCCAGATCTAGCAACTAGTTATATAGTAAGGCGCTAGATATGAATATGTACATAAGTTAATTAGAAAAAATAAAGTTCCATGATACTATGGCCATAATTTCTATATATACGACAGAATGTAAGTAAAAATTATCACTAAGACACGAACAGATCACAATACCCATGATTGTACAAAACACATTCTGATGCTAGAATTATGTTTGGTCGAAATAACACCACGTGACCTTTTCTAAGACAATTGAATATTAAATTTTCTCATTGATATTTTGACACATGACTTGTTTATCTGTAAGTTCGTCGTGGAGGACCACTGTGCGGCCACTTGTACCACACTGACCTTGCAGTTATGATATTTTAAGATAAAGACGTATATTTAACATTGTTACTTTGACTTAAGAGGATGACTTCATTCTTTGATTTTCAGAGTTAGAGACAGGTCAGATCTATAGACATAATCTTCACTTGTACATGTACTACCCAATGTACACATGTATATATCAGGTAATGCATGCATAATATTTATTTATTTATTTATTTATGTATGTACGTGGTATCACTTAGTCACACGTGCACACTCGAGTTTTCAGATAGTCCATCCCGTCACTTGTAATCCCCCTCCCCCTAGCAGGGCTTGAAATAAGGCCCTGTAGGATCTTTAAATATTGCAACTTGGCAACCGGTTAATTACACTCGGCAGGTCCGTAGCCTGGATTTGCCAAGGGGGATAGGGGGGGGGGGTCACTTTTTGAAAATTTCCAGGGGGGGTTCACTTTTGACAATCTTGGTCCAAAAATGGCCAAAATCACTTAAAACGTGCTCAGAATGGTGAAATGATTATGAAAGATTTTTTGGCCAGGTGGGGTTCGCTCGAACCCATCGAACCCCTCCCTGGCTACGGGCCTGCTCTTTATCCAACTTACTTAGCTACTTAAAAGGTAACTTTGTCTTATTGAAGAACTAAACTCATGGCACCCAGATGATCTATCCCCGGGTTTGCATCATCGCGAAGAGATAGGAATTTTACACATAAAATCATTTTGCCTATTTATAGATGGCATCATGTGTTTTGTTATATGGGGTATTAAAGTATTTCTGTATGTCATTGTAATGGCATTAAAGAGTCAATAAGATTACTACTAGTATATATTAGAATGTGCATCTATATTAACATTCACACATGTACTTCCTGATAATTCATATTAATGTCATTTCATTCTTCTAACTAATTAAAGATTTGTTTTTAAACTATCTTAGGATGAAGAAAAATTACCTCGGTCACATTTGATAGCAACCGAACGGCGGCCATAGGTACCTAAAATCGAAAGAAATATGCAGCATAAAATGTAGGGATAGGCACGATGAGTAAGTACGATCAGAGACATATAAAACATATGTTTTTATATGTCTCTGGTCCCGGGTCTCTGGTACGTTGTAGAATTTCTATATAGAATTTTTGAAGCTACGACCACCGTTCGGTCGCCGTAGAGCATATGTGACCGAGGCGTTAAATAAAGGATATATGATAGACGTGTGCCATCTCTCACAATGACAGTAGTTTATATCTTGGAAATTCAAAGATTGTTGGGACACAATACTAGGCACTAAGGTCGACAGAAAGATGGCGGTAGTGGTCAGCTAAATATACCGCCCTTTTAGTTCAGGATTACCCTTTGCATTCGTTTGACTACACTTCTTATAAGAGAGCTTCGTCTTCAGTTTCTGTAGTTTAACTAGAATATGCACGCAGGGTAGTTCAGGATGCATTCATAACCATTATGATACTCGTCATCTTCGACTTCCAAGGTGTACAACATACTGAAGTTGGAGCAAGTGAAACATTGTGAATCAAGATGGACATTTATAACATCTTTCTGTTTCACTAAAAACATTAACTCCGTCCCCCACCCCCTAAGGTATTTTGATAGCTATTTTCTTTGTTCAAAATACTGAAACTTGAATAACTTTTCCAATAATACCTATTACACCCTCCTGTGATTGTTCATTTCCGAGATCATAGAGGGGGGGGGAACCGTTGGTGTAATTGCATAATCGTTTAAGGGTTAAGAAAAAGAAATGAGATGTCATGGATCTTAAAAATCTATAAATGGGACTCCCTTTATAGAAGCTTCGAATTGATTTAACACTTCCTAATGTTGAAATTGATAGTTTATCCATACATTTATAAGAAAATAGGTTTATATCAAAGCCAAATGTTGACCTGGTAGGTCAGAACTGAGACTAACATAAACTTTTTATGATGGTCTCAAGTCAGAAAAAGTAAAAAATTTCGAATTTTCTCTCTACAGGCCTTGTTGTCCCTTATCAAGTCACTGGATCTCCTCCCCCAAAAAGTCCCCATCGTGTGGATTTGAACTATGATTGAGGATGGGGTAGGGGGAGGGGGAGGGGACTACAAACCAAGTCGTTAGTCTCTCTTTATCTCAAGCTTGTCAGGGCTCTATTCCAGGAGTTGGCCATACCTTGGAAATCCAAATTGAGTCAAGGGTGTAAAAGGGCATCCTTGGTCCAAGGGTCGGGAACAAACCCCAGTGGTGCGCAGAGGGGAGGGGGCGAAGGTCCAACGATTGAAAAATGTAGTAGCCACGTTGAAACATATAGATCATCGTAAAAGTAGTTAAGCATCGGTTGATTGATGAAAATAAATATTTTGCAACTCCGTGTCAATTGTTCCTCAAAAGATAACGTGTACAGGCGGATTATGGTATTACTCTAAGATGAACAATTATCTATAGCAATTAATCTTTCCAGATATATTCAAGAATTCTTAAACAAATACATTAATGAACAATTCAATTTAAAGCCACAGTGAGCGTCCTAAGATGCGGGTAAAGATAAAACATCAAAGGGTCACGTGTGTGTTGACAAGTAGTCCCTCTGTGTTAGCTTTGTTCCCCGTTCAAATAGTCATACTCCATGTACATGTATTTGTCACATTTCCTTATTTGTATGCATGTCCACATGTTTGAGAACTGCCCTCTTTGGATTGGAGGATTTGGGGAATATGTTTCACTTACTGATTTATGCAAATTGGTTACCTTTAACAAGATGTTTATCATACTACAGTCATTAGATCGGGCATAACGTTACCACAACAGGTTAAGGGCTGACACTGAACAAAAAGATGAGCAAGTGGAAACAAATGGAGTAAATTAAATAATATTAAGGTATAAAAGGATAATATTAATTCTAATAGGATTACATCTTCAACAATTAACCTTCAAATTAAAATCAAAGTAAAAACCTGATCAGAAGAAAATCGTAAGCAAAATAATGAACTCGTAAAAGTATTTGGAAATTATACCACAAGTAAGGAACGAGTAAAGCCGAAAACGAATTCCGAATCAAAGAACGTTACAATGAAGTCAACGTCCGTGGATATGACAGACTTGCTGCATCACGTTGACAACGAGATGGCGATTGGTTCCGAGAAGGGAGACCCGACAGAACAGAACTTGAAAGTTGTACTTGAGGAGAGAGCGTTATGGGGAAAGTTTAAAGAATTCACCAATGAAATGATTGTCACCAAAACGGGAAGGTATAGTTCAAATATCAGTTCTTTTTAATAAATACGATCAAAATATATTTCCCTAGTCACTGTCCATGTAAACTTGGCCGATGCCATTTCCTCGTTTCGAGTTGTTACGTCAGGGAGAGAGCCATCGCCCACCCTCTCATTTTCAAATATATAAGAAGGAGCATCCACCATTCAAAGGACTTCATTTATTCCTATATTCTTGAAAATTATGGAAAGAAGTGAAATACCCTTGGACCAAGGATGAAAAGGAGAGGGTCAGCGACTTACAATCCGTGTGGCGTGGGTTAGTTGCAACTTAGACTTAGAGTTTAGTATTATGATGACTCCAAGTCTTGACATATATTTGGGGAGGATCGGAGGTGCATTATTACATTGGACAAAAATAGGGTATTGAATGTATATGTTGCACATTAACCTATCCATCGTGGTTTTCTTAATCGTGCAATACCCCGAATACTAGAACATAAGATTTGGTCTGTGGTTTCTTGATTTTTTATTTAATTTACGAAACCAATCTTTTGTGTATAATATTACAAATAATCATCAGCTAGACTTCAATCAATTGAAATTAAAATCATCTTATTAAGAATATAGTTTTCAAGCTCAATAGTGACACAAAAACGGTGACATAAATGTCAGAGCAAGCAATTATATACAACAGAAACTAAAAAGCATATCATACATCAGAAAAGAAACGTAATTACAAGCTGAATTCATCCTTCTCCAGGCGAATGTTCCCCGTGTTGAAGATCTCCGTGAGCGGTCTAGATCCCAACTCAATGTATACTTTCCTGGTGGACTTCACACAAGTTACACCTAACAGGTACGTAAATTATGTCCTTCATTTATGGCAACATCCTCGAAGCAATCGTGTTACGCAAAGAAGTGTCTAATTTTAGAACCAGGATTTGCTTCATTATAATCTTTGATTCTCAGGGTATATGTGACATTTGATATTATTGGAAAAGTTTAAAATATATTTCACATTTTCAGTACTAGTTTTAATAGGAAGGAATATTGATGAGTCCCACAGAAATCGTTGAGATGCAACTTTTTAACAGAATTTTATATATTTATAATCTTTTATTTGATTTCTTATTGAATAGATACAAATTGAATGATTTTATCAGTGCTATCTCCTTTATTTCAGTTGTTTTTATCTATCAAATACAAAAAAATAATACAGTGCGTTATGAACGAAAACTGAAAACCATACAAAATATTTACAAAATACTATCCTGCGCGCAGAGTCTAGTTAAACTACAGAAGACGAAGCTCTCTTTTAAAAAGTGAAGTCAAACGGATGCAAAGGATACAATGCACAAATCATTAAAATACAATAAATCTTTCAATTGAATTTTGCAGGTGGAAATACGTTAACGGAGATTGGGTGCCCGGGGGTAAGGCAGAGGTGGCTACCCCCAATTTGGTATATATCCACCCCGATTCGCCCAACTTCGGAAGTCATTGGATGAAGCAGCCTGTATCTTTCAGCAAGATCAAACTCACCAACAAATTGAATGGCGGAGGACATGTCAGTAACAATCCTTTTCAATAATTTTGTTTCTTCAGAGAGCTGCATTATCTTGTTATTATATTCTTATGTTAAAGCATATGTTATATTAGCATCATTGTGTTAAATTGTTATAGTCTCTTGGCCACAGGGTAGCAAGCTACTTGTGATGATAACAACTAATTTAACCTTTTTATTGAATAAGGAAATAAACACATAAATGAATAAGTAAATAAAAAAAAATTAATGTGTATTTTCCAAACGATCAAACAAGTAAAACAAACGGAATCATAACATGATAAAGTATGATCATCCGGTTACGTGTAACATATGTTACACTGCGGGTCACTAAACAGGTGACTATAACAACATGTAACCAGCCTTACTAAAAATGCATTTCTCTTACAGATCATGCTGCACTCTCTACACAAGTACGAGCCTAGGATCCACATAGTCAGGATAGGGCAAAAGAACCAGAAGAGGACGATATTTTCATATACATTCCCCGAGACTGAGTTTATAGCTGTAACAGCCTACCAAAATGAGGAGGTGAGTACACTTTTGTTTATTAAAAGAGAGCTTCGTCAGTTTGTAGCTAGACTTAATCTACTCCCAGGGTAGGGGTATATACTCAGTGCAGAAGAGAATGTCCTTTATCAAATCTTCCCCAGCTGTAGAGATCAAGAGTAACTTTAATTATACAAAAATATCAATATTTCATATAATTCTTTGTTATAACATCAATAATTTAATATCAAAAACTCGTCCATAAGAGGTATATACTTTCCATATATTTTGGTTGGAATTTCAAGAAAATCTATATCTAAAATCTAGATGGTTTGAGATGCGCATAAACATGTCTTAATTCGTATTTATTTATCCGTATCATTCTTTATCAAACTCTTACTAAATTAAAAAAAATCAACATTTTGTTCTGAGGTTTTTACTTATATTAAAAATGATAGATAGAGCGATATCACATTTGAAAATATGAAGGCGTCCATTAATTGACTTTGCAAAGTCAAATTAATGTGACACATGTAACGTCAAAGCAATGATGGTTGTAATATTCATGTAAATGTTGTCAAGTTAAATGAATAAATTTTGAAGATTTATTTTCAAAGTAAGTTACAAATCGAAAATGGAGGTTGTCAACGTAACGCATCCTTGGTCTCAAGATACTTCAATTCTTTCCATAGCTGCTACAGCATTGAAGCCCGATCTTGAATGATGAACTCAATAACGGAAAGGGGCAAAAATATATTTTCACGATACATAACTCGTATATGTTCAAACTACTCAGATTCCTTAATATTATCTGCCCACTTCAGTTGACCACGATGATTCACTTTTATTATTCCCCACCACCCAAAAGTCACATTATCCTAATTCCCTCTATTATCCAGTGGACCCTAACTATCAATTAAAATGCACCTTCTCAGTCCCATTAACAACAAAAGTACAAAGGAGAAAGGGACTCAGATTGGCACGCATTATATACCAGTAATAAAGACCTCGTCGCTCCCACTTCAGAACTTAGCGAGACTTTTATATGAAGTGTCTCTAATTTCATGACTCTTTTTGATAAAAATCTAACTATTGTTTTTCTTTGTTGGAAGTTGTGTTGTCATGTCATAAACACATCATAACACGTTTGTTACCCTTGGAATTCTTGTGTGGCCCACATTATGAGATATGATCGAGGGTATGCTTTGAGATAGAATAATATATATCTAGATCTTTCAAGGGTACGAATGACAGCCGAGCCATTGATGTTTTATCAATTTGACTTTTTACAAATGATATATCTACACCAATGTAGGAGTGTATTCCAATTAATTAATTTATATCAATATAATATTAAAATGTGCATCTAAAACTTTATATTTATATGAAAATATTTAAGTCAAAAATATTTTGCCACTTTTTCCCAATTTTATCATTACTATCATTAATATAAAAAGAACGCACATACCGTGATATTTTCGTGGCATTATCGTTGCATCAGCTTGTGTGTGGATATAGTCTTGCTTCAAGACTGTGGACCCCCTCACTTCATCAACACAATATTTGTAGTTGGGGGGGGGGGGGGGGCTAACAAGGACTTTTAGCAAGACTAGCGTGAATACATATTTTTCCACACTTACACCTACATGTAGCTGTCTCGTGAAAATATTCATCACTATACTAGTACCCAATAAACTATTAATGTCAAGTAAATGGCAAAACCTTACTCCCGTCGAGAGCTACTTAGATTTTGAAAGTATAGCTCTCTATCGCTAGAATCAACAGCTTAAGAATCCTGACTTCAAAGAAAATTTCAGGGAATTCAGCTGACTCATGTTGCACATTATATACCTGAAAATGTATCCTACATCGCCATCTTTCATTCAGCTCAACTATAGAACGTCTCACTGCCCTATGTATCGATCAGGACTTCATTTTATTGGTCGTGTCAAAAGTTTTGGCCAGGTATATTCAATATGGCGGCTTGACGTTTCCCAAGTTGCGCATGCGTCGATAGTATTTCCGTTTAACCGCCATATTGGAAATGGGTATCGAACAAAAAACGATTAGAACTCCTGATCGCCATAGAAGCACATCCGCGATCCTACATGCACGGGGAAAGTAGACACATATGAGCCCATATGTAGGCTACAGTTTGAGACAAACAGCAAGCCACTGACTGGCGCTGATCAAATTTAGATGTCACATTCTTCAGCTGGGAGATCCTCACGATGGAGAGCTATACTTTCAAAATCTAACATGGTAGCTCTCGACGTGAGTAAGCAAAACCTTGTCACGCAATATATGGAGGCCCCACCAAAAAATATTATAAGAATACAACATTGTGTTTTAAACGATTCTTACACAGTATCTGGCCTTAAAAATCCACTAAACATCTTCGCTTGTAGGTGACGTCTCTCAAGATCAAATACAATCCATTTGCCAAGGCTTTCCAAGACACCAAAGACTACAGGGAACAGGACGAGAGGGCCGCCTTCATCCGGGACTATCTCACCGGAAATGCATCTGATGAGGTAGATGGCGCTACTAAACGATTGTCACAATGTAAGTTATCACCAAATGACGCTGTAGAATGATGTTTGGAGATTAGAGGAGGTTGTTCCTTCTCTCCCGTTTGACAGGATCACTGATATATTCGAGTCTGCTCACCTGCAAATCAAAACATGAAGTACATTGATGTTATTATTCCAACAAGAAAAAAGAGCATAAAATCTTTATTTCATACTCCATCCATATATGTATGTAAAATTAAAGAGCGTCCAGAATCTTCATTTTATACCCCATATACTGATATACATGGATGTAATATGTACACCCGTGGGTCAAAGTTCTTTACGGTGTTAAATTTTGCTATCTTTTTTATTATGTTGTAATTGATGTTGTTTAATGTCGTTATTGTTACGTATCCTAGTTTTGTTTCAAACCCTTGTACCCCAAACATATACGTCATCTCTTCTCTACGCAAAGTGAAGATGATTGGGCATAGGGCGTTTGATATCTTCTTATGTTATTTTTATTTTGCTTTTACATATGTTGCTTATTATGGATTTATTTACTTACTCATGATTTATGATTTTTCTATATGTAGTGACAAACTGGTATCTTCCTAACGCTCCAACCTATATGCCTACCCCACCCCCTGCACACCAATACTCCAACCCCCTGACCATAGGGGGTCAGTCATCGTATGACAGACTGGCTCTAAGAAACCACAGAGCGACACCCTATCAACACCACGTGGCAAGAGGGTCACCAACAAATGGTAAGTTCTTTTCAGGATAATGTCAGAGCATGGCTTGTACACCCATGAAAATTGAAGAGTCACCAAGCAAAGTACAATGTCAAAATACATAGAATGGATCATACTAAACGTTTGTGAGAGCCTTCTATCAAATCTCTTATAATATTGGTGCACCGTTAGGTCGAAAAAAAAACAGAGATATGTAAAAGATGAGTATCAGAATTTATAAAACCACAGACTCAGAGATTTATCTTAAGATGTTTGATGGACCCGATCCGCACACTGCACTTTTTGGGTCGCTTCTTGGCAATAGTCTTCAGAAAAATATAAATGGTCCATGGCCAAAAACGTACAATAAATCTCATTGACATCATTTTGGTTCACGCGGCCATCTCAGAGATCAAATGTCGTGGGAATTTCCAATCTTTCTCTGCCTTTTCGTATTTAAATTTGCTCTCTGTACAACATCTAAAGCATGGGTCACAAGGAACACTTCCTCGTGGCTTTTTAGTTTAACACCGTTGCAAGCTTTATTACAATTTTATTAGAGTATTTTCTTTTCTAATCCCACGGGATTATTTTCTAGCGATTTAGTAAATAAATAATCCGAAGAAACCAAAAAGGTTTATTGATATCTTATGGTCGAACATAGAAATGTTTTATTACCGACAATGGCTACTTGAGTAATAAAATGGAACATTACAATTTGTCATTCATTTGTTACTAGGAGTGAATCACAATAGTTATTACACTCAGAGATTCATGGTTTAGGATATTTGTCTGTGTTATTGTGATACTATTGTACGTCATTGCAGTATCAGAACACACAAATGGCAACATAGCAAAATCACATACAGTCCGAATATAAAAAAGTAAAACAACAATATTTAAAGGGTTCCGATTAGCATCAAGGAGGATTGGCTCCCAGGATCGAAACTCGATATTTTCCAACAATGAAAACGTCGAAATGTCGTTATTTTCTGAAATTAAAACTGACTATAAATTCAAAATAAACAGTTCAAAAGATTCGAAACAATATCTCTATCGTTTCTTGTGAGTTTTGGAATTTTTCGTTTGGAAATAAGACCAAAATTCACGATTTAAATGTTGAAGTGAACAAAATGGCGGCTGTTTGAATTCGAATTTTGTATTACGACATACCCATATATGGGACAGAATATCGGTGGTGCACTCTGGGAGCCAATCCTCCTTGGATTAGCATCCCGTATAAAAACAATATGGCGGCTCCAGGCGAATCAACTGGATCAGTCCATTTTTAAGAAATAAGGGGAGTTCTGTAAAATCCAGTTTATTGAAATTGTCTTTGAGATAAAGAAATCCGTTTATAATGATTTTGAAAACGTTATCCAAAGAGTGATCTTGCGTTCAAAGAATACATGTACAACAACCAATATAAATCCTTGTATTAGAAACCGGTTTGTCTTGCTTTGTTTCATTTGTAGGATATTTCATATGCCAAGCTGTGTGCTATTACGTTATGGGGAAATTAAGATGCCAATTTTTCCTTATTATACACAAATAGAAGATCCTGAAACTTCACCCATAAATGTGGAATTGATTTGTCAAAATAAAAATCACCCTTTTATAAATGTGTGACGATCTATAATATACTTATGCTATATAACAGTTAGAGGTGTTGACACAACGACCTCGAACCTGTGAACCCTTGAGTATTATTCCGGGATCGAGCCTTTTATACTAAACGGTGAGCAACACCAGAAACGAGCGTTCGATTTGCTAAACGATATGCGTCACCCTTTAATGCACATTTTTAGAAAATGTATTTATTGTTTCAGGAGGCCACCCACCACGTGACCTGTCATCTGGACTATCAATGATGAGTTACCCGGATAATTGGACACATAGTCCACACGCGGTGAATAATTTGTCACCGAACCCCCAGTCTTCACACACGCACACGACTAGCCTCCCAGGCCAACTGACGGTCGCACAACCCTACCCAATATGGTCATCGCTCGCATCAACATGTACTATGCCGCCATACTTCCGCGGTCCGTTCACTCCGCCACATATTTCCTCCGTACAAAATCAGGGACATGGTGAAATGGGCTTGACTGGGTCGGACATACCTGGACGAACAGGACTTTCAGATAACTGGAGATTTCAAAATGAAACATTGCGTTTGGGGGAGTTAGGAAAACTGGATAGCGACACAATTAAAGCGCAATCTCATGGTGACATTGCATCCATACATGCGCATGAATTTAAACTGAGTGATTTGGGACACATCAATGTTCAACTTCCTGTTGACGTGACCTCAACAAGTGGGTTTTCCACTCCACCACCACGTGACCACAACCGTAGTATCTCATGGACATCTACTTCATCACAAATTTGAGAAAAATTGTAAAGACAGGCTGAGTGAATTTTGACACTTCACCATTGAGTTTGCCAAAATGCAAGTTTGACAATCGGACTATATCCATATCATTCTAGTCTAGATGACAATCGAACTAAAAGTAGCTAGCTGTATATTTCTATATTAAGGAAGGCAGAGATAAGTAAATTTGAGTCCGTCATAGAATCCGTCGGCTGTTTCTGCTTTTAGCCAACTTAGTCAACATAGCTTCGACATTTCTACAATGTCTTTTTAAGTTATAATAAAATATTTTATACTGTTTTGAATTCCAATTTTTTATCTTAGATAATGTTTAGGTGCTTTAGTTTCCATATGATAAAAAGTGCTCTTTAGTGCAATGTGTTCTGGTGTAGATATTCTAGGGTCAAACCTAAGTTATCATGCAGAAGAATATCATCATTTTACTTGGTTGGGAGAGAGATTTTGTTTCATCGTACCGTTTTTGTTTTAGAAATATGAGGTACCATTGTATTATGTATTAGAAATATTCCGTTTGGAACTGCTTTTGGCGGAACAGTTCAAAGACTTTTTCCTTTGAAGTTTTATTATTTGTTGACTTGTTTGTTTCATTTAATGAACCGCCTCTTTAAATATAGTAGAACATAGCTTTGGTATATGATGGTAACAGAACTATTTCTTTCCTATTAATTAACAGGTTATATGATTATATGATTTAAAGTGGATGTAGCGTTGTGCAAAAGTTAATCGTATAAGCCGGTAGTGATTTAAACGCCAAAATTGATAAAGAAAGTAAAATGGTCTGTTTTATAATATGGCTGTTATTCTTAAAGAGACCGCATCATTTAATTCAAGCGGTTTGGATTCCGATTTATGTACTTCACTTTGAAGTTTAAAGTACAGATTTGATTTTAATTTTTATCTATTTACACTTTAATGAATGACTTAATACGAAGTCAGAAACCATTGCAGGTCTGCACGCCCGTCTGTTTACTAATTCACAAAACTAGCCGTGTAAACTCAAACTCCGCTAATTTCTTCAAATGCCATAAGTAAACTCGAGTAAATTTGGCTATAATGCACACCTGAGCACAGCATAGTTAAGTTCTATATCCAAGTCTTAATGAATGGTAGGAAAGTTTCGTGACCAAATTAACATATAGGTGACATCAAAGCCTTTGAATGTTATCCCTACATGTATACGTCTTGACTTATGTTTCTCCCTACATTGTCAACGGGTTTGCTTCGGATTAATGGATTAACTGGGATGAGAAAATGGAAATCTTCTAAATACACTTAAAGAGTGTGGGAAAATAGAAACACAGACATCTCGTCATTTGAATTTTGGAAATGTATTCAGACTAATTCATCAGAAAAAATAACAAAAAGTCCACAGATGCTCGGATTTTTTTTCATTACATTTACATTGCATTTCTGAATGCGTGCAGTTTATGTTTCAACTTCATGATTTTTTCATGAATTTTTACTTGGTAAATTAGACGTACATCTATATGTTACAATTCATTAAATAATAATATAAATAAATATAAATAAACAGTAACTGTTATTCGGGGAGAGATAGAGAAAAGATGGCTCAAAATGTTTCTAAATCGTTTTTCATTTTCATTAATATTTTCTAAAAAAACACATTTACATTTGCGTTCTTTTTTATATTGACTATATACGATTCGGTGCCTTTAAAAATGCATCAATTTGATGTATAAACGTTAAGAACGAAATTCGTACTGGTTACAATGAATCCGAAACGTGTTTGGACTATTTTCAGGCACAGTTGGCACCGCTAAATCAAATGTCTCAGTAGCTGTCTACGTGATAGTGGAATAGTACAATATTTTCTATGACCAATGTCGGTATTTTCATTTTCGTGCTAAGTGTGCCGCAATGTTTGATATTTTGGAATTAGTGTATACTCAACAAATAGAATTGAAGTGATAAAATGTTGACCTCAGCGCACTCTTATGTAGACTTCCGGATTTGTAGGTTTTTGATTTTCACTTTCTTCTCTATCATGCCGCTGTTAATTTCCGAATTTGTGTTAAAGTATACACATTTAATTATAATTTGTTTGTGTACAAGCGGTAAAATAAAGAACGGCGTGTACTTTTAGATTGCGATTGTTTACATGAACCTTACGCCATTCATTAACAAAGAAAAGATTGGCATTCCATTCCCCAAATCTTTAAATACACCACACATATAGTTAAAGTCGGACGATTAGATCTTGGGGGTGGGTGGGTGTGTAAGATAACAATTCATCAAAATACGTTTCCGGCATAACACTAGTCTTTATCAAATTCTATATTATATACTCTGTGTGGAAGCTACAGTCAAACGTGACATTTCACTCCATATCGTATTAAGAAACAGTTCATATTGTAGAAGAGTCAGATTTTAAAAAATTAGGAAAACAACCTCAAACTATAGCTGGTAATTTTGAATCAAAATTTGAAAAATGTAGTTATTCAACTGATTTGTATCACTGAACTTGGAAATGGTTTAAGAATGGACTTGATTCTTCTCAAGTATTTGTAAAGATAGAAGCATTTGTCAATGACGTTGGACCTGAAGGCATTTCTGACGCCACGGGTTTGTCTCCCTTTCCTTTAACAGAAACTGCATATTCATTCATTTAACTGTGTGATATAAATGTTAATGTTTGTAAAACCACTCTGTTTAAATAAGTGTAAATAAACAAATTAGTTCAAGCTCACACATTTTATTAAAATGCATTGGTATCTCAGAATCGAACAGCTTGCCCATCAAATATAGTCAAATTTAAGCTGTCTTCAAATCTATAGACTTATCTTTAAAACTAGCGCGGAGGAGTAATATGTCTAAATTCTGGCCGTTTACATCAACCCCTTCGAAATTGAAATTAACAATATGCATTTGTGCTACCACCTTTAAAAGGCGAAATGTAATATTCGCACATTTAAATTTTAAGATAACATTACGTAGTTTTCTTGCAGAAATAAAGATGGCAGTATGACAAAAAGTAAATGCAATAAAGATCCATGTCCATCATTTATTTGAACAACTTTTGCAATAGTAAAAGAAGCATAATATTTTTGAATTTCTCCAATACAAAGGCAGTTGACCAAAATGTTAAGGTTTCCTGCACATCTCCATATGTAACAATCATGGGCTTTCAATCAATTAGTTGAATTAGTTTCTAGTTGAAAGCCCATGGTGACAATAGATTGAGTTCATGTTTAAGGTTCAGAATTATTCGTGCACTTGATAGGGAGATGGAGCCAGGGATTTGATGCAAAACAACTTCATGATAAGGTAACTAAAATATTATGAACACTGTTTATTTGTAAGTAACTCGCTGTCAATACTTAAATTTAATTGACCTGTCAAAAAACAATATATTCAGTGACCGCTATATTGCATTATTATATACCTCATATGTATTCTAGCTAGATGCTCATTGGCTTATTCATGGTAACATGATGTGAAATAGATGAACTAATTCCCTGAAAAATCCTAAATCCCTAAGATGAAATGTACTAATCACCGGTAAGGTCATGCGATCAGTCGATAGTACATTTTATCTTCCCTGCTACCTGGGATATGGATGGCTTAATGCCTTTAAATGCCATTAAGAACCTGTAATTATAAGCATTAGAAGTTGAAATTAAAATACTATTTATTTTGTTTTTGTTTACAAAGTACACATGGGGTATATAATAAAACAAATAGTGACAGCCATATTTTCGGGAAATAGTGAAAAAATGTTTCCTTCGGGAATATCCTGTCCACTGATATGTTAGTGAAAAAAATATTTCCCTCAATAGCAATCACTAAATTTGTATACTATTGACCGCTGGTTAACCCTTATGTGTACAATGTATTTTTCATAACACTAATGGACAGGGGGAGGGTCAAATGGTCACATTTTAGTTCAGAAATGGCCAAAATCACATCACTTAAAAGTGCTCAAAATGGTGAAAAACTGCATGATTTTGAATGAAGTTTTGGCAAGGGGGGGGGGTCCCTCAAACCCATCGAACCCCACCTGGCTACGGACCTGTTTAGTCTTGCCTCCCTGTATACTTCACAACTTCCCAACACAAGGTGGAGGTGAAGTACCGGTATAACACAGTCTTGAAGCAAGGCTAAAAAACAAGTAATTACGAAAACCTATCGTTCACTTTGTTGACTTAAATTTGAAGTGACAATATAATTTTTTGCAAATTCACTTGAATAAGAGCTTTTCATCAAATTGCTTCATATTTTATTTATTTTGGCAACTATTAACAGTCATTGATATTCCATTCTGAAATCCAACATTGAGAATAATACTGTATTGTGTGATGTAAAATAAAACCTGGATTCAGCTGAATCGCAATATAACAATAAAGATACATATATCAAAGAAAAAATGAATGCATATAAATATCCGTTATTAACACTTCAAGGCCGGCCTTCGGCTCGTTTTTTATTCCTTTATATATTGTTAAAATCAGCTTACTGAACAAAAGAAATTACCATTGAGCTAGGCTATATGTCGATATAAATTGTGATATCCTAGTCTGAAGTCGATGTAACTGTTGTATCGGAAAGTGTAAAGCTTGATATATCTGATGTTGATACTGCAGGCTTCAAATCAGAATTCGATATTGTTGCGTTTGCTAATGTCAATTTTTTTGTATTATCATTATTTACCGAGCTGATTTTGGCCACTTCACTTTCCTTATTTTCGTTAAGTTCACGCGGGCTGTCAGTTGCATTAGTATCTTTGGTTATGCTACTCAATTCACCTGTCTTATCAATTGATGATATTTTATCAGAACTACTCTCCGATGTCGAAAGTTCAAATGTCGACTCTGTGACGTCAACCGTGGTGCTTGTTACACCAGAAGTAAGACCACTTTTGACACTTTGTGGCACATTCACTGTTGTGTCTCTGTATGTTGCCATGGAAGGATCCGGACCTTTATAGCTACTTAAACCCGATTTGGGCTTCTGTGGACTAAATTTCCTTGTTGGGGATCGACTGTCAATCTCACCTCTCTGGCTATGGCTATCTAGATAACTTTCAGCATCGACAGTAGTCTTATCACATGAGTCATCGGTGGTATAGGTGTAATCTGAATTAGCACTCATTTCCCTCCGAGGCTTTGTTGGTGGATAGTCCTTCAAATCCAGTTTATATTGAGGGGGTCTCAATTTGGGAAGATATTCTATAGGCTCCTCAGCAGGCCCGATAGTTGATGCACTTTTATATCTGTAATGGATTGTCTTGGGATTAGTGTGTTCACCAAACACCTCAAGTTTATTGAATTTCTTTAGGACCAATTTTGGCTTCTGCTGGGATTTCCTCCCAGTAGGACTCATTGTACTGATGGTTCCAGCGTATGATTTGGTTTCATCATCGTTGTCATAAAAATGGACTGATTTTTTAGTTGGAGAATCAAGTCTAGGGGACATTTTCTCACTCCTGTCATCATTCGACTTTGTGCTACCTTTACTGTTCGTAGATGCTCTCGAACTTGATCTGCTCGTGTTTGTCTCTACGGGTTCACTGGCTTCTTTTGAAGCTGAGACATCGTCAATATTAATGTGTGGGGGTTTCACTGTTTCTGACCCCTCAACCTCCTCGTTTATAGGCTCATTTCTGGGAGACCATCCAGCAAGTCGAGACATGTTTCTTAAAGGCGTTCCGCTAGGCCTTGCTCCTATGGTTATATTGACAACAGACGCTTTAGGACTTTCCTTTGGTTTATACGTCACTGGACCCTGCCTTGTGTTGTAACGTTGTACGGGTTCATGTTTTGTTTGTTCGTTGGTAGTATTTGCTAAAGCAACTGCCCCAACTCCGCTGATTTCTTCTCCTTCTCTGCTATCAGGGGCGTGATCTAAACGGAACATGGGTACGCAGGGGACGGTATCAACGGCCAATAGATTACCCTCTATGGCAGGCAACATGTCTGATTTATACTTCCTTAAAGCAGGATCTCCAGGAGTGGCATGTCGAAATAAACTTGTATAAGAGTTATACAAATGTCCGATTTTTGATTTAATGTTTGTTAGATTTAATCTCTCAGGTGCTTTATGTAGGTCACCCGTACTCTTTGATCTCTGTTTATCCAACTTTTTATGATCTAATTTTACTTTGAGCATGGACTTTTGTTTAAGTCTATACTGTGATCTATCGATAGGTCCACTGACGTTTGAGTCTTCTCGCAATATCATGTATCTGTCCAGAGGGATTTTAGTCTGGGCTTTCGCATGCGGAAGCGTGCTAGAGTCCCTATACTTTAATATTTTCAGTGACTCCATTTTCAATGCTGACTCATCGTATTGTGTTTGATTGAGATTCTCTTGTACTTCTCCAATGATAACATGCTTCCTCGATTTAGTTTGTGTCTCTTCGGGAATGTTATCGAGGGAATTTTCCAAATTATCTAAACTGTGATTGCCTGTCCTGTTGTCTGTATTGACTGAAATAACAGAGTTCTGTTCATTGCCATGGTTCAATATCTTTATTTGCCTATTTCTTTCAGCGAGGCTTATCTGTGGTAACTCGATTCTGCTAACAATGGGAATATTATCAGTCTCGCTATTGTCAACCTCATTTATTCGAGGTAATGTTGTAATAAAGGTTTCCGTGTAAGTCGATTCCTGAAGCACTTTATCTACCATTGATTCATGTTTGACGTCAACAGCCACTTCGGATTCTTTATTGGCAAGACATTGGTTTCCTCTGTTCTTATCGCCAAATTTACCATTAATCAATTGTTTAGGGTCAAGGCTAGACACCTTTGGAAATAAATCCTTTTGTTGTTTATTAGATAACTGTTGCTTTGAAGTGTTATTTATACGTCCTTGAACATGCATGCTCTTCTGTATAGGAGGTAGGGCAAAATAAACAGCCAAGTTGCCATTTTTTGCTGTTGCTGAAAAATCCGTAACTGATCGGTTGTACTCGTGGACAAACTCATCAATAAACGACGCCTTCCGTTTTGTATCATACCACTCTCTGGGGTTGGTATAATCTACCCCTTTGTTCAATAATCCCAGGTGAGTGTTATTTGAGAACATATCCCTGGGTGTTAGGACTAATTGAGTCTTCTGTTCGTTTGCCATTGTGTTCAAGTAAATCCGGATGTGATCCAACGTTCGACCCGATTCTATGCGTAGTCTTTTTTAGCTAATCTGAAAAATAAGAATAATGTTTTTTTATTTCGAGTGGTTCAGAATGCTTGCGTACATAAAGTCATGGTTTGAGTTGATATAATAATGGAAACCAAAAAGTTGGCATAAGTGCGTAGGCAGTGAGGGTTTGATTTGTTAATAATGGAATTCTAAAAGTTGGCAAGAGTGCACAGACAGTCATAGTTTGAGTTGATATAATAATGTAAACCAAAAAGTTGGCATGAGTGCATAGGCAGTGAGGGTTTGATTTGTTAATAATGGAATTCAAAGGTTTGACATGAGTGCATAGACTAGACAGTCTTGGTGTGAATTGATGTGTTATTTAATAAACTGTTCCTTCTACTTGAGTTAGTCGATTAATAACAGAGCTTGGCATACTGGCTTCTCGCCTCGATCAGGTACATAGACGCTAAGGATGAAGATAGAATTACCATTAGACGTTCTCCCTGACGATAACATGAATTCATGTCATTTTTATTCTTCTTTTTAAAAATCACTATGGTAACCATTACTATTTTAAATGTTATGCACTCAGTTTGTGAATATGGACTCATATACAATTTCAATTGCGGTGTAATAAAAAGGGAAAATTGACATATTCACAATTGATTTAGTGACATATTTGTTTTAAAGGCAAAGGTAAAATCTGATAATCTATAACAAATAGTATCATGAAAAACGAAAGTATAACGTCAAATGGTAGTATGGAAACGATTAATCATTCAGCATTTTCATAATTCAATGCGATTGTATACATGTAACTTAAAAAGGTGCTATTTGAAAATGTACTTGAAAACGTATTTATAAATATGTACTAACGAGCTACGTTAACGTTACCCAACTACAATCAAAAGGAACTTAATGTTGAAATATCGACGCGTCGCTAATCAATACAAAAACAAATAGATCCTTACCTGTGATTTAATATGTTTACTCTTCTGTGTTGTATTGTCCATGATCATAACTCATTGTTCTTATATGATAACATCAATAATTGTAGATAATAAATCGCATATATAAAATGTTCGTGTGGGGTTGTCCAAATCACCCACCTCGTCTAAATTGTGTAATAGCTTACAATTAGAGAGATTATATAAAGTCCTAATCGATGTCAGTCTGAGATATAATGAGTTCCAAGTTTGTAGTGTACAATATTTATCGAATTTAGTCCATTTCCAACTCTACAGTTCATTTACTGTGTGTGAGTATTAACTCCTAAATTTTAGACCTAGTCACAATATTGATATGAATCAAACTTCAACAAAACCAATAAATTTTCTATTGGCTTTAAAGCTGGCAACAATAGCTTCGCTTTTTATATTTAAACGACATAGGTTTAAGCCCTACCAATGTAAATGCGATGTAAACACATGATATTAGAAACCAATTCTCGTAGGTGTTGATCTTTGAACGCGATGTTATATAGTATAGTAGCTCAATGTTTACCAGAAATATTGGGTCTATGGATTTGCTTGAAACTATTTTGTACTTTAAGAACTAAGGCATTACAAAGAATGTTATCACAAGTTCTGTATCACTTTATTTCTCCAACACAGATTTTCTTGAAAAAAACTAGGTGAAAGATGTACTGATGCATAACAAAATATATGATTGATGATAATTACAAAGAACCACGTATGGTATAACACATGATTGTATTCTCCAGGAGAAGGTGACAATGCCTCAGAAATCAAAATCCACGGAGGTTTTGGCGTTCAGAGGTCGGCGTCTTTAACATTCGATTTGCGTTCGGTGTCTGTAACAATTTGCATTTAACTTACAAGGTAGTCGCATTCTGTCATATAATGCCTTGTCTAGAGGAGTTTATCTTGAAGAGAAACATATCGTGTGAACGGAAAAATGCTGTAATTTTGGTCGAAATCTACTCATGGTCAAAGATAGGATCGACAGTCTGAAATCACGTTGTCATACCGCACGTGGTTCTTTGAATTTCATATTTCTCACATTGTTTCCCCATACAAACCAACTTTAAATCTTCAAAATCCATACAATGGTTTTACAACATATTTCGAATATATCTCCCCATGTTCCAAATAAATGATGAATGGGCTATTTAGAATTTTTTATCTTTCTAGTTTAGAGTGCTTTTATATACCTCCCAGGGACTAATACAATAAAATAACACAATGGATTGAAGTAAAATGCAACATTGAATATTTGAATAGGAATTATGTAACAGATCAGTATTGATCTGCCATTTGATCAATTGATCATCCATTATGTTATAAAGTAAGTTGCCGATAAATGGAATAAGCCTCTTTAACATTGACTTCATCATTGAACAACTGAGGAAATAATGAATTTGTTAATGTGAGATTCAATACATTCTGTGTCAGTTTATTGCAGATAAGTTATATCACAGTACGTGTATTAGCATTTTGTTTTATCACAGGCCGGTGACGGAGCTAATATAAGTCGTTTATGACGTAACAGAACGCTAGATTATATATACCTTAATCATAAAAGTTCACATCTATTTAATCATTTTTTAATCATATGTTTCGCTATCCCAAAGAAAATTACTTACTCCATGCAATAGATATATCATTTGCGGGTAACTTTAACTTATGTTTGAAGTCCAACAACGCTAAGAGTAAAAGCTATTGAAAACGGCACCAGAGTATCAAACTCCAAAATGTACCATTTCTTTTTAATGGTACAATATAATGACACGATAATATTTACATGATTCAGCATAACTCTGAAGGTATTAATGAGATTTTGATGTATTGGGTATTTTTAACACTTTTTACAAAAAAATGTTAAATTTATTGTCCGCTGTGACGGAGCAGTTTTAACTGAACTATGTTAAGAATTTAAGATTCGAATTATATCTTTTAAAAGTACTCTTAGAGGAGAGAACGTCTCAGATCACTTTCCTAAATTATGACAAGTAGTCTGGGAGATCTGGGGTAATGTAAATCTGAGATATAAAAACGACCACTCTTTTAGCATTTTTCGGAGATTTGTACTGAAATCAACATTAATCATTTAATCAACATGGTGTAAAGTCAACATAATATTTCTAATACGTTTTCGCCAAGACGCCTTGGAATGTCACGTGTAGTGTAAATAGGGCTAATATGAAATTTTTCGAAATAGCAGACATGCTGCATTCCGACAGATGTATAACCTTTACCACATTATATTTCTGTATTTAAGATGATCCCAATACAGATTTAATTTGTAATTATTTGAAATTCATGCCTCATCGTTTTGCTTAGTCTAAAAATACAAAAAAGTCTTGGTAAACGTGCTGCACGGTAAAACCTGTATCAATGAACATATTTCTCTAGTAAACACCTCTTCTTATCAAATATTCCTCTTACTTCTGTATGAAATTTCCTTTATATGGAGTGAACATCTACCAACAGGGAACACATTTTTGGGGCTCCATATGTGTTCACCGTACACATGTTATACTGTTATTCAAATACTAATCTAGTAAAGAACCATCTTAAAGTCTAATTTTGCATCTTCACATTTCAAGATATACTCCACTTACCTTTTGGAACGACTATAGAGGGTAGAACAATCCACAGTTCATACCATTATATGTATTTAGCTTCATCTTCATCAAATAATGTTACTTTTACACTTGGATCCACAGTAGGCATTACGAAAGGCAAATACCCTATACTGAAATGAAGTTGACTATCATCTTAATGAGTTACCATGCATAAGTTGGATATTGCAGTACAAACTGAGAAAAAAGCTTAAAGAGTGGTCGTATATACATCTCAGAATTTGAATTGTGTACTTTTATTACTAGTCCGGAAGAAATGTGGGGTATTTTGAGGATCAAGCGTTTTCTTCGGATTACAATGTTTTTTAAACTTTTCAGCATGAATATAGGGTTGGGACCTCAAAACCACCGAATGCCGGAGCGGCACCCTTGGGCAACTCTCTACAGAGCATTTCTCATACCCCCTAATAAAATCTACAGGGGGTACTGTAAGACGCCTTTATATCTCAGACACTAATAATGATATTGACTTGATATTTTCAGGAAGTATTCTTGGTATAATGTTTGATCTGTATGACAAATATTAAGAAACAATATATATCCGTTGCTATAGCAACAGTAATAGAACATTATTTCTTACCTTAAAAATGCATTATTCTGTGTGGTTTCATAATTGTCTTCATATTCTTGATTCTTAAACTATCTGAAGTACATAATATGATTAAAAGTGAAGATAAAATAATTCATCATATCATTTGTGTAATATGTCTAACATTTCAGTTGCTATGGCAACATCACTTGATAATCAGGTCCTTACATTTAACTTTCTTTAATGAGTATAAAGGTGGTCCAAAATAACACTTTTGGAACATTATGTACGTTAAAGATGAAACCATGTTTCTTCTGAAGTAAATAGTCAAATAAAATTCTACAACTTTATCTTACTCCCTTACCAAAGCCCCCAAAGTTTGATAATTTGGGGAAAACAGGCAAAAAACATTCAATTCCTAGGTTCAAATTAGTAATGCATTGGGATTCAACATCAATTAGTATCCAAAAACATCTACTGACTTTGCTTGATATTACAATATGAAGATTTTAATTATTTGACACTCGAAAATATTTATAATTTCGAACACTAGCCCACAAAATGTTAAAATATGGTTGTGGTCAATTTTATCATTTAGCAGCATTCATTAGACAAAAGATCAATGCATTTAAAACATATTCATTGTAATTCATTCATTACCATAATCTCGTATATAGGAGACTGCACTTTTTTATATTTAAGTTTTATATCTAGTACATGTATCATAATGAAGTCTAATGTTATCATACAGTAGAGAGGTTGGCATAGTTTAGTGATTGACATAATGCCTAATTATTGCAACCTTTGGTTTTTCTCATCTGAGCAATCAGACTTTGATGGTTATCATGAATGAGTACAATTCTGTATGTATATTTTATATAGATATAGTACATGTATCATAATGAAATCTAATGTAATCTTACAATAGAGGTTGGCATAGTCTAGACATTGGCATAATGTATAAATATTATAAGCATTAATTTTCCTCATCCGAACAATCAGACTATGGTTGTTATCTTGCACAAGTACAATTCTACATGTAAGTTTAATATTTAGTACATGCATCATAATGACATCTAATGAAGTGTAACCATACTAATAGAGAGGTTGGCTTAATCTGGACATTGGTATAAAGAGTTAGTGGCAATTTGACGATCTAACCAAGAATGTTGAGAACCAAATGTTGGCGGCAACTGTTCACACTTCACACTTGCAGCTGTGAGCAATGGCAAACCTGGTCAGACTTAATGCATATTGCTGCTTGGTTGACCAATGGAAAGCCATCTTTAGTTGTTTTCAATAATAAACATTTTAGCTAGTTTTCAAAACCCTGGCTCTAAATTGTAAATGATTCTGCTGAATGGGTTGTAAAGGATTCCAATGTCTGGATTGTATGCAAACCTTGCTAGTCTCCACTGTATGATTGCATTGGATTTCAGACTTGTACTAAATACAAGATTAACATATAAAATATAGTGTCCTATATACTTAACATTTGAAGATGTTTTAATGCCTTGGTTTGTATATATTTCTAACTTTAAATGCTGCGAAATGGTAAAATTGACCACACCCTCTTTTCAACATTTTTATGGGATAGGATTTTAAAATGTTTCAAATAAAATACTGCCCATCATCTAATAATTAAAATCTTCATATTGTTATATCAGACAAAGTCAGTAGATGTTCCTTGAATACTAATAAGTGTTGCATCCCAATGCATTTTTAATTTGAACCTAGAAAATGAAGTTTTTTTGCCAGTTTTCACCAATCATCACAATTTTGGGGCTGTGGGGAGGGGTTCTACAACTCAAAGATATACATTTTTTAACAAATTCAAGTGACTATTTACTATTAAGAGCTTCTTTACCTAGAGAACATACCTTTAGAAAAAGTGTTATTTTGGACCACTTTATACTCATTAAAGAAAGTGAAATGTAAGAACCTGATTATCAAGTGATGTTGCCATAGCAACTGAATTGTTAGACATATAACATAAATGATATGATGAATTATTTTATCTTCACCTCTAATCATGCTATGTGCTTCAGATAGTTTAAGAATCAAGAATATGAAGAAAATGCTGAAAACCCACAAAATAATACATTTCTAAGGTAACTAATAGTGATCTATTACTGTTGCTATAGCAACGGATTAAGATTTTTTCTTGATTTTCACCATACAGATTAAGCATCATACTTAAACTAATTCCTGAAAATTTCAAGTCCATATCTTTATTAGTGTCTGATATATAAAGGTGTCTTATAGTACCCCCAGTAGATTTAGGGGGGTATAAGAAATGGTTTGTAGAGAGTTGCCTAAGGGTGCCGCTCCGGCATTCCGTCGTTTTGAGGTCCCAACCCTATATTAATGCTGAAAAGTTAAAAAAAACATTGTAATCCGAAGAAAACGATTAGCTTTGAACTTTCTGCCAGAATATACGTTTCATTTTCCAGAATACTTTACGAAAGAGATTTGACACGTTCGCTCCTCTAAAGTGTAGTTGGAAAATATATATTATAAATCTTAAATTCTTAACGTATTTCAGATTAGAAAGTGCTCCGTCACAGCGGACAAAAAATTTAAAACCTTATTTTTTACAATTAAAATTAAAAAATACCCAATACATCAAGATCTCGTAAATACCTTCAGAGTTATGCTGAAAACATATGTAAATATTATCGTGTCACTATATTGTACCATTAAAAAGAAATAAAAGAAATGGTACATTTTGGAGTATGATACTCCGGCGCCGTTTTCAATAGCATTTACTCTTGGCGTTGTTGGACTTCAAACAGAAGTTAAGTTACCCGCAAATGATATATCCATTGCATGGAGTAGGTAATTTTCTTTGATATAGCGAAACATAAGAGTAAAAATAAATTGTGTGGATTTCCTAGTGTTTCTATGCAAAATAGCACGCTCCGTCACAGCGGACAAATTTTTCGATACAAGCCTGTGTATATGTAATATGAAATTATGAACAAACGCATCAAATAATCAAAACTTTCACTTCGAAGTCTTACTTCAATTTTTAGGTTTGGTGCCTAAACACTTAATAATTACATACTCTTGTAAACAGCGCATCATGATACACCATGACATTTCATGTCTCCGCAAACATGTTTCTCGTGAAACAGAAAGATGTCATACTAATAAGTTGGGGTATTTTGTGTTAATATGTAGCGACATCTTTTAACAGACAAATTGTTTAAATATATGTAACATATATTCGAGTCTTTATATCAAGTGGTCATATTTTGTAAGGACATGTACATTTTGAAGATGTTTCCAAATGTCTAATTGGTGAAACACAAGGTCGCGTTACAAAGAATATATTCAAAAAGTCTTTCGATATTTCTAGGAAGAGATCCTAGGATATTGTCATCTCGATTTCATTCAGGCAATGGAATGTAAGTGTATCAAAACCCCTATGTCAGAGTAAATATAGTCTCCCTGAATACAGGGTGGGCCAGAAAACGCCACTTTTTTCAAGACACTACAACTTTTTTATTTTCAAACCTACAAACCCCAAATTTTGCAGTTATATAGTGCCAGGGGTTCTTAGTAATAATATAATTTAACAAGTCCTTCAACTTGGATTATATTTGATTTAAAAGAGGGGTTCAATTGGTCCGCTACCCTATAAGTGGCGTTTTTTTACCCACTCTGTATATGGTCCGGGGGACCATACACCCTAGGATACTAGGTCCGGAGGACCTGATGTCCAAGGGTGTGTGGTCTTAACCGGACCATATTTTCTGTATTGTTAAAAATGCAACCCAGGACTATATAAACTGACGGACTATAAATACGTTGACTATAAATACGTAGATTTTGGCCCTATCTGTTATCTTTATTTTTAAATGTCTAGATGTCGTACAGTAGTACTGTAATAAATATTTATTTGATATCTTATCAATTAATTAAAAAACACTGCTTGCATCCAATCACCGTTAGTACAGTGGTTAGAACAGTCTTCTGGCTGTTGCCTATGGTGTGGGTTGACTCCCACTCTATCCTGTTTTTTCTTTACCATATTCTGCATGAAATGGAACTAAAATGCATTGACATATTCATTCCTCGTTTTCATTAGATTATTTTTAATATTAATGCTCGTACAGGAGACTATAATTTCTAGTTAATTTTGTCCCTGAGACAACTTATTCTTAATTTTCTAGATGTACATGTACACTATATTTTCTGGTTGACTCTGTTCCCAAGACAACCTATCCTTATTTTTCTAGTTATTATATGTCCATGGGGACGATGTCGTCTACTTACATTTGTCTAGAGACTATAAAAACTGGGCAGTATAGCCCCATTTGTAGTATATATATGTTAAATAACTGATATTATCTATGTGAGCATATTCACCCTATGCAGACAGAGCCTGTGGGAAATATTGGGTGCGGCGCAAATGAGCGGAGGGTGCGGAGCTAACGGTCATTTTTGAATTTAAAATTGGGATATTTCTGAAACTAAGCCGTTTTGGGACTTCAAATATACCAAGATATGTGTATTTGACACCAAATATCAATAAAATTGTGAAAATAGTAGTGCAATTCATTTTATAGCGACGCAGTATGCCTTAAACCTTTCCCAGACCTATATATTTTGAGACTTTCCTTTTAATACTGCATCCCCAGCATTCATAAAAAATGGTGTTCAAGATACACTACCCATGCAAATTATTTTTGCATCTTGGAAGCCAGGCAGTATCTGTGTGATTTTATAAAAATTCGGAAATGTTCTTCAGATATGAGCCCCCTCTAAATATTGGGTGCGGAGGTATGTTTATGGAGCTCCTCCGCACCCAATATTTAGAGGGGGCTCACATCTGAAAAACATTTCCGAATTTTTATAAAATCACACAGATACTGCCTGGCTTCCAAGATGCAAAAATAATTTGTATAGATAGTGTACCTTGAACACCATTTTTTTATGAATGCTGGGGACTCAGTATTAAAAGGATAATTTCAAAATATATAGGTCTGGGAAAGGTTTAAGGCACACTGCGTCGCTATAGAATGAATTGCGCTACTATTTTCACAATTGTATTGATATTTGGTGTCAAATACACATATCTTGGTATATTTGAAGTCCCAAAACGGCTTAGTTTCAGAAATATCCCAAATTTAAATTCAAAAATGACCGTTAGCTCCGCACCCTCCGCTCATTTGCTCCGCACCCAATATTTCCCACAGGCTCTGTCTGCATAGGGTGATATTGTCATGTACTATTGCACTCGATTCACTGACTTGAACCATTACTAGAGATACAAGGGGTGGTCCATATATTCTGATAAAAATGCTCTCATTTTGTGATTTTTTTCACACATCCCTTTCATTTTTTCAGAAAATGTAGATTACTAGTATATGATTACACATACAATACTAAAATGTTAATAGCTATATCTTATATTGGCTAAGAAATACGCAATCAAAGGACCACAATGTCATATCAAATCCTTGGAAACACATTTGTAGGCATAAAGAAAAGCTAAGAGGTGGTGGCAATGAGGTTGTAGACTACTGGGGCAACTATGGGATCCTTAAAGCATCTTTGTAAAGAAAACATGTTGGTTCACCCGTCATATCTCAGGGTGAAAGATTAGTTGCTATGAGAAGTTTGTTGCTTATTAGGGATTTAAGGAAAAAAGCAAGTGGATGATGCATGTACAAAAAAGAAAAAGATGTTTTTTCAATGACATATTCCTTTGCACGTTTGCCTTGAGAATGACACAATACAGTTAGTTGATTTATCTTTCATACATGCACGTCATTAGGGAGACAGGTCATAAACAACTTACTATGCTACAATCATACAGGCCTAGCTTTGTCGTTATTCAGTTTTGACAGCAATAGAACTAGAATAAAACAAACAGTATGAGTTTAAATATAGCCTCAAATAATATCTTGATCCACGATTGTGATATTGGTAATCAATGATGGGGATTATAAACTACATGTACAATACTAAATTAAACATAATATTGGATGTAAAACAAAACTACATACTCGTATAGGATTCAAAGATTAATCAAATGCATACGATTGTTTATCAAATCACTGCAAATGAGGTATCATCATTAATTGATTGCTGTGAGTTGATGTTTTAATCATCTAATAAACATCATAATAAATTTGGAATTAAATAGCCTTTTCAAATTACCACATACATCTTGATTCACCATGTATCGGCTGCTACGAATTTGTTCACCACCTTGATATTTATGCGAAGATGGGTACCACTACCGGGTAACTTCAATTGCCTTCAAATCCCCATGGTGATATTACAAGCAAGCGTCAATTTGACTCGTCAGAAGCAACTGGAAAATACATCAAGTATCGGAGGAATCAAAGAAGCAGCTTGGGTTTATTACTGGTACACGAAGCGTCGTTATCTAATAAAAGAGAAAGAGTTGAAAGATCGTTTTACGATGCGTATGATATAACTTGGATAATAGAAGATCATGGAGTGATATATGAGAACGCTTCCGCCTAATGGTAAGTAATACATTGATGATCATTTTCTCAGAAACTGTTTTCACGAACAAAACGCCGTGACCTTATACAGGAGTGGTAAGCATCAAAGGAATTAAGCACGAATTATGATATTAGATCTAAAACATCATGGGACCCCACAAAAAATTGAGCCAAATCGGGCATCGTTTGCCTTACCCTCTCGACTCGAGAGCCATCTTTATTTGACATCTTTAGCATGATTAAATTAGATTTCAATATGATACATGTACTAAATTGGAAACGTACATATAAAATATATAGAGTCCTACATTCTCGTAATAAATGAATTACAATGTCAAGTATCATTTGAAGATATCTTGAACGCATTGATTTGCCGTGGTAAGTATGATATTAATTGGGTAGAGATCAGTTTAGTGAGGGGCATAAAAACAAACGCTGATTCTTAGTATTGATAACATGTCCAATTAAAGTTGCTGTATGTCACTCGTGTATGTGAAGGAGGGTAGTTATCATTATACTATAAGGTAATTGTGATAAATACACCCAGTTTGTCAGATCAACGATACAAAGGGAGGAAGGGAGCAGAGAAAATGAGATGGTGGCAAAAGTTGCCTCCTTTACCATTACCAGAAGTCAATGGAGAGTAGTATTATATTAATATAAGCTCAATATAGAAGATCATCAATGGAGATTCTCGATTGATTTTTTTTCTAAGAATTGCAGTATAAAGAAGTTGTCACTGATGGAGCAGATATGGAATTGCCATTGTAAAAATTGGTCTCAATTGAAGTTGTGCACCGAAATAATTGATTTATAATGACAGGCTAAGCAAATTAGAATACAGTTCAGTAATAGAAAGATGTGGGCGATAATAGGGTAAAACGCCATCTATCGGCAAAATATGACGTTTTAATCCATTGAGGATACTACTAGTGAATAAATAGTCCTGAATGAGATTCCTCATCCATAATATAGCCTTTACATTTATCTATGATATTGGTGCTTGTTGTAAAAACTACAACAAACAAACGAGAAGAAGCCTATGGCAGTCTGGCCCAACCAAATACAAATAAGTGGTGACACCTATTGATTTAGCTTAATTCAGCTATGTTGCAACTCCCTTATTAAATAATGTTTAAATATATATTGAATGATATTTTGGGGAAATAGTAAACAATTAACTCGTGTATATCTTAAAAACATTTTCTGAATTCCTCGCAAAGGTTGAATAATAAGGAGAATTTTTACCCAGAATGTTTTTTTGATCACACATCTTTTGATTAAAATTCACGTCTTACATTTTTGCTATGGCAACGCAAACAGAGATACGTTTCTCATAGTGTTTTCTGATGATTTTTATGCATAATCTTAAGTTGAATAATGTGGAAGATTTTGGCCCACCTTGTATTAAAGTCACTTATGTTTTGATTAGACTTCACTTCTTATATTGTTTCTATGGCAACTGGGATACAATGTTTTATCGGATGTAGGACTAATATCTGAGCTTGAATTCTAATCATGTTTAAACACCTTTTGATACCATCGATTTTACAAAATGACTTCGTTGTTATTGCAGATACAATACAACATATCATATTCATATTCATCGTCTAGTAAAATGGCGAATAACTGTAACATTTTTTGGTTATTTATCTTCCGACGACAGGCAATCAATCAAGTTAGTGAAATTTGACAGTCTTTGGATTAACTTTGAGCTCGGGATACGTGTATCGTATAAAAAGATACTGTAATGCGCAATATTGTACTTTCTGTTTCTTTTTGGAGTAATTCACTTTTTATTCAAATAAGCACCTGCAATTGTACAGCCAATCTGAACTTTTTGTGTCTATCGGAAATGAAGATAAAATCCTCCTTTCAAAAGAAAATTGATCAGCGTTATTTTTAAACCATTTGTTCATGATGAAGAAAAGCTGTGATTAGAATATGATACTACATGAGATGTTATAACCCGATGAAACGTTTAATTACATCGTTATAAATAGTAATTAACACGAAATTCCATCTGTGATATTGCTTTAAATATTCAATGTTCAGACTTAATAGTTTCCTAAGAAAATAGGTAAAATGTACTTAGGGCGTTCAAACAGTATTGATAAACTGTAACCTTTTTGCTTTTTCATCTTTCTGACTAGATTCTCGGCTGAAATACTCTAAATGCATTAGTTCGACTTCGCTTCTTAAAAGAGAGCTTTGTCTTCAGTAATCTTTAACTAGACTCTGCGCGCAGGGGGCGCCTGACGACATCATGATAAGCCATCTTATCCCATGGTTAGAGGGATATAGATCGAATATCACATGAAGATATATTTGACATGTGGATCAAGATATCATTTTCAGCAAAAAATCCCCAAACCATCGAATATCACTTTTGGAACCATCGAATATCATTAAAAGGTGATATTCGATGGTTTCAAAAGTGATATTCGATGGTTTCGATTTTTTTCATTTTTCATTTTATTTTTTTTCTTAGTTTCTCTAAAAAAAATAAAATTCAAAAGATTGAATTCAAAATTTTTTTCAACTATTTTTCATTTTCTTTTAATTTCTATAAAAAATTAAAACTTAAAAAAAGTTCAACATATTTTTTCGCTGATGATGATTTCCCATGTTATAAACGGACAGTCTTATGGTTTTTCAAATATATCATTTATATCCACTCATGGATATAAATGATATTTTTTCAAAACCATAGGATATTTATAGGATATCCTATGATTTTGAGGAATATCATTTTTATCTACGAGGTGATATTGATATCTGCACGAGAGAGCGAAGCGAACGAGTGTATATATCAATATCACCGAGTAGATTAAAATGATATTCTAAAAAATCATAGGATGTTCTTATTATCCTACACTTACAAGGAGTGTACTAAATGTATAATATCATTGCAAAATGAATTCCATGCCAAATAGAGTCAATTTGGCGGGAAATCAACAAGCGGAGTATATCGTCACAATATCCTCCGCATATTGGGTTTTCCGGAGTATATCGTCACGATATCCTCCGCCCGGAGTATATCGTCACGATATCCTCCGGATATTCATTTTGCCAATAAATATCAAATTTATTTTTTAATGTTATTATACATTTAGTACACTAAGTGAAGGATAATTATAGGATATCCTATGATTTTGAGGAATATCATTTTTATCTACGAGGTGATATTGATATCTGCACGAGAGAGCGAAGCGAACGAGTGCATATATCAATATCACCGAGTAGATTAAAATGATATTCTGAAAAAAATCATAGGATGTTCTTATTATCCTACACTTACAAGGAGTGTACTAAATGTATAATAATATCATTGCAAAATGAATTCCATGCCAAATAGAGTCAATTTGGCGGGAAATCAACAAGCGGAGTATATCGTCACAATATCCTCCGCATATTGGGTTTTCCGGAGTATATCGTCACAATATCCTCCGCCCGGAGTATATCGTTACGATATCCTCCGGATATTCATTTTGCCAATAAATATCAAATTTATTTTTTAATGTTATTATACATTTAGTACACTAAGTGTAGGAGAATCCCATAATATCCCTCATGAATGGGCAACATATTATTGTTAATAAATCTGAAAAATGTTCTCTATACAATGATTGCACGAAACTGGGAACAATTATAAAAAAATTATTACGTCAAAATACCACAAGAAAACAATGAGTAGTACTCGTATTTGGCGCAAATATCCCCATAACATCAAAAAGGACGAGCGTTACATTCAGTTGGGAACAGCAATGAAAAAGAAAGTCATTTATCTAAAAGACAAACATTATAAAATTTACAAAGGGAAATAGCACATAGATTTTGAACAATTTCATTAAAAAGAGTGAATTGATGAACTGACTAATCATAATCTGCTATAAAATACAGAATGACCATACGGTGTTCTGATTGGGCAGAATGTGATTTATTCCTATATGTGAGCATAGTACTTATTGAACACCATGTATAGGTGTTGCATCTCTTAATGTAGGATGCTCATTGTCGTCCACAACAATCGTTCAGCGCAAGATGAAGTAGAACTCTTATTGCTGCGTTAATCTGAACATTTATCATTACCTGGTTGCTAGCTACTTTAATGCTCTTAATCATTGTTGTTTTATAGAGAACATTTATCAGATTTATTAATGGTCGATATCGTTAAGATATCTTGTCAACCTTTTACGACCAACCTAGAGAATACCAACACATTCATCATATGAGCCTGGCCATGGGAAAACCGGTCTTATCACAAAAATTAAAATTGTGCTACAGAGCCAAAAATGTGCTCAAGATTAAGAGGAAAATGTGCTAAATTCAAATCCGTCTTTTGGTCTATATCTGCATGAAAAAATTGTTAAGACATAAGCCATGGCTCATTTGAAAGGCCTCTTTGTGCTTTTTAAGATAAACAAAAAATCAAAATATTGAAAAATATGTGATAAGACCCCCTTTCCTGTGCCCTGGCTCATATATTTCTGATTTGAAGCGATAAGACTAGTCTACTGGAGATTCGAAAAAGGAAAACCGATATGGAAGTCTGTGGTTTCAAACTATAGACCTAACATCAGGATAAATGTTCTCTATAAAACAACAATGGTAAAGTTTATCATCAGTGGTGAATTCGAGAGACAAGTAGCGTATCTGAAACCAATAACTTGCTGAGCAGATCCACGAGTACAACGTCACTCCTTAACATGCAACCGTAAATGTAATGTAAAACGTTGCGCGAAAAATTCGAATGTGTGCATTTAATTCCGGGTGCCTGATACGAGACATGTTAGTTCAATGTCTTCTGGAGTTTTGTGTGGAGGGAGTGAGTGAGTATGTGATGATTGTCAACTTTTTTAAAGTAAGTTGCAGAATAGATAGAGAGTAACGTCAATAACGTACACAAACAAATGAAAGTAGGTGTTTAACATATAATTTTAAAGGAGTATTTTGTCTACATGTAGTTAATTACTGTTTCGTCATCGGATGTTATAAACATCCCTTCTCGTGTCATAGTGTAATGTCAAATTATCATGGTTGTGATGGTCTTGATCAACATTCCAATGAACGAGTGGGAAAAGTGACGTAATTGTCAAAAAGTTTTTATGTATAATATGTAGAGTCATTGCGACTGTAACATCAGCTTTGATTTTCAGCAATGTTCTCATGAGTTTATACAATTATTAACTTTTAAAGTCCCCGTCTAAAGTTTGGAAATATTTTTTTATCATTCATTTACTATTTGTCAGGACTTAAAAAGTGATTTTAGAGATTTTTGAACAAAAAAAAATTTTTGAAAAAAAAGTTGTGAGCATTTCATTTCACTTGAAACATTAGTGATGTCACTAAGGTAACAAAAACTTTTTGAAAAAAATTGAATAAATTATGTTTTAGATATCATTGTACCATTGGTTTCTATGAGAACTAAAATTTTGAAATGCACTGATAAGTTCATTTCTCGCTTGTTTATCAACCGATTTTCTTAATTTTTTCGGCAAAAAACATGGGAGGATGAACGCTATGCATTGGTATGAATTGTGGCTAATTAGAAGATATGAGTGACCTCTAAAAGTTGGTTTTAAATAAATTCACAAATTTTGGAACAAAAAGTCTATCAAAAACCACGTTTTGAAATTAAAAAAAAAGTTTCACATATCACACTTTGATAACATTGGGTAAGACTACAATATTAGCCAAAGTGGTTTAAACTTTACATGGGGCCTTTAAGTGTCATTTAACAATATATGACTAAATTGAATAAGTGGTTAGACGCTTATATCATCTGCAATAATGAACAAAAGTGTTTGACTTGGTTCTTTTGTCCTCGCTGGGTGACCTTTGACAACTATTATTAATGAGATATAGTATTGCTTTGAATGATGGATGCAAACATACCTTTAATTATGTAATTTGATAAGGATACTTGTTCATTTCAGATGAGGAATCAACTATCACGGAAATCACCGCCATAGTTCTTCCACGACAGGGAAAAAATCAGATTTAAAAAACAGTTACATTCAGCTTTCTGCAGATCGAATGTGACTCAATTATCTCGCTCTCACTCGCTCATCATTACCATGGACACATCAACAATTCACAGCTGGCACTTTCTATTGAAGAGTTGGGATAATCGAACGTCGGGGAATTCAAATGACATATCTTGCTCGAGCCTTTTCCACAAATGGGAAACAATCTGGTAATATTGACTTCGTACTGATTTATACTATAACAAACTAACTAAATAACTAACAAAATGGCGACGTCGTCACGCTTAATGGTATTTACGGGATGTCTATTTATCGCTATCATTCTATACTCATTATCCGAGAACACTTCCAAATTCACGGATGACACTTCTGACACGTCTGAGGCAAGAAAAATCACACATAATAGAATCATAGAGGATGCTTTTAAGTTATATTATAACATGGACGATGATAAACAAAATGTTGGATCCTCGCCCGTTTGCAAATCCCATCAGCCAACTGATTTAGATTTGGATAAATACAGAATGGAGATGATAGATCACTTATTAGAGTACCCTAAACTGATAAACAGCGACCAGATTGTACTGAATAAGGAGTGGTGCACTTACAATAAGGCAGGGAATATATTCTGTACCGATAATGACACATCAATGAAGATCATTGAGTTTGACATCTTTAGTATCATCGGCGACGAAATTATAGACAGGAAAATCAGTGGGATTGCAAACCTAGACGCTTTTGTCAATACACTTGGCGATGTTCAAAAGAATTCCCTCAAAGGAAAAGATATATTGAGCATAGTCCAGGGACGCTCGGGAGGGAGAATTTATCGACAATTCCTTTTCCTGACCTCGAAATCAATATTCAGCGAAGCTAAGTCAAAACACGTGAACAAAGGATATAACTTAAATGTATTATTTTTGAAGGACTTCTCACGATCGGAATTTTATAGAAAATGCCCAGAAACTAGAAAAACACTTCAGACGTTGTTGATGAAAAATCAATGCGCCGTCATAGATTTTCCACTTCATCACGCCGTGTTTTTGAAAGAAAATGATGCTCTTCGGGGATTTCTTAAAGGGAAAACAAACTCTTTTTCCAGTAGACAAACATCTCTATTTGATGAATATAGACGTCTTGGTTACAAAATAGTACGGATCGATAACCAGGATTTACCAAGAACTTGTCATGCGTGTGATTTTGACAAATTTAATTCAGATGAGATTAGCAGTAGTCTTATTGATCAACTTATCAGGAAATCTATCAAGAGCTTAAATGCCAGATTGAATTCTGTTTCAATACGTGATGAAGTGAGATACATCGAGTATGTAATGGGATACATCGAGGCACTCCTCAAGACGTCATCACAGCCCCTATTCTCATTCAGCTATCTCTCGAACTTATTTGATGAATTGAATCTTGATGGGGCGTTCGCAGATACAATCCTAAGCCGCCATTTAGAAGCATTGACCGAGTATGACAATACAGTCACAATTATTGTTAGTAATAAGGGTAGTACTCGGAAATTCCTCGAGAACAAATATCACACTGTATTTGAAACGCTTCAGGTTTCAAATCCTCCCTTATTTATTGTCGTTCCTAATGCCATCCCGAAACACATTAGAGAGATATTTGCATCGATCCAATCAAATGCATTAAAAATAGTGACGTTGTTGGATCTAAACAATGTTCTAAATCAAATCGGGAGTATTCTTTCCTCGAATGATAGTGATTTAAACGAAATTTACGTTCCTGAGAATCAAATGAATGCAACCCCGATCAAACAAACGGATGAAATAATAGGTATGCACCCCATATTTGAAACAAACATGACGTCAAACAGACATAATTTAGCAAGTTATCATTTCCCTTTTCGAACTTGTGACGACATAAATCAGCTCGCTGCCAGCAACGGAAACAAAGAGGTTCATATTCTCCCATGTATCTGCGAAGGAAAGCAAATAGAATTCCCCAACGATACAATTCAAGTCGCTTTGGCAGAATTCGCAATAGCGCATATAAACAGTCTTATACATGACAGTGTAAAATCTCTAAAGATTCATGAGGCTAAACAAGCCCAATATGCTCCTTGTGCAAAGCTAAGGGGTGTTAGATTTATGAATGTAAAGTCAGAGCGACAAAATGATAGCGTAATAACAAGAATGGTAATTACCGCACATCCGATACTCAAGAACGTCAATGAAACTATCAGTTTGTCAATAACAGTAATGGCATCATTGAAAAATAACTCTGTATTAAACACCACGATGATTTATTACAACGTTCTCGAATCTACAAATAAGCTTGAACGCACAGATACATTGAATCCATTGTGTTTCAGCAATGGTGAGACACACGAAGTAACAACGCTATTTGATGAAATTCAACATAGACGGGAAGTGATGGCGCCTCATTTTGGGGTATATCCAAAGATTCATGCTGTTGATCGGCATGGTTGCCTGATTCTACTCATCAGAGACTATTCCCATACTGTCGTAGTTGAAGCAGCTAACATGTGTTCTGGGAATTCTGAATTTACTCTAACCGTTGATGTTGAACTCCGTAATATGAGGACATCGAGAGTGTTCCCTGTAACGGAAACCATTTCTCCACGGGAGAATAAATTCCTGGGGTATCTACAACAGACTAGCTATTACGCTCGCCGCAAACAATACGCTTTCATCACGTCTTTCACAATAAGGTTGATTTCTTAGTAATCTATATAAAGATAACTAAGAGATCTTATCCATTTTATCTGAAAGAAAATAGCAAATGACAAATTCAACACAATTGTAAATACTATATGTACAGTGTAGATACGAATAATTTGATACGAAAGGCCACAAAAGACTAAAGATCCTAGAACCGATTGTTGTAAGCCATGTCATCCTCATCTTTGTGTATGTCCTTATGGACAAGATATGCCAAGTGAGAAGGATGTCATGTAATTTTGTTGTATGTAAATGGACTTCCTATGATTGACATGCATGTAAACTGTCGTTTCATGTATGTCGATGTCCTGCGTGTAACTTTGGCGTCATATTTTGCAAACTGGACGCCATATGATTGCTGGAAACTGGACGTCTTTGTGTTGTCCTGCATGCAAACTTTACGAACATCATGCAGTCATACAGTTGCCCTGTACGTAACTTGGACGTCATATCGTTGTCCTGCATGTAAACTTACCAACTTGAAGTCGTCTTATATGTAGCGTTGACGTCGTATGGTTGTAATTGTCCTGCATGTAATCTGGACGTTACTACGCTATCCGATATGCAAATAATACGAATTCGCCATGTCTTATACAATGAGGGTGATTTCTAAGGAATCTTTAAAAATTAAGAGACCTTGCCTATTTTATCCGAAACAAAAATATCTCACTAAAATTGTAAATACGGTATGAATAGATAGAATAATTTGATACAAAATAATTTTCTCCAAGACTTAACATTCTAGAGCCAATTGTAGTAAGCTCATCCAATCTCAATCCTGGACAAGATCTGTCAAATGAGAATGCCTTGCATGTAAAGTTGACTTCCTATGATAAACCTGCATGTTATCTGTCATTGCATGTTGCATGTCGCTGTCCCGCTTGTAACTCATGCTTTGGCATCATATTTTGTTGCATGTACACTGGACGCCATGTGATTGTTTAGATGTAAACTTGACGTTATATGATTGTCATATATGTAAAGTGGACGTCATATGGAGTGGACGTCATATGGAGCGGACGTCGTATTGTTGTCCTGTATGTAATCTTGAGCATATAATTTAGTTGTCCCGAGTGCAACTTGACGCCATATGACTGTTCCGCATGTAACGTTGACGTCCACATTGATTGGTCTGCGTGTAAATTGGCCGTCATATTGTTGTCATGTATGTAACCTTGACGTCATATGAATGTCATGCATGTGAAATTGACGTCATATGAATGCCATATATGTGAAATGTCAGGTATATGAGCTTGACGTCATATGGTTGACATGAGTGAACACTGACGTCATGTGGTTAAGTTGTTCTGTACGTAAACTGGGCGTCATGTGATTGGCCTGCATTTAAAGACCTCGTCATATGGTTATCATGCATAAAATGGACGTCATATGATTGTTTTTTGTGTAACCTGTACGCCATTTCCGAAAGGCGGGTAAAATTAGATTTCCAGGATAGATAAATAACTGACACTTCTACTTGAAGTAATTTAATCGCAATTCCGTCGCGTAATTCATTTGACTTACAAATCTATTGGTCTCTGAAACGGCATTTAAAGTCAATTTTATAGCCATATTGAAGGGATAAGTACAACCCGTGTGGCATACACAGATACATCTTGTAATCTCCAGTGTAGAGTTATCCGAAGTCCAAACTCTCACTAAATATACTAGATGTACAACTGCAAATCTCGTTATAAACGAGTGTTCAGATACGACATTGAGTTTGAAAGTGTACCTTATACATATATATACTGTAAATATTATCTGATAATTTGTAAAATCTTTACTTTGTATTTGTGCAATATGTTAAGCTACGTTCACACCAACGGCGTTTTGATGGCGCTTTAATGCGACGTGCAAAGCCACTTCGCACGCCGCATTAAAGCGCCATCAAAGCGCCGTTGACGTGAACGTAGCATTACTAAAGCTAAGTTCACACCAACGGCGCTTTGATGGCGCTGCAAAGCCGGTTTTGAACGCCGCTTTAAAGCGCTATCAAAGCGCCGTTGATGTAAACTTACTTTTACATCACTAGAACACCAGGAAGCCCAGCGCTTTTTATTGAAGAATACTGTAAAGCTAAGTTCACACCAACAGCGTTTTGATGGCGCTTTAAATCGGCGTGCAAAGCCGCTTTGCACGGGGCTTTAAAGCGCCATCAAAGCGCCGTTGGTGTGAACTTAGCTTTAATGAAGCGAATTCAAACCATTGAAAAGGACATATTACGAGGACGATATAATGTATTCATGAGATCACATAAACTTAAGAATAATTTGTATAATGTAAATAATATAAAATATAATTTGATGTTAAAATATTGCATTCATATCTTATTTCACTTGGAGTGTCATAGGGATAAAATATATCAAAGTGGATCATCTTTTTGAAAACTAAAGCTAAGTTCACACCTTGCACGCCGCTTTAAAGCGCCATCAAAGCGCCGTTGGTGTGAACTCTTTGCACGGCGCTTTAAAGCGCTATCAAAGCGCCGTTGGTGTGAACTTAGCTTTACAAATGTCATAACTTTAGTATTCACCTCCACCTCGACGAAGCTTATATTGTATTGCCATCTATCTGTTATTCTTTTTTAGGTTACATTGTTTTTATTTGCATAATAAATTATGTATAAATTCATACATTAATTGCATACATTGTGGAGGGTCGAGGCTTTAAGGATCAGCATTGCCCTCCCGTCTCTGGTTTGAAAACTATACATGGTAATATAATTTCTACCAAAGGTGAATCACTGCGGCGGACAGACTGTCAGCCACCAGGTTTAGCCCATAATTCTGTTCATGGATGATAGTGAAAGATGATGATGTGATATATCTGTTATTCTGAGCATGTTGTTGTCGTACAAACATACACTGTTGTTCAAATATATGGAGTATTGGGCATTTTTTTAAAACCAGCGTATTGTCTTAACTATAAGAATTACAAACGTTTGAAGTGTATGAAAGTACGCAAAAATGATTGCTCTAAATTGTCTATTTAAGGATGTTCCCTGGTCAGATAGGAAAATATTCAATAGTATTTAACTTTTTCTCAAAAATGGTTTTCTGGGATTCTCACGGGCAACAAAGAATATTAAAACTTTAAAAACCATATGTTAGTGTGCTTTTTTCTGAGCAAGAGGCCTCTAAAGTGTCAATATTTGACAAAAGTGGGCGTGGCACTTTCTCATTGAAACCCATGTTAAAAATCAGGTTTTCACCCCAAAACACACTTTTGAATATTTAACTTTTTCTTAAACTCACAGAAACACTTAGTTATGCTATGTACTTCACATTTTGAAAAGAAAAATTAGGGGTTGGTGTTCATCGTTTTCAACTTCGTCCAGGGAACATCCTTAAAAGGGTATTCCAGGAAGCCTATATTAGTCTCAATAATACGCTATTTTACCAGAATATTCTTCATTATTATATTACTATCTAGCTAGCGACAGTATGATTGGTCAAAACCGGGTCACATGTCATGGGATACCTGGCGATATTCAATGGCAATGCTAATTAGATAAGACAACCGTGAGATATCTAGCGATATCCCACGCTCCCGGGAATTTTCAAAATATTTCTTTTCGTTCAGTGTAAATAATTTAGTTCAGTGTAAGTCAAAATGGCAGACGAACCGAGTAGATTCAATGTATTTCAATGTTAACCTATGACTTAATAATATTAGGGATGTTTAGCTAGACAGTGATATAATAAAACAAATATTTCACTCTATTTTCGGTGAATACCTGTAGCACTTTCACAAGGTGATATTCCACTTGCCATTCGGGCTTCGTGGAATATCACTTGTGAAAGATGTACAGGTATTCACCTCAAAAGAGTGAAATATTTGTTCAATATTTTAATGCATTTTGAGGAATTGAATATCTGGAAAATGAAAAATTTTGCTAAAATAAATGTGTTAAGTTCACCATTCTCGACTGGTCTATGAAAAAATATTTGAAAAATATCCATTCATTAAAAAGGGTATAGGCAAAGGTGTATGTCAAAAAATATTCAATAAGGTTTGATTGGTGACGTTGCATTCAATCAATTATTTCGTTCTTATGTCACGACCGTCTGTTCATGGCTCGTTATCATTTGAGCTGGGTTACAGGTGAAATAGTGATTATCGCATTTGGCCAAGCAAAGTTAATTATACCTTTAACGTCCTTACGAAGAGCGAAAGCTTAGGCAAAGTTCTTTCGAAACTTAGACCTTTTTAACCAGGATTTTATACAGAATTCGAGATTACCGTACCGACTCTCGTGGGGATATTTAGGCAAGTCTCCATCGTTTTACGTACCTGAGATATTTTGTAATCGATCTTGCGATACTTAGGACTAAAAGTACTTTGAACAAGTGGACTGAAGTCAGTCAGAGGTTCAGCAGAAGGTCACGTGACCAATTTTCGTTCTCAAAGGGCGATCCAAATTTCCCAAACCAATTAAAGTTTCAACCAATTAACGTTGAGATAACATTCATCACGTGATCACCACCTAGGTCAGATCAAGGGCCATCCATCTGCCAAAACTCTGGCTGAATCTTACCAGTCGACAAAAACAGTGAAATGAGGCTAAAAAATACGTATACACGTTTTTTCTTTTCTTTTTTTCTTATTTTGGATGATGGGAAACGGTAAGACTCTAGTTAATGCAACTGTGCAAGTTCCAGTCACCAAGATGAGACCAAGTTACTAAGTTTTGGAAAAACTTTGAATCACATCCGTGGAAAAACAAACAAATAAAAAACAAATTAAAAATGTTATTGTTTTTCTGTTTGGTGATTTTAATTGTATTATATAATAAAAATAGTACCGTGGGTACTGGACTCACATGGTGTAGCTCAAAAGTGAATGATGGCTAGAATGACTACAAATAAAAAACGGATAATTTTTTGACAGCTTTTTGAAACAAAATTATTTAATACAGCTACTCTTTACAAAGGCATGGATTTTTACAATGTAGGACACTGGAATTATTTGTAAAGCTAGGAAATGGGCCAAAAGTGATGAATTCCACGAGACAAAAATGGCGGCCATTTTGAAAATAGGGGAGCTTTTGAATCAGGAGTCACAGAGGAGCATTGATGTTGAACAAAAATAATTTAAAACTGGAATCATATCGATAGAGGTTTTAAGGCAAATGATCCAAAAGAGGATTTAGCGAGGCAGACAAACAAATGGCCGAAAATAAAAAAAATGGATATCATTTTTTGCCGATTTTTTGTAACAAAATTATTTCATACAACTACTCTTTATATTGACATTGATTTTTGCAATGCAACACACCTGAAATTATTTGTAAAGCTAGGAAATGGGTCAAAAGTGAATTTCGCGAGACACAATGGCGGCCATTTTGAAAATAGGGAGTTTTCTGTATTGATGTTGAACAGA